CAAAAAAAGATTACACCGGGTTATCGAGGGTTTACCAAATATGATGAAAAGGGGGGCTCAAGTGTCATGTTACAGTTCCGTTACGTGCACACAGTCCGTGTCGGTAGCGCTCATGAACTGAGAGGGGAGCTCAAGTCAGGCCACGACCGCTTCCTTACACACTCTTTCGTATTTGCTGTGCACGAATTATCCCACCGTTCATAGCTACACATCTGGCCCACTGACAGCGTCGTTAAATACACCATAAGTTACTATGGAAATACACACACGTACATACATACATACACGTAAATAAATAAATAAATAAACTCATTCGAATTTCCCCAGAGAAATGACGCAGCAGCTGTCACTGCTCCATCGCCATACTCTCCGAACGTTTTGAGGCTGTGCGTTTATGTTCAAGGTCAGCTTGTTCGCAGCGAAAGTTGCAAAACTGCGTCAAGCCTGCCGTTCTTTTATCCGCTCACTGGATTTATATTCGCGATGTCTACTAAACCTTATCGGCACACCCTCACTTTGATTAAGATCTGGCAATAAAAAACGGACACTTCACAGGAAGACGCACGCGCGTTACTGCGCCCATCTAACAAGAGGCCGTGAACTTGTGGGGACTCACCAGAGTTGCTGGGCAGGCAACCACTGCGCTAACCCGTTACTTCGCGCACCTACCTTGCGGGACTCCATCCTGGCGAATCTTCGCGTGCCGGCCAGTGCGTTGCAGATGCCACTGTGCTGGACATTATCTTATCGCGTGTTCGGGCAAAGCGCCCGTCAAGTGAGCTCGTGGCCTTCACTGCCAGATGAGCTGATTTGCGGTTCTGTGACCCGAATGTTGCTAGCCGCTTGCTCAGCATGAGTTCTGTTTTGGAGATGGAGGCATTACGTAACTCCGAAACTACTCTTCACGGTCCTGACAGGATCTCCTGCTTCAGGGACGAGGACCGGTCCGACTGTCTCGTCAATATTCTGCATCACGATCTCACGGTGACGCGACCTCAGAGACACTGTCGGGCGCAATTTACCCATGAACCTCCAGCATATACGTTGAAACACAATTTCATTGGCGTGAAAGGACTGAGGAAATCACGAAAATATTGCCAGTATAACTTGTATTCCGGGCGATATGCTGAGGTGAAGAGGTGAAGAGGTTGAGGCAGTAGCCCTGCCGTTCATGGCTATTCACACCACCCCACATCCCTGCTGGCAGGTCCCTTGGCAGCAGCCTCTCTACAGTTGCTACAACTACGTGAGGATATAACTATCCATCCGTCTGTCCTTGTGTCCCTCCGTTTCCCCCGCACGGCGCGTAGTACGAGGGAGAGTCAGTAAATGGCTGCAATGGACGTAATAGGTTTTCTATGTGTAACAGTAGGTAGCAGCACAGTCCAGGTAGCAGACGCGCATGTTCAGAGGCCGGTTTCAGTAATCAAAATGGCGACTGTAGTTGAGGAGTATACTACCGAGGAGCAGCGTTCTGTCGTGCTCTTTTGTGGGCAAAAGGACTCAGTACAAAGGATGTTAATAAAGAAATAGTTCTCGATTACGGTGGGAAGTGTTTGTCACTTAAAGGGGTTCACAGTTGGGTGGCAAAGCTTTCGCTGATGACGACGTTCAAACGGAGGTGCGGAAGTGGCTGAGACAACAGTCAAAAGACTTCTATGCCGTGGGTTTCGACACACTGTTGGAGCGATGGAACAAGTGTATAAATATTGGTGGAGAATATGTCGAGAATTAAATGTTCTTCAGTTTCGAGTATCACATGTTTTACGTTTTATATCCATTTGTGACCTGTTTACTGACTCCCCTCGTACCTAAATGATTTGGGAAGGACGCAGGGAGCTGCCCTTTGAACATCCCTAATATTGCTGTTGCGTTTGTGGGCTCGAATCAGAGCCAATTACTGTACACATTACTTTCTCCGCAAGAGCAGCACAAGTGACATCATGCTCTCTCCATAAGAAAAAATGCAAAACTACTCTTTAAGTTATTTACGATAGGAGCAGAAGATGGCAGCGGTAAATGGCGCTATTTCTTTTAGTAGTACAGTGTTGTCATGGTTGTGGTCCTAGTGGATCTTCGCATCTTGTGGATGTGGACAGTGTTGCCGACGTTTCGGAGGTACATGCACCCTCTATCTTCTGAGTCGACGGGAATAGGGTGGATGGAGGGAGATGGGGGCTGATGGTCGGTCCTGGTCAGTAGATTTGGTATTGGTACCTCTGGAATTTTGGTATCCCTGCCCACAACCACACGGAGGAAATTGGATATTGTTATTATTAATATTAAAAATGAGTATATTTATATCTGTTGACACAATTCATGTAAAATTACTAACATGAGTGTATTATTATTATCATCATGATCATCATCAGTATCATGACCAGGAGCCACGCGGTAGCACAGTTGGTTGAGACACTATGTTGCAAGCCGGAGTGTCGTGGGTTCGATTCCCGATGAGGTCAGTGGATTTTTAGTTCATCTAATCCTTCTAGCCGCACTATGGCCCTGGGATCACCTTAGCCTCTAACAGAAATTAATACCAGTTGCCTGGGAGCAAAGGGCGGCCGGCATGTTAAGGCTGACAACCTTTCCGTAATCTGTGAGGCGATTGTCTAGAAAATGTGGGAGCCTCGACGTCTCACAAACCTATGGGCCTCAACGGCCTGTTACAGAAACGGCTTTACCTTATTTTATCATTATCATCATCAGCTGTCTCTGGATAGCTCAGTCCGTATAGCGGTGGGCTGAGGCTCAACGCCCGGGATTTGAATCCCGGCCGGGGCAAGATTTGTCTTCCCTCCTCAACGTCCAATTCGGCTCTGGATCGCATCCAGCTTCCTATTGAAGAGGTACCGGGAGTAAAACGGCCAGGGCGTGAAGCTGACCACTCACCTGTGTCTAGTGCCGCCGGCCAAGAATAGTGGAACTATACCTTCACTCCCCTATATATCTTCATGGCGTAATGCTTAATTAAGTATGCCCAAGGACGCCTTTACTTATTATTATAAAAGGTAAAAACGGTAACGGTAACAGGCCGGATGTTAGTCAAGTGGAGTCTGAAGTAAGACCTCCGCGCCTGACCAGCGGCACATGACACGCGGTCGCAGGGAGGGAAGTCCACAAGGCAGTACTCCTGCTAGCCGCCGTTGGGCCTGGAACATCCTGCAGGGGGGGACCCTTTGCTGAAACATAAACGAACCCAGTTGGGTAGTCGAGGTCGCTGTAGTCTGAAAGCTCAGAGGGTTGTTATGAGAACCTTCCCTCCCTGCAACCTTTAGTGGCCAGATTTCAGAGTTGGACAGTTGTATTCATCCACCTGGTTGAGTACATCACTTGCACAGGCTCACTACAACCTTCGCCGTCACCTCGGCCGATTCGCCGTTTTCCACGCCATGCTCACCCAAGGATAGTGAGATTGGTTACGCGGTGGCAACCTCGATGATACTCAAGCGCCGGGCATCGAGCAGATGAATTCAGGATACAACAGTCGGCGAAACTGTGATTTCAGTGTCTCTCAGGGGCTGTAATATATGTAGGTAGGGGATAAATGGAAGGGTTGTTTCCGTTGAAATTTCAACGGGAATTCCACTAACACTTGGGGGATGCAGATGTAGAATCCACCAAGAGAATCCAGTTCAAGAGCTGAATTCGTGTCTGCCTGTTGTTGGTACGATCGCATCCTACTGGTGCCAGAATAGTTCAGAACAGTTTTATTGTTAACATTATAAATACGTTACAAATTATNGCTTCCGAGAGAACATTTGTTCCACCTCCTCCAAAGTCTTTCCCTGCGTCTCTGGCAGGTAGAACCACAGGAACACCGTCCCCAACAGCGCAGCAACGCCGTAAAACAGGAACACCCCTTGGCGTCCCAGAGTGTCCTTCATCTCCGGGTACGTTTTCAGGACAGCGAAGCTGTACAGGTAGGCACAGCAGGTGGTGATGCCGCCCGCCAGACCGCGCACGCGCGTGGGGAACAGCTCGCCTATCATGGCCCATGGCAGAGTCAGGAAGCCAACGGTACTCATGAAGATATAGAGCACTAGGGTCAGAGCACGCAGCCAGTTGAGAGCCGAGGACTCGAGGTGCACGCAACCGGCCAGAGTTCCCATGCACATGGTCATCCCCACGCCCGACACGACAGCTAGCGGGCGCCGCCCGAACCGTTTGGACGCATAGCTGATGACCACCGTGACCAAGAGGCGCGTCGCGCCGATCAGGACAGATACGAGATACCCGTCTGTGTGTACACCTGCCTCGTCCGCAATGTCGACGGCGTAGAATATGACGACAAAGACGCCGGAGATCTGCTGGAAGAGGAAGAACATGTTGAGGATGAGCAGTGGCTTCCAGACCTCGGGGCGAATCACGTCGGAGAAGTTTGCGGCCCGGGGGCTGGGGCTCCCGCGGTCCAACAGAGCCTCCACTTCCTGGCGCGGGAGGTCCACACCGCGCAGGCGCCTCAGGCTGTTCTCCGCCTCCAGAGCCCGGCCTCGGCTGGCGAGCCACACTGGGCTCTCCGGCAGGACCCAAATCAGTACGGCGGATATGACGGGGAACACGGCGCACACCCCCGCCACGCCCTGCCAGTCCTCTGGCAGTACGGAGCCGAATAAATACACCAGCAATATTCCGAGGGAAACGAAAATGGATGTCCACGTGACCAGCATGCCGCGCAGAGACTGGTCAGCCGCCTCTGCGATGTACACCTGTTCACGCATTATGAAGATAATATTAAAATGGAGTTCAAAGAAACAGACCAAAAGTGTTGACTAGATTTATTGGTACGATAGGGTGCAATTGTGGGATCTTGTGAACACAGCAATGAAGTTCCAGATTCCATAAAATATTATTATTATTAGTTAATTTAACGACGTTTTAAATGACTCAGATAATTCAGCGTCGGATATTACTGCGGTCCGTGAATAATGCATTTGAAAGGATACGCAAGGAAGCTGTAGTTGCCTGACTCGAAGTACTGACGCAGCATTTCCCCGCACGGACTGGGGATAACCAGAAAACCCAATCACGATAGTCTGTCTCCGGACATTTGGCAGGTTGGGCTATTACCGTGGCCGGCACGCTGGCCATTCCCGTGCTGACCCCTGTGAGCAGTCTGCCTGCGTACAACTGCCACAGGAACCCGCTCTGGACCTGCGCAGTGGCGATGAGCATCCATCCGGCCAGGCCCGGCGCGTTCAGCGACAGCAGCGCCGCGCGGCGGCCCCAGCGGTCCAGAAGGGGTCCCGACACCAGGCAGCCAATTGGCGTGCCTATGGAGGCCAGGCTGGCTGCAACAAAGTTATGTCTTCATGCTGTGACGCCGTGCAGCCCGGTGGAAGTTCAGTGACGTTGCAGGAGGCAGTGCGCACCTCAGAAACGTCGGTGAACTTGTACCGGACTGCGCGGGGTCGCGCCCCAGACCCAACTGAGAGCAATGCGTCTCACCTATCCACGAAGCCTCGTCCTGGCTGAGTGTGGCCGAGCGGTTCCCGGACTGCATGGCGGGCAGAGCTATTGCTGAGTAACCGAGGTTCATGCCCGGGGAGACGGATCCGAGGTTGACTAGCGCTGCCACACACACCTGCAGCAGCACACAAAGATGTGTCAGACCCCTTGGGTGGGGGATCGGCCCGCAGAGCCCCGGTGACCCGGCCAGACGTCACTCACCTGTGTCAGTATGGAGCGAACTGATCGCGACGCTGTTCTCGAGTCCATCTGGTGGCCGTCCGGCGACCTAGACAAAGGACCACCTCAGCAGCTGATCAAAACGGCTCTCATTTTTTGTGATCGAGAAGTTCATAGCCCTGTTCACAAAATAAAGTCATTCCAGAGTATCATGAGCCAGCGCTATTCAGTCAACGTCGTTATAGTCCTACCCGAAATTCCTAAGACCAATTTTAATATTGTACTTCCACCTGCGTCTGTCCCCCCCAAGTGTACTGTTTCCCTTCAGTTCAAAATTCAGTACACAGTTATTGTTTCCCTGAAGAGAAATCTGAATATTCGCACACTGGGAACCTCACAATCTCTGTTTTCCTTAATGCGGTACGCCACTGCAAGAAAATTGGCTCTGTGGGGCGCGCATCCTCTGTTTCTTTCTTCGGGTTTCGAGGAGCCCTTGCCGCAGGCCTCAGGGCTGCACAAAAAGTGTTCCGACAAGACCAGAAAGAGAAGGCATCTGTTAAAGCCGGTGACATCATAGGAAAGGCACGAGCCAATCAGGTCGGACATTGGTAACTGTCCGTATCCTGTACAGACGATCTTTCGTACGTTGGCACTTCCCGGTCAAGCGATTCCTTCTCATTATACGTAACAGATTTACGTACAGTCTGCTGGAAGCTTACCGACATTTCGAAAGTACGTACTGCGTCCTTCTTCAGGGTTGTTTGGTTTATTTCTCAACCCTGAGAATGGAGGCATACGTTATTTCATTGGCAGAATCCTACCAGACTACACAGCGTCACATTGCAGGAGAAATGCTTTCATAGTGACCGCTGTGAGATCAGCTGCTGTCTGTGTGTATCCCCGTAAGAGCTTTTGAAGGCAATCGTTACGAAACATGACACGTGAGCCCATATAAAAGGCGCACTTCATAAATACCTCCCATCAGTAACACCAACGTTACAGCCTCACAAATTGTTGATCAGCCTTAAGGGCGGAACAGTGTGGCATGACGCCTGAAACCAGAGTAGTGGAGGCAAAAGTGACGGCTGTTGCTTGGCAACGACTAGGTAAATACGTTCCCGTGGAAACGAACGCACACACAATACAAGAACTGTTGGATGCGGTGTTTTCTATGCGGTCCGTGCCGAGGCAACCCTCAGTTTATATTGAGAGGAAAGAAGGCGAGTCATTCTTCTTGTAAATAGTGTAAAATATCTCGGTGTAATCTTCGATAGGAGGATTACATGGAGACTGCACATAGAAATAATCCAACTGACCCTCCACAAAGCTCTCATTAGATCTGTAATGACTTATGCTAGTCCCGCCTAGGAGTTTGCGGCAGACACTCATCTAGTGACAGTGCAGCGCCTGCAAAACAAGTTTCTCCGCACCACTGGCATTTTTCCAAGGCACACACCGGTTCGCGATTTGCACATTGCTTTCAAAATCCCGTACGTATATGATTACATGTGAACGGAGAAGTTCATGGAGGTAGGCCTAGGCCCACTGGGGCTGTAGTGCCAAGGAAAAAAAAAAACGATTATATAACAAAATTATGCAGGCAACAAGCGGAAGTCATACAAAATCATGATAACGAAAATATTTTCAAAATCGGACAAGGCGAAGCCGGACACAGAAAGTATAAGAGGTTTAAACTTGGCGGCTGTCAAGCATACGACCGTTCAAGTGACTAGACTGCCGTTGTCGCGGAAGCTACTAGAAATAGGGCATAATCTGCTGTACTGAGCCTGGACTGGCAGAGGCCCTGTATATATATTTTATATACATTTATTAACATGTAAAGTGTAAATATCCTTTATATTATGACAAACGACTTACTACTGTAGACACTGACTGACCGTCAGTCGCAATGTGACTTTGACTTTGACGATTAATTCTTCCCAGAACTTCTTGCAATATTATGGGGACGGTTGCGATCGAACTTGGGACCGTTTCAGTAGTGGGCTATTACGCTAAACTCCATACCACCAGGGCTGGTAGCAGCCTAGAACTGTCGAGGTCCCGAGCTGGAGCCCAGCGTCACGAATATTATGAAAATAAAACACAGAAGTAAATCTGTCAGCACAAAAACAACAATCGCTTGAGGAGCAGAGTCCCGAAACGTCCGGGATATCAGTGGACAATGTCCAGTATTATGTTCATCAGCCATTGTCACTTTCCAATAAATTTACGATCTTTTAGAACGTGACGCCATGTAGTCTTACATAGAGGTACAATGTTTCGCAGGAATATAGCGCGCAACTACCATACTACACGGCGTCATATCCCAGAAGGTACTCACCGTGGAAGTGGCAGCGGCAGCGACGGTCCGCAGCAAGCCAGCCGGCAGGAGCGCACATACCTGAGAACTGGATGTCACTCGCGTACTAGAGCCGCAAGCAATGGCACGGCTACCAACACAACAGCGGAGCCCACCTGGAGTGGGCAACCCTACGGAGCAAAAAGTCCCGTGCATACCACGACGCAGTCTCAGGAGTGATTGTGTGAAATGTGTAAGCTGTAGGTCGTCTAGCTGTATTACCAACGCGTCTGCTAGGCCGCTGTAGGCATCGATAGCTCAGTCGGCACAGGTATGTGCTACAGGCTCTACGGCCGGGGTTTGTTTCCCAGCACTGGCGAAAGATTTGTCACTTCTCCACTGCGTCCAGACCGGCTCTGGAGCCCACCCAGGCTCCCCTCACTTTCAGGGGAAATGCTGCCGAGCACTTGAAGCTGCCCATGAGAATGGTGGAGCTATACCTCCACTCCCCCATACGTCTTCATGGTGTGCTGCTTATACTCGTTAAGCACAGGGACAACTTTACGTCCTTCCGTACAGATACCGCAGTGAGGTCGACGTCACTAGTTCAGGAACTGGGAAAGATGAGACTCCATTGTAGGCACTGTCCCAGGAACCGAGGAAAACTGAGGGAAGTCCCAGTCAGGAACGCTGGTCTACGGACAGAGATCTGAAGCCAGGACTTCTCGAACACAGAACAGGACCGCGAGGTTCATAACTGCCCTGCGGGTCGCGGCAATAGTGGGCATGAAGATCATGCAGGGGAGGTGAGCATTACCCAGTACCTGCCGATTTTGGTGCCCTGTTCCATTCGGAAGGTTGCCAGTTCGATATGCGGCTAGGGCATATGTCAGCGTTCTGACCGAAGTTTTTCGCGGTTTCCTTTATTCCTTCCACGCATATTCCGAGATATTGCCTAAAATGCCACCACAACCGCTTCCTTCCAGATACTTTCTAATTCAGCCTATATAAGCTGAGGATCGGCGGCGCCGTCAAACAAAATCAAGCCACATCATTGCTCGTACAGCTAGTCATTGTACCGACTGATCTGCACGCCACAATATGCGTTGGGCAGTAGTCTCACGTTGTGCCCTTCATTGCTGACTTGCCTCTGTTGCGAGCGAGCTAGGCTCACATGAGCATGCAGGTTTGACGCCGTACAGTCGGCTACATCGGTGGAATCTGTTTACATAACCCGAAGATGGAGGCAGCGGGTTCCTCCGAAAGTTTGGTAGCTGTTTAGCGTCACGGCCTCCAAGTGTGGAAATGTTCGGTGCCTTCTTCAGAGAACAGTCCCTCCAGCCACCAGTTAATCTCCATCTTGTGCGGAACTCGAAGGTCATTGCCCTGTTCACAAGAGCCGGCCACTGGGGCTCTATCCTGAGCCAGATGAATGGAATCCGCATCCTTACGCCAGGTAAGATAATTCAAGCGGCAATGATTTTGAGTAGTATTCAGAAGGTACCGGTACCCCGAGTGTTTTGATTGCTGTGCCTTGTGGTTTTCCTCAGTCCTTCCACGTCCTTCCCATTTCATTATTCGCTGATGATCCCTCCGGTTGACTCTACCTCGTGTATACTCGTAGATTGAGCCCGCTGACAGCGTCGTTAAAAAACCGAAGATAAATATACAAATGAGGCAGAATCTCTGAGCCTGTTCCTGTCCGCCATGTTTTCCACGTGCCTCTATTGTGATTGCAAACAGCTGGCACACATTTGAGCTGCAGCCGGCGGAACACGTGGTCGGTATCTGACAGACAGTGGCGCCGTTCTGCAGTCTAACGACGTTTCAACTCGTTGAAGCACCAAGTTCGTCTTAATGAACGGCTGCTCCCAGCATTCCAGCAGATGCCTGGAAAAGCAAGCAAAAAGTGAGCAGCTTCGTGTTTTATTGGCCTTATAACATGAATACCCACAGATAAAAAGCTCTGTAACATTGCCGAGGTTGCGTCATCAGACAGCGATGTGCGTCATTTTCATTGAGCACGCAATACAGCCGGAACGGAGCTCTCGTGGCCTGAAGCATATTTTGGGCAGACAGTAACGACTTTCAGTGGGAATGCTGAAAGTGCAGTAAACCCTCGGTAATCCGGAATAATTTGAGGGAGGTCATCCGGATTAGTGAAGGAAATGTAGCTCTAAAAGACAAAAAAAACTTAGAACACAAATAAATGGTAAATTTAATGATATAAGTAGTTCTGATGAAAATAAATAAAAAATATCACTGTAGAGCCTTTATTTAAAAACTGTAACATGACGATACATTTATTCATCGACAGAAGCCTCAGCAGTTGCACTTGTTTTTGAACGTAATGACGCAGGTTTGAGGGAACTGTCTCAAGTTTTGTCTGAACAGACAAGTGACTCATCTGCCTTCACAAATGTCGCGGCTTCTACAGTGTGTACTCAACTGTGAACAGCATTTTTCATGTTTCGTTTTTTTTTTCGATCCGGATTAGCGAGGGTTTCGTGAGTCTTCTATCAGTGAATAAATTTATTGTTTTTTTTATAGTTTTAAATAAAGGCTCTACAGTGATATTTTGTTCACTTTTATCAGCACAATTTATATCCTTACATTTTCCATTTATTTGTGTTATAAGTTTTTTTTTTTCTTTTGAGGCTATGTTTTGCTAACCCGGATTATCGAGGGTTTGCTGTGCTACCAGTCACTGAAGAAGGTCGGTGCTCCACGGGGTTCAGTTGGTAGCAAAGCGGCCTTATCTGCAGACACAGCGGTTTGCGGAAGTTCAGGCGGCGCTGCTGCCGTGCTAGTTGCGGGCCACAGTCGGTCGCTCGGCGGCATGGAGACAGCGCACGCCCGGCAACAACTTGCGTGAGTACAGTCTCGTCACAGAGTGTGGAAACGTTGCCTGTCACGTACTGGGCAGTGTACATACTGTTACTGCCTCGTATCGTTAGCCGCGGTAGAGGGGTCATACCATCTCTCGCAGAGCGGGGGCGAGCAGTCTTGTCAGCCTACGTCAGCGTGGGTACTACTAGTTTGGAATGTAGCGTCTTGGAGTGTGGTCAGGTGTATAGTACTACTCCTGGTCTCCGTAGGCAATGTTTTCCGCTCGGGGAGTAGCTCTGAACGGCCCAACAGCAAGGGTATAGCTTCGCGTGTCCCTTCCGGGCGGCTAAAGTTACCAGGCAGTAACAGTATCTTAACCTCAGCGCGGGTGAAGGTGAGTGGCTAGCTTAACGCCCAGGACACGAGCTCGCAGTAGTGTTCGGTGGGCTCTGTGCAGGAGTAGCCGGGAACTCTCAGTAAGGGCGGCATGGAGGGCAGGCCACTCCTGGTGATAAGGAGCATTGGTGGAAGTGTCCCAGGATCGAACCACAGCCTACATTGTGGGTGGTCGGGAATAAATGCGCGTCCTAACCCGGTATGCAGGAGTACAATGGCAACTAAACCTACCACGTGCCGTAACGTTTAGAGAACTCCGCATTCTGCCCCACAGTATATCTGTGTGTTCCGTATGGTTCTCACAATAAACAGCGACTGTTTCCCTGAACAGCATTAACCGGTTGGGCTTTGTAGTGGATACGTAATGTGTTTCCTGTGAGGTACGGACTGAACATACTAAAACTCTGCATTCTGCCCGCAGAGTGTATCTGTGTGTTCCGTATGGTTCTCACAATAAACAGCGACTGTTTCCCTGAACAGCATTAACCAGTTGGACTTTGTAGCGGTGACGTAATGTGTTTCCTGTGAGGTACGGACTGAACACACTAGAACTCTGCATTCTGCCCACAGAGTGTATCTGTGTGTTCCGTATGGTTCTCACAGTAAACAGCGATTATTTCCCTGAAGGGCATTAACCGGTTGGGCTCTGTAGCGGAGACGCTGTGCTTGTGTAAATTTCAGGCTTCAGTTGTGTTGTTGCCCGGAACGTGTGGTCCTGTTAGAGCAGAAGACTTGTTTCTCATGTAGCGAGATATAGATCAGACGGGTCGAAGCGAGCGGTTTTATCAGCAAATCGTTGACTCACGTGACTGTCGGTTCGCATGGGCCAATGTAAGATATCAAGAACTGGAGGTCGCACAAACAGCCTCGTCATCAGGCACCGCCTGATACCCCGGAAGGCTGTTGGGTTTTCGGTTCTGACTTTCACACTGGGGATGTCTGGCAAGCACCGTTAGCAGAGACACGCTGTTGGACGGCTTTGTTAGGACCGGGATAGCTCGGTCAGTATAGTGACTAGGCTAGGGGTTGGGCGGCTGAGTGAAGAATTCTGTTCACGGTTGAGTACAGGAGCAAGGGCGATTGGAGCGAGAGGACTTTCAGGCTGTGTTGAGGGCAGCTGGAGAGACTGAAACCGCACAAGAAAATATCCGAGATTGGGTTCAGCTGGATGGAAGAGACAGAGGAAGAAATTGCTGCAGTGTTTTTTTTTTATTTATTTTCGTCAGCACTACCTATATAATTACATTTTCCATTTATTTGTGTTCTAAGTTCCTTTGTCTCTTGAGGTTATCTTTTGCTTCATTAATCCGGACCGTCGGGTGACTTCGCCCCAAGAAGTAATCCGGATTAGCGAGGGTCTACTGTAACTTGTTTCCTTGCATTGCAGAGACCCTGGGCAGGCGCCGCGTCCGGAAGGACGGCCCCTGATCGAGGACGTCCAGGCGATGCCGCCGCAAGAGCATCCGCAGTGGGGCTCCCCGGTGCTGAGACAGGTGACCCCCTGAATATACCGTTTAGTTAGCTTTCCAGCGGGGACAGTGAGGGGCCACCACACGTGGACACACGAGGCTGGACCAGTCACTACACGAGCAATTAGGACACTTGAAGGGTACGTTCTTGTGGGTTGTAATGCAATGTAATTTCCGAAATACCCTGCGTTTCGATGGAACATATCGCCTCCATCTTCAGGGTCGAAGAGTAAGTAAAGCAAGGAAGCAATACAAGATGGCGGATATCTGAACTTCGGACTTTCTTCGACCCTGCAAATGGATGCAGTACGTTGCTCCGAAACGTCGGTCTGCCTCCGAACTACGACACTTTACAACCCATAAGACGTTAATGACCGCCGTGAGAGCCCCAGACCCAGAATATAGCAACTGGTTGCTCTGGAGACGGACGGACGGACGGACGGACAGTAGTAACAGTAGGAAGACACACACACAGACAGTGATACATGTGCCCATGGTGAATGGTCACACGGTGCCTGTCGAGAAGCTGATAATATCTCAGCTGATCAAGACATTCACCGCCTTGTACACAACCTGAAGTTTATTGCGTGTTCTCAAGAGCCTGCCACTGGCGCCTTTCTTGAACCAGATGAGTCCACATGCTGCTTACTTAAGATCCATTTTTAATATTATCCTTTCATCTATATCGGCCTGCCTATCACACCCTCGATCGATTGTATCACGTTAACACAATGATCATTATAATAATAATAATAATATAATGAATGTAATTTACGTCGCGGTCAATTGGTTATGACTCTTATTTCGAATTCCTGAAGTCCTGGGTCCAGATATTTACTCAAAGACTTGTTATTCTAACAGGGGTTTTCATGGTATTCCTCAGACCCTCCACAAAGACACCAGTATAGCACCTTAGGTTATGCCACGGTCCATTGAACGCTACATAGTGTGAGCTACGAGAGCGTCGTTAAATAAACAATACAGCTCTCTGTTCATGTAGAGAAGTTACATAATTTCGGGCTGCTATAGCAACGAACTGTCCCGAACGAGCGAGTAGTCTTATGTTGCGAACAGGGAAGGACTCGGACAGCCTATAGCGAATAGGCTTCCTGTGTTAATATTTCCAGTGTAACGGCCCATTTTCAGGTAACAACAGGAGCGATTTCTAGAGCCGGCCGGGCAAACTGGCTCTGGAGTATTTCGTTCTGTTTTTCCCTCCTAATCAGCATTCCACCATTGCTCAATGCCCCCACCAGGCAACACGTTATCAGGCGATCCAGGTTAGCTGGGCTTTATCGCTATGCTGACCCGCTCTTATAGGGTTAGCTCAGTCATTATAGTAACTTCGTTAACTTCGTTAAGGGCTGGACGACCGGGTTCGAGTCCTCTTCAGTACAGCGTCTCTGGGGTAAACGCAGTTTTTTTTATTGCAAGTGGGGTGGGACTAAGTCCCTTGTACTGGCCTATTGTACCAGCCCCAGATGATAGGTGAGGGTGATTCCTAACCAGAGTGTGTGTGTGTGTGTGGGGGGGGGGTACGACGCCGTCAGTATTGACGCTACATGGCGTCGAACGGTAAGATGATGATGAATGATGAATTAGAAAGGACGTGGAAGGAATCGACGTAGTATCCCGAAATTTTCCTGGAGGGACTGAGGAAAACCACGGAAACCTTAGTCAGGATAACCCGTGCCCCGAACAGGAGTGTAGAGCGTTAGTCTGGTGTACCCAGTGGGTACTGGGGACTCGGTAAAGTGGCCGGAGGCTGAAGCTGTCTTCTCACCATCTATTGCTGAGGTGCAGAATGCATGTAGCCATACCTCCACTCCCCCAGTGCCGTTATTTGGAACTCTCGTAGCTTTCTCACATTGCTGACGTCACATCTGTGCCTTGTGGGCTGGGCTCGTTGCTGAGGAGCTGCTCCGCAGGGACGTGGAGGAGTGACGCCTGTTGTTCAGTACTTGAGTTATCGGGACTTGTTCCTGTGTTGCACAGGTTCTGGCTGCCGCAGGGCCGATGGCGGCCATCACGAGCTCCGGCATGACAACTGGCTTCTCGGCCGTCCTACTGCCCCAGCTTCAGTCCCCGGACAGTGTAATCCCTATCTCTGACAACCAGGCCACCTGGATCGGTAAGTGTGCACGTGTTGGAGTGACTGGAGTGGCGATCCGAGTTATCGGACACTTCAGTAAGTATCTCTACAGATCACTAACAGAGTCACGGTCTTAACTGCGATGCTTGGTAGCGGCTTCCAACAGTGGACATTTCTCTGCTCCCTGACTCACGTCCTCGCAGGGTGGCGGCCATCTCACACCAACCTCGTACTCTTCTAACTGCCGTCTCAGGACTTCCTGTAATCAAGTCAAAGTCAAAGTCACATTGCCACTGACGATCAGTCAGTCAATAAGTCTGGGGCTCATGACCAGATATTTATTGCTGTTAGACAGTTAAACACCGCTTCCAACAGTTACTGCATTGTTGCGGCAATTATGTGGCGGTTACTGAACCATTGCCTAGCACCGGGCGTTTTCGCAGAGCCGATCCCTAGCAACGGCTCTCTATGCTACCTTCACAATTCTTGTTTTCAGCAGACATGCCACAGTATGTATATGATGGGCCCAAAAAGGAAGTGTGAACCGGAGAACCCCCACCGCCTCTTACAGACCAATGTACACTTACCTGTATGCGTCGTGCGGGTTGGCTCAGCCGTGGCACCTACTGTCCTGACTGACTTGTTTCGTGGTGTTCCTCAGTCCGTGCAGGAAAATGCCGGCATGTTTCTCAGCTAGGTCACGATCGTTTCCTTCGAAATCCTTGCCAACTCGCAATTCATCATCTAACCATGTCGGGCTCTGATATGTGGTCTGCCTACCCGCAGTGCCGCAAAATGGCCCACAAAACAAACACTGTTTTCCGGCTGTTGTCTGTGAGCAGTGCTGACGACGTTTCGGAGGTATATACTGCTTTCATATTCGACTCTTTGTTTTTCGGGGGGGGGGGAACTTTAAAAATTTGCTCACACACTTAGCTATGAGGAGTTTACGAATATGTCCCGAGGCACAGAATTAGTGCAAGAGAACTGAACGTGAGGAAGCCTTACACGTCCCCTGCTCTTGCGGTTGCATTTCTCCAGACGGGGTAGCAAGGGAAGGGACAAGCAGCCCCATAAGATCTGGATAATTTATCTCCACAGACAACATGAGACACTCGCAGCGCCGCTCGTGATGACTTCAGGAACTTTGCTTGCAATGTTTGAAATTAGTACTTGGCATATTTACTTTTTTTTTTCCACTGTTTATGTTTCCAAGAATTGCTTGCCCCTCCCATGCTGGCGGCCCTGGTATATACCGACCGAATGGCCAGGTTCGCATGTTGACATGCTAGATATACTGTGGTGTAAGTGCACTGAGGAGAATAAGAAATCCTGTACTGTGTGTCTGCAGCGAGCGTCGCGGCGCTGCCCATGGGGCCAGGAAGCGTCCTTGGCGGCGTCATCATGGAGAGGCTGGGGCGACGCGCCGCGCACCAGCTGGTCTGTGTGCCCTACGTCCTGGGCTGGGTGCTGATCTCCCTGGCCCGCAACCCCGCCATGCTGTACGTTGGCCGCTTCCTCACGGGGCTGTGCGTCGGCATGATCGGTCCCGTGTCGCCCGTCTTCATCGCCGAGACGTCGGGGCCCGCGTACCGTGGCGTGCTGCTGGCCACCGTGTCACTGGCCGTGGCCACTGGCATCCTGCTGGCCAACCTCCTGGGCACTTTCCTGCACTGGCAACTGGCGGCGGCCATCAGCGCGATCTTCCCGCTCGTCTGTTACGTGGGCGTGTTCTGGGTGCCTGAGTCGCCCGCCTGGCTGGCCGCGAGGGGCCGCCGTGCTGGGGCCACGGCAGCCTTTCACTGGTACCGGGGCTACTCGCCAGATGGCAGCAAGGAGCTCAGGGACTTGCTCAACAAACACGCGACGGTACGCGCGAAGTACACCTGGGCCGAGCTGTGGGTGGAAATACGCAAGATGTCCTTCCTGAAGCCGTTTGTTGTCATGGTTGTTTTCTTCTCCGTGATGCAATTCAGTGGTGTCAATGCAGTGGCGTTTTACACCGTGACTATCCTCAACGGGGTGGGTAGCGGTCTGGACGCCTTCCTTGCCACGAACATCATCGGACTTATTCGCGTCCTCATGTCCGTCGTGGCTTGCATCCTCGCGCGCCGATTTGGCCGACGCCTGCTAGCCATCAGTTCGAGTCTGGGCGCCGCGGCGTCCCTGCTTGGCCTCGGCGCTGTCGGCCCTGGCTGGGCGCCGGTGGTGCTCTTGGTGTCTTACATCTGTTTCATCAGCATCGGACTGGTGCCCCTGCCGTGGGTCATGGTGGGGGAGGTCTTCCCTTCCGTCGTGCGAGGGTTCGGGAGCGGCGCCTCCACCTGCCACTGCTTCCTCGTCTTCTTCGCTGTCGTGAAAACTGGGCCCGACCTAATCGCAAGCGTCGGCATCCACGGAGCCTTCTACACGTACGGGGCAGTGGCTCTTGGGGGTGCCGTGTTCCTGTACGCCTTCCTGCCCGAGACGAGGAACAGGACGCTGCAGGACATCGAGGACACGTACTGCCGGACGGACCGGCTTGCCTGATGCCACTGTCCAGGGCTGGGGAGAGTCGCTCTACTCACTGCTCCCTGCGCTGCGCTCGTCACCGGAGTCCCCTCACGGGAAGTGCCGTCAGTTCGACATTTTGTGTAGCTCAGAACCGTCTGTGAGTGCCAGGATCTATCCCGACGGAGACAAGCGAAACTTTTGTCTACAGACACCCTCAAACCGTGTACGGATATTCTTGCTAATTGGCCTGAAGTGTTCAGCGTAGAAGAATGTTTTCAAAAGACACAGATTTACTTTATAATTTTAATATGTGACATATTTCTTTCATTGACAAATTCGAATTTTCCCAGAGCTCGGGGGAGAGTGATGCCGTCATCCTCCCTACTGGCTCTCATGTTACTGGCCCTTGGAAGTTCGAGGGAATTTCTCTTCATTTTTATATAAATTATATTGTTATTGTTTACTGATATGAAGTTCAATTACAACGAGTTATACATACCGAATGAGTCTCAAGATACCACGTCATCTAGCCATTGCTTTTTAGCGCATGCGCAGTTTTCTTCTCGGAGAAAATAATTTCCCTTCGTGTCTTTCTCCATCTTTCTTCCCTTCGTTTATCACTGTCGTATCTTTACGACCTTCGTTCTTTCATCCCGTATTTTTTTCTGTCCTTTTTATTCTTCTGTCCTATTGTCGTCCAAACCCCCATCCTTCCTACCTCTCCTTTGCAGTCAAGCAGTAGCCTGCCGTACTGCATGCTGATTACCATTCCCACTTCGCCTCCAGGGGTGGGCTGCGTGATTTCAACATTTTTTCCTCGTCCCGTACACGCTCTGTTACTCCGTGGAGTCTGGTAGGGACTCGGCAACTTTTCCGACACTGACTGAGGTGGCTGAGGACCGAGCGACACGTGTCCCTTCTCAGTTCATAAACAAAATAATTGAGTTGCGCCAATGCGCAACTGTTTCGACCTCATGTTTTCTCCCTAATTACAGCAGTCCATGTTGCAGGGGTGCACAAACGAGTTCCCGCTGTAGCTTCAGGACCCACTTGTCTGTGCACTGTGTTCGCGGCACACCTCGAAGCAAGCCTAGGCAGATGTCTGCTGACTTTTTGCATGGTTATCCTCAGTCAGTCAGAGAAAGGCCGCGACCAGTATCTTTTTCTACGCGACACAACTTCAGTAGTTGTTACAACGTTGTAAAATAGCGGCACTGACATTGGCAACTGAACCTGAACGTCAGAAGAGGAGTTTCCACGTCATACAATCCGGGGAGACGCGCTGCCTCCATCTTCAGGGTTGACGAGAAAGCCAAGCAAACAGAATCTGAAGATGGAGGCAGTACGTTCCTCCGAAACTACAGTTAATTCTATAAGCCGTTAGTTTCTGGCCTGCATCGCGTCGGGCAGTAGGAGGGTGCATGATATATGAAGTGGAAGTGGTCGTGGCCTAATGGAGGGAATGATCACGACCACGGGAACCTCAGTCAGGACAGCCGGTGTCCCGGCCAAGACTCGAACCGAGCACCTCGTGAATGAGAGTCTACAGCTACCGCTCGGTGAGTTTGGTGAGGTCTGGCTCTCTTGTGAACTGCATCCGTAAGGGCGAATTTTCGAAATCTGTGTGGGCTTGAGGAAACTTGTATTTCTCTCTAATCTCTGGTGTAACCAGACAGAAGAGACACGGGATCGAACCCCCACAGTCTTAGGGAGCATCATGCCAATAATCAATACGTCACGTAGTCACCTGCGCAGTGAAAGTGAATGGCGTCACTTCCTGTTGGGCTGTCTGTTCCAAGGAGAGTCTCTTCTGTGCCTGCCTGCCACGTAGTTCAGAGTTGGTCTGTCCCTGTGGGCTGCTGCCTGCACGGCCGAGGAATCAGGTTCGATTTCTCGCATCAGCCGTGTCCAGACGGGCTCTAGAGCCTTCCTACCCTCGTATCCACTGGGTACAGGCATCTAATGCCGAATTTTCAATGTGTGGAGCTATACCTCCACTCCCCTTATAGTCTTCATGCTGTGGTGTTTAAATAAGCACAGGGACAACTTTAATTACATCTAAGCTCGACTCCTATCTGAGGACAAATTTTAAAATATAAAAAAGTACGTATATAATTTTACCTCTTGGTTTGTACGGGTGTCGAACTTGATATCCCATTCTAAGGGAAGAACACAGACTGAGAGCGTTGACGATAATAATCTTGTACTAAGGAGGGTGTGATGGGCAGAACATGTAGTTCGCATGGGAGAGGAGAGCACGTAGAAGTTAAGGATAATAATAAGAACAAGAAGTTCTGGGAAGAACTAATCGCCTTCTTGCCTTTGATGCAACACGCACCACAAATAAAGCGAAAAACTGGGGGGGGGCACAGACACATGGACAGCAAGGTGATCTCATAGCATCCCTCTTTCAGAATGGGGAAAGTGCGCTAAAAGGAGAACAAATTGCAATTGAGTGGTTTCGCTGGATTCATCTGTCTCGGGATAAACATTAGTGTCGCGTTTTTGTGAATGCGGTGCTGAATTCTTGGGTCCCATAAAAGGCAGGGAATTTGATAACTAGCTGGACCACTACTAGCTTCTCAGAAAGTACTTTTTCGCTTAATGTATACAATAGACACGATCTGCTCTGTAAAGCCTGTACAGACAGAGGATTTGTGTGTAGTGCAAAAGTAAGAATTTCCTATAACATGCTAAGTGTGCAAAATGTACACTTGACGAAAGGCCAAACGTATTCATAAGAGACAGCCCCATCTTCTCGTCAGAGATAATGTTACATAAGGACTATGACCGCAACGGTTCAGTTGAAAAAAAAATTGGGCGTGATCCTCAAGGGGCTTGGCGCCAAGAGCAAGTGATTGGCGGTAAACCGCCAGTCGTAAAGTAACTCTGACTCTGAGGTGAGAAGCTGGCAGCTGAGGCCGGGGAGAGTTCGGGAACCCAGAGGAAGGGGAACGTCCGCCGTTGGAAGCCGCTACCAAGCAACGGCTAGTGAAGACTGAGAAGACTTTATGTGTGCTGTTGTTACAGCGATGCTTGGAGCGTGTTATTTGCAGTTACGTTCTGTATGTGTCCAACAAATCCGATTACCAATCCAAACCCCGTCAATAGTCACTCCATCACGTGACAGTATATACTTGCGCCACAACAATATGATGAACAATCAAACTTTTTAAAATTTGGAAAATGTGGGCCTGCTAATGGCACTGAACTATCTTTAAATAATTATTTACGCGGTGCCTAACGACGCTGTCAGTTGCTAGGCGATATAGCGTCGAATGGTAGGGCGATAGCGGCGCTATGAATTGCAAAGGATCTGGGAGGAAGCGGTCGTGGCATATTCGAAGCACTGTCCTGGGATTCGTCGAAGGGAACTGAGGAAAGTTGCAAAATCTCTGTCAGTATAGCTAGTGTATTGGCCGAGATTCGAACAGAGCACCTTCCGGAAGTTATTCTGAAGCGGTACCGCTGCACCAACCTGCTCGGTTTCAGAGTAGGCCTATTCGAAGTTAGCTCGGGCTGTATGAAGGTTCAACTGGAAGTTGTCGTTTTTGGGCGCTGCGATTGCATCATTGCAAGGCAGGTGCAGCGAGTCGACACAAAAAGGAGCCGCAAATGATTCGCCTACCAGCCGAAGGTTTCGGAACTGTGGGTGGCGTGGCCTTTAGCACGTGCAGTTTCAGGCAATGCGTGAGGGGAAACAAATGAAGTTTCATTACGCAACTCGCGGCCCTCTATAAAACAGACGAAAAGCGACGCGGCGCACGGAGAACTCGCACGGGACAAAAGGTGAGCGCATTAATGTTAGTTGCCATAGAGTTAGTTAATTAGTAACATGGATCTTAGGGAGGTGGATGGAACTGGCTCAGGATCTTGGCCATTGGCTGGCTTTGGTGTTAGCGATGTTGAACCTTCGGGTTCTGCTACCAAAGGATTACTTGGTCATTCAGATATTTTCATAAAAACTTGTTGCTGGCGGAAAGGGCGAGATTGCGAACCCAGATGCGCTCCCTCTGCTGCTGTCACAGGGCGGGCGGCAGTTGGACGCGTCCAGGTCACGGCAGATGCGCAGATGCGAGGCTGCAGGCAACGTCTGTAGGGCCTGTAGCGAACGGGAACTTGTGTCCTGTCGTACAGACATCTACGGGTGCCGTCTGGGGGGGGGGCATGCACCTCCCTAACATTTTAAAGATGTCTGCAAGGAAATGCATCAAATATTAAAATCAAAGACAAACATATTTTTAAATAACTTCTTTCTTTTCTAAATACTTCGGGGGAGTGGATTCTCAAGGTGTGGGTCGCGATGTACTGTAAGAAATACCGCCGAGTTCGCAGCTGTACCCACGCCCAGGTTGCCCAGCCACTGGGTCAGTGGGGTAGCGGGAGCCGGCGAAACATTTTGTAAACATATCCGTGACTGTACAGGTGCACTTTACACCTTACTTCAGGTCTGGGGAGGCTGTGAAGCTATTCTCGTTCCTGCTGCCAGCGTACAGCCTGGTACTGTACTCTTCTCTGACCTGCAGAAATGGGAAGTCGTGTAAATTTAGGTAATATATTAGGCGGCAGTTTTATTGGGAAATTGAGGAAACACGTGCTTAAGGACTGTTAATAAAAATACTCTTCAACGGCTTAAAAGCAAGTTTGTAAGCGAAATTTCTGGTGTGCCTCCTAACAAGAGCGCGCATGTGTAGTAGGCGTGAGCTGGACTCTCGTTGCAACAATCGTCTCGCTTTTTGCTTGCTGCAGATGGCTCCCCTGCTCCTTATCTTGTGCCTGCTTCTGTGCTACATGAGCTTCCGTTTCCGTCGCCGACGCATGGAGGCGCTGGCTGCCAAGTTACCGGGTCCCACGGCCTGGCCACTCATAGGGAGCGCCCTACAGTTTCTGGGCTCCTCGCACGGTAAGGGCCGTTACCCTGTTTCCATCTCATTCTATCATTTGTTGCGTGCCTTCTATCCATCTTTGTTCTCTGTCTTGTCCCGCAGATTTAGTCGCCACCATATCCCGGATACTGCACCGCTACCAGACTCCGACCGCCTTCTGGCTCGGACCCCGTCTCTACGTGGCCATTGCGCGTCCTGCAGACATCGAGGTAAGACACGCTGCTCGTGTTATACCTGTCTGTCTACACTTGCCGCAACTACATGGCTGCTTCCTCTCCCCAGGCTGTGTTGACGAGCCCACACGCGCTGGAGAGGGACCCGGTGTACCGCTTTTTGGAGCCCTGGTTTGGGAACGGCATCTTTACTGCCCAAGGTGAGCCCCCCCCCCCTGAAGACCGTCAGGACGTCTCGCAACGAGGGACAGCCAGAATACTTGTTACAAGCTCGCGTTTAAGGAATTTAAGGATAATTTTCCCACTACGGTAGCCTGGGATCGATCTCAGGTCAGATCATGTGGGACTGGGGCGAGTTTTCGCCGAGTGCTTCAGCTCGTCCTGTCAATTTTCATTCCATCAACTGCAGCACAGTCAATCGACATTATGTGGTTTCTCTACCGGTGGCGTCTTTAAATAACCAACTGAAGGTTTACGGATCGCCTTAAACCTGTGGATCCCTGAGTAGAAACAGAATAATAATTTCTTCCCCTTTTTAATTTTTGTAGATTTCCTTTCTTTTTTCTTTTGTCTCCAAAAATGTGCGATTGTCAGATGTCTGGCTTGCCTCATTCCCCTTCTGGTACACAAAACCTGGCCACTAACAGACCCACGAACACTTCCCTGAACAGTGTCAACGTGGCGCATCAACCGGAAACACATCCTGCCGACCTTCAGCCCGCGAATCCTGCAAGATTTTGTGGACGTGTTCAGTGCGCAGGCGCAGATCCTGGTTCGGAAACTGGCCGAGGAAGTCGGCAAAGGCGCCTTCGATGTTTCCCACTACGTGAACCTCTGCTCGTTGGACATTATATGCGGTGAGGAGCCATGATTTCGAAAGACGTCGAGACTTGCAGTCGTATGGATTGGACTAAAGTGACTGTCTTGTTTCAGAGACCGCGATGGGGCTGAGCATTGGAGCGCAGGACGGCAACAACTCCGACTATATCAGGTCCACAGACAGGTGAGATTCAAATCTGGTGCCTGACAACTAAAACACAATGAAGATTTTTGTCTTGTTGGATTTGTCACCGTGTAGTCTGACACATATTTAACAGCGTTTCGAAACATACTGTTACCTCCATCTTCATTATGAAACAGTAAGCTGAGCATGGAGACAAGCGACTAGGACACGCGGTAGCGTTTCCGAGAGGTTGGTCGCTTCTTACAAGACTGGACGGCGTCAGTTGCCCAGAAGACAGGAACCTCATAGTCTAGCCGTCAGGATTATTTCCGAAGGCAGTTACATTTAAGCCTCTGCTGGCTGTCCAGGAGCGTTCAGGACAGAACAGCACAGTTTTTGAATGCTGCAAATTGTTTTTATTCACTTCCACGTGTTTACTTCTATTTCAATTTTGAATCTTCTTAAAGTCCCCGATGGGGGGGGGGACAGATGCCTGTTTTGTCCCGCAGCTCAAGGGAGGTCACTCTCCCAGTTTCTGTTTCTATACTATTTCGGTCCTGCTTCGTATTCTTGGGGTCCCGGGTTCAAATTTCGGCCCGAAGACCAGCTGTTACGACGGAGGTCCCAGTGGTTATCCTCAGTCCCTCAGTATCCTCAGATACTAATTTAAACTGGGCCACGACCACTTCCTCCTGAATCCTTTTGCTAATCATCCTACAAAATCCATGGTATTAAAGGCGTCGTGAAATAAACAATAAATGAAACAGACACTCTGGGCTGTGACTCCGTATTGTCTGGGAGAGCTTTGAAGTGCCGGAGGAACGTACCGCCTCCATCTTTCGAGTCGTCAAGATCGCGAAACAAGCAAAAAGCGCTACGTTCCCCCGAAACGTTGTTCAGTTTGTAGCAGACTGTATGCATTCTGTGTGCAGGCTGTGCCAGATAACGACTCTCCGTGTCTTCAAACTGTGGCTTCACCCGGACTGGCTCTTCAACCTGACGCCCCTAGGCAGAGAGCAGGCGCGCCATCTTCGCTGCACACACAACATGGTCAACGCGGTGAGTGCTGTAACTTCAACCAGCTGCTCCATTTCTTCATGGACGATCCACTTTAATATTATCATACCACTTCCGCTCAGTCGCCTTAAGGCTCGTCCAGTGGGCTTTTGTGGATGACACAATTTTCATGACGTTCATAAGTCTCTTGGTGTCAACGTTAAACAGTAGCTAGCCGCTAGCATGGATCAGACTCCTTGTTGAAGAGCTGACAGTAGCTCAGCTGGCCAAAGAATTCGCCCCCTCTTGTGGAAACCGCAGGTTCATTGCCGCATTCACATGAGCCCGCCACTAGACACTATCCCATGCCAGGAGAATCCAGTTCGCACTCCCCCACACAGTTATTCTTGAAAACAAATTTTAATATTATCCTCCCATATACCCCTGTGTGCTCCATGAGCTCTCTCACATTCAGATTTGACGGCTGAAGTACATAAGACTTTTACTGACTGTCATGCGTGCTTCAAGTCTCGCCCATCTCCTCCTCCTTGTTCGATCAGCCTAATGGCATGGGCGTGGAGGAGATCTCTCCACCCCTTCGTCACCTCCTCCCTCACCCTGAGTCTACGTCCGCCCGCCACTATGGCAGACCAAGTTTCAGACCCACACCGCACAGCGGGGCTATGCATTCCCATCTTCACGCACTCACTTTAGACTAGAAATTTCCATCTCTTGCTGGGTCTTGCAAGTGTCGCTCCTCCACAACATGATGTGGGAACTGCCCACATTCAAGCAAGTGTGACAACGCGAGCTTCATTGCTTAGCAACGACGAGTAAAATCGGTTGCTAGGCAAAGCCTACAACAATACGGACAGTGACATGTTTTCTANATGTAAAGTCTAAGAACAGGAACAGACTTTCAGATGTCGTGTTATCACATATTCTTCGAGTGGCAACCTCACAATTAGAAGTGGATTTTATATCATTGGTTTCCAGTTTTATGAAACCACAGTGCTCTCATTAAAACAGTGTGTATATGAGGATTTAGGTATAATCATTAGACCATAAAAACTATGATTGAAAGTCTTTTGTGCTCATCCCTGCTGAAAGAGGAATTTGTGCTGTTTTATGGTAAGTAATTGCACATTTCAAGGCATTTTATTTTTCTTTCTTAAATTATAATTGCATTTTCCCCCGGCATATATAAAACTAAACATAAGGCATGATCTGGCCAGTGTTTCTTTAAGAAAAAATGCTCTGGGGGTAGAAGTGATAGAAGGCAATAAAATCGATTGGTGAAATTTTCATTATCGGCTTAATATTATTGGTGCAACGTAAAATTTAAATACATAGGTTTAAATGCACTGTTTTTATACGGGTTGTGACTGATTCAGTTTGGGGGGCAATACTCCCCGACCACTCTTCTGAAAGAAACACCGTATCTGGCCCCTGATGGTGTTCTATAAACTAAATTTGGCCCTCGAGATGTATTAGGTTGGCCAACGCTGGTCTAGTTAATGTGGGACCCTCAACATCTCACAACCCTATGGGCCTTCACGGTCTGTTGCAGGGATAGCTTTACTTTTTACTTACGCTGTCAGTTGCTCAGCTTAATATAAAAGGCTGTGGAAGGAAGCGGTCGTGGCCTATCGTCTGTGCTCATTCAAACGCAGCCGCTGTATCAGTGTCAGTTTGCACTCCTCTCCTAAGGAAGGAAGTCGCTACAGCATCTAGGCTAGAGGTCTGACGACACGTAGATCGGGGTTCGAGTCTCAGCAGAGGCAGATATGTGTCCAGACCCATTCGGGACAGCTTCGCATTCCGTGGGTACTCTACTGGAGACCGTATTCCCTGGGGTAACACGGCCGGGGCGTGAGGCCAAGGTTAAGGATGCCTGGAGCTATGCCTCCACTCCCCCATGCTGCTTAAATAAACACAGGCACAACAGACCACTGCAGTCCAAGGCCTCCAGTTTTCCGCGTTTCGGATTCTGGTTTGTGTGGACACTGCATATGACCCCCCACACGGGGGATCGGCTCTTCGCGAACACCCTGGCAGCACACAACAAGAGAAACAGAAAAATGCGGACATGCTTTCGAAGTAAAACCCATGTATCAGGTGTTGGAGCGGCAGAGGTCAGTAGTCGGCTTAGCCGGCTGTGCTTTGAGCTCGCGCCGCGCGCAGCGCCACTGTCTACTCCGTTGTCTCTGTTTCAGGTCGTGCGCAGGAAGAGGCTGGAACATGGTTTGAACTCGAACGGTAAGTGGAGGCTGCTGTGATTTCGGGTAGAGCGGGTAGAGAGACCCACTGCGTGTCTGTCCACTGAAACTGTGTCTCCTGCTGACAGATGGCAGCACCTCCAGGAAGGTGTTAATCGACCACTTGCTGGAGCTGACCGGAAAGAGACTGGACGACCAGCAGCTCAAGGACGAGGTCACAACCATGATAGCAGCGGTGCGTGGGCTTTTGTTTCACACCAATTTAGATTTTAAATATTTGACTGTAGTGTTGCCAACCATCAACTGAAACTGCCTGCCGTACGTAAGCAAGGTTGCCATTTCCCTCCGAGGGTTTTCTTTTTGACCCATGGATTTCGCGAATGACGGCTCACGAGGCTTGCCAATACTCTTCCTACTGTTGTAACACCCTCTAGCCTCCTGTGGCCTATGTCAACCAGCCCACACTAGCCAACAGTATAAATATGCATGTGAACAGAACTGCGAGACAGCTGAGGAGGATGTAGGGAACTACGCTAGAGGAGAAAGCGTAACAGCTGAATGGGCGATTTGGGGGGGGGCGAGCATTGGACATCTTCCCGTGGCCTCAGTATAAATACACACCACATGGGAGAAGCTTCGCTTGCAGATTGTACACGAGCTGCATGATGAAGTTCATTCGGTAGATTGTACCAACGCTTCGGAGGAAGTAGCTGCTTCCGTCTTCAGGGAAGGATTTCGAACGATGGCCTGCGTGTCAGAAAAAAACGGATTCATGTTACCGGACCCAAGTTCCAGCCACTGAAACCGGTAGAGTGACTTCAAAACATGGACAGACCAACGCCCCCCTCCCCCCCTTGTNCGAAAGATAGTGGTCACGCTCACCACAAAATGAAACGAAACGCGGAGGGCAGGGTGGGGGGGGGGGGGGGGCAGCAAGCAGGTGCTTGACTTCATCCCAATAAGAAAAAAAGAAAAAATTCGAAGAAAATTGGTCAAATACTAGTACCAAAAATTAAAATTGTTTTTAAACGTACTCGTATTGTTGCATTCTGAATAGTCTGGGGGGAGCACAAGAAACTGACTTAAATAGATTAAAAATAAGTTCGTATGCAATTTTCTTGTTTAATGGATGCAGAAAACGGTAAAACGTAAGAATTTGTCGTTCCAGGTTAATGTTTAGCGACATATTCCTATTTATATGTGGGCATTAGAATGTACTGAAAGTTATCCCATGAATACTGTGACTGAGCAGGGGGCACGCGGTAGCGTAGTTGGTTAAGGCACTATGCTACAAGCCGGAAGGTCGCGGGATCGAATCCCGATGAGATGGATTTTTTCAATTTACCTAATCCTTCCAGCCGCACTATGGCCCTGGGGTCGACTCAGCCTCTAACAGAGATGAATACCGGAAATATTCTTGGGGGTAAAGGGCGGCCGCGCGTAAGGCTGACAACCTTACCGACATCTTTGAACCGATTGTCTAGATAATTTGGAACCTTCAGCGTCTCACAACCCTATGGGCCTTCACAGCCTGTTACAGGAATAGCTTTACTTTTCGCTTTTCTACTGTGACTGAGCTTCCAGAAATACGGTCACAGAGGAACTAAAAAATTCGCAAATAAATGCCTCAAACGTATTACAGAACAACGGAATGGCCTCTACATCTGTTGTGTTGCAACCGAACTCTTTCATCTTACTTTCAGTGACGACGTCTCACATAGCAAAGCTGAAACTGAGGAACGTGTGGCAGCCGTCAGAATATGCCAGTGGGTTGATGCAATTGACACGCTGCCGCTCTAATCCTACGCTTCTTTGTCACAGTGTATCACACTCTGCCCCGATGCCCAGAAGAGACATGCACAATATACATTCCCCCCCCTCCCCCGGTAAAGTGGTTCGAGCTATACCAAAATGAGAACATCTCTATAAAATTTAGCACAGGTTCACCGTACCAATTTAGGTCAAAATCAATCAAATAGTTTGGCCCTTGCTACAGGAGGCGAATGTATCGGACTGAATGAATGGATTTCAAATTCAAAAAGAGCTCGCAATGAAATGGGTGTTTAAATGGCTTACTCGCAGTCTCTGTTCCTATCTCCTCCTACTATCAAGGTCTTGTGAATTTAGCTCGGTGCTTGGTCATAGAGATCGTTTCAGGCGTGACCCCTTGTTTCAGGGAAAGGACACCACTTCCACCGTGACCAGCTTCGTACTGCTTGTCCTGGCCATACACCGGGACGAACAGGTAAGTCTACCGTTACCACGCACAGCACGAAAGTGCGATTCGCGCCCTCTTGTGCCATCCCTTGTCAACAGGCAACGATTTCCCTTCACTAGGAGAAAGTCGCCGAGGAGCTGCATACCATATTCGGTGACTCGGGTCGGCCTGCCACGTCACGTGACCTGCACGAAATGCAGTACTTGGAGCTATGTATCAAGGAGACCATGAGAATGTTCTCTGTGGGGCCCATTATAGCGAGACATCTGACGAGAGACGTGCCACTCTGTAAGTATCCAGGCGACCGTGCTGTGCCTGCCACCACTGCAGCTCAGCACGACACATAGTAAGCTTATGACGAATTATGCTGCAGGCCGGAGGGTCGGCGGTTCGTATCCCGATGTGGTCATAGGATTTTCCAGTTGAGATAACCCTTCCAGCCGCACAATGGCCCTGGGGTCACTCAGCCTCTAACAGAAATAAGTATCAGGAATCTTCTTGGGGATAAGGGCGGCTGGCACGTAAGGCTGACAAACTCACCGCCATCTGTGAGCCGGGTATCTGTAATATGTTGGAACCTCGACGTCTCACAACCCTATGGGCCTCCAGGGCCTGTTACAGGGATAGATGCGATATACCCGCTGAAAGTCAATCAAAGTTTCGGAAAAAAACATGCCATCTCTATATTCAGGGCGAGAACTGAGCCAATCAATAGGATTAAGCAAGCTGCAAGCTCCATACCCGCTTCATACTGGTTCCTTGACTGGGGACTGACGTTCAGGCGCTAACCAGACGCACCCGAAACACTGCCATTTCATCTCACAGGCTGGACAGGTGTAACTCTTCCGCCTTCTCGAGATCCATTTTGTCGTGGTCGCAACACTAGAGAGATGCCCGCCAGTAATGCAACATTGGTTTTGTGAGAATCGTGTAAAGGGAATAAGAAAATAACGGACTCTTTGATTAAGCGAACCTGTTGTGTGAGCATGACGGGTAAAGCTTTCCATAATTGGCAGTGACGTGTCCCAACTAGAACAGGTTTCAATAGTCTCTGGTGATTTTCCTTCATCACTCTCCGGCAAAGTTGCTGTCCATTTAGCTATGTGTGGCAGGCATTTGGTGTCCTGCAGTATCCAAGAAAACGCTCAACAGGGAAAGTATTGGGATGATGAAAGAATCGATACCGACTTTGTGACAGGTTTATATGTTTTCAGCACACCCGACATGAAAAAGCAGGTTCCGCAATTCGGTTTGTATACAGTAACCCCTCTCTAATCCGGATTCTTTGGGGGGGGGGAGAGATTGGTCATACGGGTTAAGCGATAATCAAGAATAATGAATCAACAGATACTTCTAAAAGAAAAAACGAAAGAACTTGGGAAAGGAAATGGAAAATATGGCAGACCTGACTAAAATAGATAAAAAAACAATGCAGAAATTTCTTCCTCTGTCAGAAGCTGAACTCCAAGGTCTCCCCTATCCAGCTCAAGCCAAGCTTGCGTGGTTTCAGTCTCTCCAACACTCATCAACACAGTCTGAAAGTCCTCTCGCTCCTAAATCCCACGTGCCTTTTTAAAGTATGTACTCGACTGTGAACAGATTTCTTCATTTTTCATACTTGGATTCGGATACGCTGTAACCAGACTAGCGAGGGCTTACATCCCTAGGGCCTCAACGGTTGAAGGGTAAGTCAACCGCCAAGCAAGAAACAGGTAGCAATTTTTGTTTCCTGCCTACTTCATATTGGTTTCTTGCTCACCTTAGTCTTCACTCTGAAGACAGAGGCGAAATGTTCCTTCCAAACGTCGGCTAACTTTCAACGGACTACAAGACAGTATACTCGTATTCCACAAGATAAAGCTCTTATAATACATTCTTAACATAAGTCAATAAATTGCCTTACTGCCAACAGTCTTGTGGACACCACAGTAAGTTTAAGGTCTCCGGTGGTGGTGCGACTGCTATGTGGCATCTGCAAGAGCAGCCATGAGATGTCTCTGCGATCTCATTGCAGCGGATGTGGTGCTGCCTGGTGGCAGCTCTGTCGCAATCTGCATACAGCACGTGCACATGGACCCGGAGCACTTCCCGGAGCCACACAAGTTCAAACCGGAGCGCTTCGTGTCGGCCAACAGGCGACATCCATTCAGCTACATTCCCTTCAGCGCTGGCCCTAGGAACTGCATCGGTACGTACATAGGCCACGAACCGCGTACTTCCGTATCCCTGACAGTCGTTAAATGAACAAGCACACAAGCTTTACCTTCTGCACAGTGGCCTACTAATTAAGGTAACGGTGTATGTGTGTGTGCGTGCGTGCTGAGATCGTCGTTGAGCACGTAAATGTAAGCTTTTCGCCTGCACGTGGTCCGGTGTGCTGGACTGAGAAGCAAGGGCTGGACACAAGTTGTGAGATTTGGGTCAAGTGACCGTTTTCATTGCAGTAGCTGCAGGCTTCATTTGTTTTCCTTACTAATCTCAAGAGGGGCCAGATGGGCGGGCATGTAGAACACATGAGAGAGGGTCAGTGAAGTGCATACACAGCGCTGGTCGGCAACCACGAAAGGAAGAGAACAGTTGGAAGACTAAGATGTGGACTGGAGGATAATATTAAGACGGATCTTACGAAATTAGAGTGGGTGTCTGTTGGCTAGGGGCAAGCTCAGTATAAACCTTTGGGACCCATACAAGCGGGGAATTTATCGACCATACTGCGTCCACTACGGGAACAGCGGTTCGTCAGCTTCAGTTGGTGAAGTGGACCGTTACCTCATCACAAGAAAGTAACTAGATTACATTTTCAATATACTTCCGGTATCCATATGAACAAGGGAATTTGATACATGCTGAGCCACAACTCCTTCTGCAAGGTGTCACGTGTCCTGGTCCATAGAAGAGATGTATTTCAGCTAAGCAACTGTCAGCTTCTGCTTGCAGTTAGTCATTTGATTCCTCACTCTGGTATTAGCACGCAGTAGCGTAGTTGGTTGATGCACTATGCTACAAGCCGGAAGGTCGCGAACCTTAACATCTCAACCCTCTGGGCCTCCACGGCCTGTTAACAGGGATACCTTTACTTTACTTACTTCACTTACTCTGGTTTTAGGCCGCTCCATAGCTCAAGCGGTTAGTCGCTGGCTTCCCACCGCGGCGGCCCGGGTCTGGTCAGGTAGGATTTGTGGTGGACAAAGTGGCGTTGGGCAGGTTTTCTCCGAGTACTTCGGTTTCCCTTGCCAATCTTCATTCCACCAATTGCTCCACAATCACCCTCACCTATCATCTGGGGCTGGTACAATAGGCCAGAAGTGGCCGCAGTACAAGGGACTAAGTCCCACCCCACTAGCAGTAAAAAAATTTACTCTGGTTTCACCAACACGAATTGCGTGCGTATGTAGAGTGTAGAGTTTGAAATTAGAATAGTCTGCTGGGAAGTGCAGTATGACGACAGGTCGACACGGGTAACAAACAGTTTCATCCCTGTTTTGATGGTCAGTTCGCCAATGCACAGGAAAACAGTCGCTTCTTGTGACAACCGAACAGAGGATGCGCATACACTGTGGGGACTCACGTAGTATGTGAAAATTTCTGTCCTCTGGGGTTTGACAGCATGTATCCCACACAAATTCAACGCGTTTTGAAGGAAAGTGCTGCCTCCATCTTCAGGCTCCGCTTTCCGTCTCCTTCGTAATTGTTTGCTTGGCTTACTTGTCTCCTCCCGAAGATGGAAGCTGTATGTTCCTCCGAAACGTTACTGAACTTCTACCAGACTACGCAGCGTCACGCCTGAGAGGATCTTACTCTTCACAGTGAAGGCTGTGACAACCAGAGCTCCACGAAGGGTGGTGTAAATCTAAAAGGTAAATTTGTCCCTGTGCTTCATTAATTAAGCACTACGTCATGAAGACGTGGACATATAGCTCCAGCAGTCTTCACCTCGGCATCAGATGGAGGTGAGTGATCAGATTCACACCCCAGGGGAAAAGCCCCCTGTACCCATTAGCTGCGAGGCTTGGTGACCCCACGGCTGGCCTGGATAGTGTGGAGTGGGGAAAATCTCTTGCCTCTGCTGGAAATCGAAGGCCGGCCGATTGCTGTATTGACTGCGCTGTCCCTACTCAACACGACTGGCGGTGTATGGTTCTTTTGTGGGCTGCAGGTCTGCGCTACGCCGTGCTGGCCGTGAAGACGATGGTGTCCACCATTTTACGTCACTACAAGATCACCACGCCTCTCAAGATGGCGGACATTGAGCTCAAGTTGGAAGTTCTGCTCAAGCCGGTCCAGGGATTCCCCCTTGTGTTGGAGCCAAGAACTTGCAGCTGACGCGGAGTCGCGTAGTTTAAACAAGAGAATGTATGGTATTTACTGCGACAAGAGAGACTCAATTTGTGCACTTCCATATATGAACACGTGTTTTTCTTCTCAAGCAGCGACCAGCATCCACTGAACTCCTTCATGCATCCTAGTCCCCTCCTGTTCAAGCAGTAACATTCTGCAGGTGCTCGGCTCGAATCTCGACCGTACCTGAGGGTTTTCCTCATCCCATCCAGGCAGATGACGGGATAGTACCTCTAGTAGCCCACAATCCTTCCCTTCAAAATTCTTTACTAGCGCTTGGCGCCCCACTGTCCAGACAGAGAGAGCGTCGGTACTGAGGTCCTTGCACCCTTCCCTCCGAGACTGAGGCGATGCATGTCCTCGCGCCCAGACGAGAGGGGTCACAAATGATATTGCGGGGCAAGTAACCCGCAGAAGGTCTCGAAATAACAAACTTACATCACGGAATAATTTCGAAATGGAAACGAGAACTGGCGAGTGAATGGCTCGGGGGGTGCGGAGGTAAAGGGGGTTTCCCTCCGCCTGGAGACACAGGCCGACAAGAATGTTGCAGCCAGCGCGAACCGGGCAGAGAGTCATCCATCAGGCAAGTGTTGCGGAGTACACGGTTCCCCAAAATTTCGTTATTACTTTGGGGCCTTTTCCGAGTGATTTACCCTGATGAAGAGTACTTCGTTACACTTATAAAGAATTCAAGTAACTTAAAATTAAAGTTTTAACAAACTGGGCCGAAATGAAAACTAAAATCAACTCAGGCCTCATTATACGCATGCTTCATCCAGGAAGACTTGTAAAGGCAATAGCATTCCAGTTGACAGTAAATGTACGAGCAGTCTGATGGTGTCCGCTAGACGAAATCATGTAGTGATGATAAAAAACTGTATGGAATTAGTTCATTTGCATGAAATGGCAGTGCAAACGGAACTTCTCCTACGCATCAATCAAGAAAACGTACCATAACCGCCCCCCCCCACACACACACACACACACATTTCCTATCGCGCATGTGGCCTCAGCAGTGCTCATTAGCCTGGGTGTCGTAGGAAGGAGATCACATTAGGGATTTATGGTAAACTGTGAGCTTTTTGGCTCAGTCAGTGCAGTGACTAGGCTAGACGGACTTCTGCACAGCGTCCAGTGGATACCGGTGGAACATGGCCACCTCCCGTCCAGAGATAGCGTTAAGAATGCAATCAGCTGTACTTCTGCACAGCGTCCAGTGGATACCGGTGTAACGCGGCCACCTCCCTTCCAGGAACAGTGTTAAGAATGCAATCAGCTGTACTTCTGCACAGCGTCCAGTGGATACCGGTGTAACATGGCCACCTCCCGTCCAGAGATATCGTTAAGAATGCAATCAGCTGTACTTCTGCACAGCGTCCAGTGGATACCGGTGTAACATGGCCACCTCCCGTCCAGAGACAGCGTTAAGAATTCAAGCAGCTGTACTTCTGCACAGCGTCCAGTGGATACCGGTGTAACGTGGCCACCTCCCTTCCAGGAACAGTGTTAAGAATGCAATCAGCTGTACTTAAGCAAGAAGTTCATGGCTCATAAAGGGCCGTTGTGCCAATCCTTGCTTGAAGGGCAGGTCCGCCGAGAGCTGTGGCAATTTGAAACGTTTTTAGATTGGAAAATATCAACCGCAGGCAAGGTACATCACCACATTCCTTCCATAACTGGGTCTGCAGTAAGCGAACCAGAGGGCAGGGAGTGAGATGCACACTCGAGTGCGTCTTTCCTTCCCGACGCTCTTTTGAGGCTCAGTATCCATCAGACGGGGAGCCAAGGCGACTGCTGATCGTATGGAAACCGAATTCATAGCTCATAACCGATGTGTGGGGGCTAGACTTGACGCCCTGCAGACAACGGTCCCCCCTGATGTGGTGAACCCCTGCAAGTAATATACTAAAGAAGGAAGTAGAGGAAAATGTACATATGCTTAATTAATTAGACACAAAATTAGGAATGACGTATCGGGAGGGAATTGGACGCATGTCCCCAGTCTGCTGGTTGAAATGGATATGAGCGATCAGCTTTACCTCCAGGGGAAAGATCCCGCGGTAGACATTCCGTAGCCGGTCTGGACACTGATGGAAGAAATATGTCAGTTTCTGTCAGGAATCGAGCTCGTAACCCGGTTATTATAAAGGCTGAAATGGTAAAGTGTTTAAAAGTGAAAAAGAACTGTTTAGTGGGCAGCATTCCGAATGAATGTCTCGAGCACCTTCCAACTATACCATACATATTATTATTATTATTATTATTATTAGAGGGGGTGGGTTTCCCCATGCACCGCGCCTAATAGTCTATTGTACGTCCCCCTTTGATATTCTACCAGTCGCCATACCCTACCGGTACTGGTGCTTGATATCAGCCCCGTTCAGCCAACGAGGTCGGCCCTCGGTACCCGATACTTCCCCCATAAACCGGATGCACTGGAAATTATTTGGCGGGAAACTTTGTGCCTAATTTTGCTCAGAGGTCTCCCAGAGACATGAGGATCTTTTACGTGCCGTAAATCTACGACACGGGACCCACGGCTTAAAGTCCCTCCCTGAATTTTTCCGCTGTTAAAAATTCCACGACCTCCGCCGGGGTTGAACCCGCGTACCTTGAGTCATGAGGTGGGAAAGTTACCCCTAGACTACGGAGGCCGCTTTACCATACATCTTACACTTTTATGTACAACCTCCCCTCAGAAGGAAAGCTCGACTTTAGTGAACGCTAAACGGGCCCAGGACTCTCTGATCTTTATATTCTGATGTGTACGTGGCCCTTTGTTTCCGAGAACATTTAGGCATGCAGGCGAAGTATTTGTGTCTCTTGTACCCCAAGACCGAAAGCGTAGTGTCGGTTTCGGGTGTTCGAGAGGTCGGACGCATGGAGGGTGTCTATGAATTCCAGAATGATGTCATTCTTACATCTCTATGCAAAGATTTTGTAACCGTAATCCATGATAATCTCGTTAGCATTTATGAAGCATCTGTTTTGGAAGCGTTGCAGATTTTGTATAAAGATCGGAGCTGCAGTGCTCCAGACTGTAACAGCATGGGCTAAGATGAATCTTAACAAGGTCCGTTATACTAGTAGTGTTAATGCAACCTTAAGATTAACCCAGAAAAAAAGAAGTAAAATAAAGATATCCCTGTAACAGGCCGTGGAGGCCCATAGGGTTGTGAGATGTTGAGGTTCCCACATTTTCTAGACAATCTGCTCATAGATGACGGTCAGGTTGTCAGTCCTACGCGCCGGCCGCCCTCTACCACCAAGAATATTACTGGTACTCATTTCTGTTAGAGGCTGAGTTGACCTCAGAGCCATAGTGCGGCTAGAAGGATTAGGTCAATTGGAAAAAATCCAATGACCTCATTTGGACTTGAACCCGCGACCTTCTGGGTTGTAGCATAGTGCATCAATGAACTACACTACTGCGTGCCCCCAAGATTAACACAGAACTTTTTTTGTTATGGGGTGTACACTAATTGGTCTGGTCTTCCAAGCGCTTTCTTCAGCGCAGCAACACAGACAGTGCTTGAGATTTGAAAAGTATTTTTTTCTATTTCAAGTTCAAGACAGTTGACGTTGATTTTCCACAAAATGTTATAACCGAAAATCCCCAGTTAGCCCAAGGCTCCTAATAGTGAATCCTGCTTTTGCAGTGTGATGCCCTCGAATTTTTGGCGCATTTTTTTATTTCGTCATTTACTGAACTGGAGATCGTAGTCGCCTATAATTTTCAGTAATTTGAGAAATATATTGTAGTTGTGAGTACGTGTTCAAGCGTACCAAACTGCGAGGCGCTACGTCCCAGAATACTATACTCTTCACAGGAAAATACAGTAATTGTAAAACGAAAATAGAAAAAAAACTATCGTTAGAAAGTGATTTGAATATTGTCCAGGACGTTTATGCTATTTCGTAGTTCTGACCGTTCTGACTGAAGCAGTATACTTTCAAATCGCGTTTTTGGTACGTTGGGGTTGGCTCTAGGTGGGATACGAAGTTAGAAGTATATTCATGAATGGAGGTACTCCAAACTCTGTTGAGCACGAGCCCCCAAACAAGTCATTGTACTATAGTGTATTGTAATGACAGTTCTGGAGATAAACTTTCATTCTGTTTCGCTCACCATATCCAAAGCCGAAACGGGATCAAACGCACATGCATTTATTCTCCATTCTTAGATATTGACATACGCGCTGTCTGACGGAAATAAAAGTAAACTCGCCAGATATAACGTGAGGAACGTGAGTCGTCGTTACGGTAGTTACCGTCGTTACCTTACAGCGAAGATGCCTATAATGAACAAAATTGGCACCGAGCAAGCACATGATATAACATCACATGCGTTTGTTTTTGCGTAAAAAAAAACTTGTTTTGTTCTAAGGCCGAATGGATTTTGAACGTTTGCAGGTGGATTACGGTGCAGGTAGGTCTTCTCTGTAGTCCGTCTGACTTTTTCTGTTGTTTGTATGTGGACATTGCAGGTCTCAATTAATTTCTGCATACAGCGGGAGTAAGTTTCTATACCAGGGAAGGCAGGAAATGCAAGGGGGCACTTTAAGAATGCTGTGGCAGGATTTTATACTAAAGAGGTAGGTGCTGTCACCACAGTAGCGAAACTTTTCACAATTATGTAGATCGTAGTGTACCATAATAGAACCTAACCAAGCGTACCATATGATACTCAGAACTGAACCTAACCCCGTCCAAACCAAGTGCCCTCTAAGTTTTGGACATAACTCATAATTGCACCGACGTACCATGTTTCCAGAGCAAGACCATCGTAAGCGTCACATGTTACTGTATTGCAGAAGTTAGTCATTGCAAGAACAGTAATAACCACAGCAAGAAGCAGTGTGAGGGAAACAAGCTGCATGTTGCCATCTAGGATGTGACGCCGTACAGTCTGTTATATATACACCAACATATCAGAGCATCCTGCTGCTATATTCAGTGTAAGTACCATGAAGCAGTGTCACCTTCCAGAAAACCACAGTTTCAAAATTCTTCAGTGTGTGTGACCAAGAAGACTGTAGCCAAGTCAGGGCATCTACTCATTGCCTTTCTGAGTGCAGAGTGTTTGTCAGATCTAATTTTAAGCTTTAATTAGTGACCCATCTGAGAGAGAAATGTCAGTGGCCTTCAGTGGGTGCATTATGTTTTCTGCATCATGTAACAATCGGAGTGTGCCTTTGTGATTCGTACCCATTTGTGTGCCAGACTGCCCTGTCACATCAGTTTGTTCGGATGTCCTCCTGACCATGAGAACCTCAGATCTTGTGAGTTAAGTGTATTGAAAAAATGGAACAGAGAGGGAAGCAGAAGATTGAGAAAGATGCAACAGAAAAGAAGAGGTGAAAGAGATGTTGGCAAGAAGTATGAGATTGAAGCTATTTACGGCTCTCTGCATGTGGGAAAGGTCTTTTATGTGTAAGCTGCGGTGTTTCTCTTCGCCACCATCACATCCAGGCTAGTTCTGGCCCCCCTTTGAGTGTTCTGGTCATGGATTCCTTGGCGCTTTTGCTCTAACCATGCAGTTGACAGCTTGCCTCCATCTAGTGGGAGATTAAGAGGCTAACTCAAGAAGCTGAGTCCTTCTTGAGAAGCCAGTAGTTACTCAGGCACTAAGGAAATTCCAAACATTTTGTAGAATCCAAAGGCTCATTACTGTGTGTACAAGAGCCCACTAACATTTCCTATCCTGAGCCAGATGAATCTGGTCCACATATTCCCTTCCTGTTTCTTTAAGATTCGTTTTCCATCCAGGCAAAAGGTGTAGAATTTGTGAAACTTCACCTCAACATAGTATGTATTCCTTTGTGGCATCATATCTAAGCAGAAGAGTTCCTACTTGATATGGCACTGATGAATGCTTTTGCTGATTTACGTTAGTTGCTAATCATCAGACCACCACCTTGATTGTCATGTTGATCTCTGCTTTCAGAGAGCAAATTATGGAAGACTGAGCAACAGGAAGTTCCTGAGATGGAACCCTTGTTTGTTGACTGTGGAGGCAAACCCTCTGCTGGGAATGTGGTGAGTGAAGAGTGTTGTGTGGCTCTCTCACAGCAATGCATGCAATTCCACATATAAGAGATGCTAATGTGCTGATGTGCAGTTAAGATTGCGGTGAAGTGGTCGTGTCTTTTTGACATGTTTTGAATCTCTGGGATTTGCATATGTTCCTTATTTTTAATTTTACCATGCAGGCAGACAGAAGTCAGGTCGGTCAGTTTGCCATTTGTCCTGTAGAGTTTCTATGCTGTGAAGCTGCATGTTCTGCAGTTACATATGAGCAGGAACAAAGCGTGACATGACTTCACTGCTCACTTCAGGTGTTACGAATTCCCCCTCGTAAAGCACTGAAGTTCCCTACTCAATGAGCAGCCAAGTACTGGGACAGAGTTGAAGATCCCAAGTTAAAGACTGAGGGTGTGATAAGGTGCTGCCTGGTCAGGACTGTTGCACACCTCAGGAATAAGTGAGTATGGAGCAGTGACAAAATACTGACGAGCAGGAGAACCTGCAAGTAACTGTTGATAAGCTCTGCCTCAATGGCACTTATCCACCATGAATCTCACACAAAATCACCTGAGATTGAAGCCAAGGCTCCTTGTTGAGCAGCTAGCTCTTCTGCTGCATTTTACATCATGTTACAGTGCTCAGAGAGCAAGTATCATGGGTTCAAACCGGAGCCGCTGTCAGATGATTCACGACCAGCATCTCCACCTGGTCATGAACAAGCAGTATTGGCAGCAGTGAAGGTTGAAATCCAGGTAAGTGAATGGTATTTATGGTCTAGCCCCTGATGTCAACCATGCACCATCCTATCTAGTGGATACCAGGACTAAAGTGGCTGGGGTGTAACAGTGGTCACTCACTGTACTTGTGTAGGGCCAGGGCTTCTGTGTCAAACCTTTACTTTTTGATACACGTCAGGGTTGTCGAATCACATCCCATCCCACAGACTTAGTCAGATTCTGCATTCACATACTGGAACAGTTTTTTTAAACCCTTTTGTCAGCACAGTGCAGAACCAAAACACAACATTTAAGATGTAGGCCATAATTCCTGGAGCCATTAAAAAGTTGGTGCAAGGAAGTTAGAATTTCTAAGTAAAAGTTCATGTGGGAGTGGATGTGTAGATCCACATTTTCTTGACCTTGGCACTAGGTGGAGGTGAGTGGACAGCTTCACGCCCTGGCCCCTTTACCCCCAGGGAAAGAGCCCCTGGTACCCATTGGGTAGGAGGTTGGGTGAACCCCAGAGCCAGTGTTGACGTTGTGGAGAAGAGAGAAATCTTGACCTTACTGGGACTCAAACTCCAACCCCTCAGTTGTCCAGCCCATAGCCAATAGCTCTACTGTCTATGCTATCACAGCTCCATTAGAATTCTTAGGTATTTTGGTTTAAAGTCTTGAAAAGCACACAGGATTTGATTTGTGCTGCAATCTGTACAAGGCATTTTTAACTATGTCATCAGTTTGAATTTTAAATCAGAGACAAGTCTGCCTTGATGCTGTGTACTGTGACACTTTGCTGCTACAACCTGCCCTTCTCATTAGGCTCCAAGTGGAAATAACAACTGATTCTTCTGTGCTTTCCATAAAAGAACTTGTTACCAGCACCTTTAAGTAGATTACTAAAAATGCAATGAAGAGAGAAAACATAAAGTACTATGATTTATTTTATCCATCTTCTAGTGCATACATTTATTTATCCCCTCTTCTCACTCTCACTACATGTTTCAGCACAAATGTGCCATCTTCAGGTGCTGATCCAATCCACGACAAACTAGTTCATTGCATGCCTTGTCTTTACATACTAAAATAACTAAAATATATATTTATCATATATACTGACAAATGTCAAGTGTTAAAATACTAAAACTGTACAGCATATTTCTTTCCTACGTCGTGTTTCATTACGCGAGTTATAACACACGCAGTCACAGGAGCGAGACGCAACACAGAGCACAATACACGATAGTGAAAGAGTGCTCCAACAGAGGATGATAGACGTGACTCGCGTAATGAAACACGACGTAGGAAAGAAATATGCTGTACAGTTTTAGTATTTTAACACTTGACATTTGTCAGTATATATGATAAATATATATTTTAGTTATTTTAGTATGTAAAGACAAGGCATGCAATGAACTAGTTTGTCGTGGATTGGATCAGCACCTGAAGATGGCACATTTGTGCCGAAACATGTAGTGAGAGTGAGAAGAGGGGATAAATAAATGTATGCACTAGAAGATGGATAAAATAAATCATGGGCTTAAATCAGTGCAACAGGACGCTAAAATATAACATTATAAAGTACTACATTAGTTAGCATAGCCGTAAGGTTTCTAGTACAGACATACAGTACTACCCACCATCTCCTAAACTGCTTCCAGCACATCCTTCAATCCTGCTACAATGAAGTATGTTTCAGACAAATCTTGCACCAATTCACCCTTCAAACCGTTCATTTTTTTCTGTATAACAGGCAGAAGTGCCTATTCTTTACTTAGGATATGACTGCTCCCTCTGTCAGTGTGATAGTTTATACTAACCCAAAATTTAAAGAAGTAAACAGTTAAATTAAGAACACAAAGTTTACTGTCATTACTTAAAAGAGAAGAATTGGGAATACAGTTCCAATCCCTTCCAAAAACTCTACCACAGGACTTGCACGTTGCTTTGGGTGCTGTGTATGAGGCCCACGATTGGACTCCAGGTGTGGAAGTCAGATGTTGCAAGGCCTCTGGCTTTTCAAGCTCACGCAGCTGTATTCCAGATGGTGTTCCATTGTTCAAGATTGTTTTTATTGTAGGAGGAGCCATGGAACATCAAGGAAGAGGTTATGACCCAAGTCACTGAGGAGAAAGATGGGTAAGAGTTCAGATTTGACTGTTTTGTATAACAGACTTCAGCTTGCAGAAATATTATGTGGCACTTAATAAATTGCAGTTGCACACACACAAGCTGAGAAACTATATTGGGCATCTTGATACTTTTAATGTAGAAAGAGATTTGTGTCCCAGATTTGCTTTTTCTCTAACCAAAGCCCTCTCTCATATTGAGAAGTTTGATTTGTGAGTGAGTGAAATAATTCTTTAAAGCAGAGTAATCACTGTATGTATCCCTGTTGTGTGGGCTTGTAAGTGGCCTGATCCCGCATCCGCAACAGCCTTATATCTGCACTACATCTCTTTCAATCCACCAAATGCTAGGAAACTATATGTTGATAGTAAACAGGTGTCACAGCAAGGGACTCTATGAATGACTAGTGAAAAACACCAGATAGACTGAAGTCTGTTATGGCTAGGACTTGTTATTGCTCAGTGTGGACTGACTGCATTACTTGTCAGTTTTCACCCAATGGGTTAACTTTAAAAAACAGTGCATCTTCTCCCACACAGTATTTATTGCTTTTATGTACTCAGAATATCAATGATTGTTTTATTAAACAGCGATGACTGATTGGTTTCTGTGTAGTATAGTTATATATGACATATCTCAAGATTTTGACAGATTTACATTTTTTAGCCCCCTTGATATGAAAAGGTCTTTTTCAGAATCCTGTCTGTATATGGATGTATGACTGGCTGGATAGATGTTTGCCTAGCTAGCATCTGAACAGTTGGATGAATTTTGAAGAGATGCAACTTCTGGGATATACTTTATAGTCCAGTGAAAGTCAGCCACCAAGCAAGAAACCACATGAAGCAGGCAACAAGTTGCTGGGTTCTTGCTTGGAGTACTCTTTGATCCTGAAGGTGAAGGTGACATGATCCTCTGAAACATCAGTGGACTTTCACAAGACTACACAGCGTTTTATCTCAGAAGTTTGAACTCTTCATAACCACTACTGTGAGGATTCCAAATCCTGCATGATTAGGTGCATATTATTCATGTTTGTTGTTCAAGAATTTATTAATCCTGGACCAGTGAATGGCAAATCTGAACGTTCCCACTCCAGAAATAGGTACCTATCAGATGGGCATCAAAACACAAAATGCCCATTTTCTTGAAAATGGCTCCGATTATTTTGATTAAATGCCAGTAATTTATGGAGACTATACCTAAATAAAACTGCATAGGTGGTATCTTAAAAAATTAACTATGTACACTAGGAGCCCCAAAGCGAGATGTGAGTTTATTGTAAACTGTTTGCCAGATGGGTTTCATTGTCCTGTATTCAGCAAACAACACTGGTCTACCGAGCAATGACCATTTTTATTTCCAAGGTAACATAGTTCGGGTCAGTTGTGTATGAGAAAATGTGTAGAATGTCTGGTGATGCAGTGTTTTTTGTGTGATACAGAAACTAAATTTTAAAATATTATTTAGATGAACTTTAGGCTTGAATGGGATAATACCTTAATGTGAATGAATGAATGACGAACGAATGTGGGCATATGGGGCATCACAGCTGGTGTAGTTTCTGTTACAGAGATGATGGGATGGTGAATCTACAACATATTCTTGATGGGAGAGAGTGTGATGTGGAATGTAGTACGCCTAGTGAAATTGACTGCTCAGAGAAAACTTCAGTGGCAATGACAAGTGACAGAAAACTAGAAAATAATTGTCAGAAATCAAAGGGTTATAAATGTGAAGTGTGCAGCAAAGTGTTTACAAGAAGCAATGACCTGAAAAGACACACAAGTACACATACTGGAGAGAAAATGTATACGTGTAACATATGCAGTAAAGCATTGTCACAGTATCGATCTCTAGTTCGACACCAGCGCTGTCACACTGGGGAGAAACCGTATAGATGTGATGTATGCAATACAGGTTTTGCCCGAAATGAGGGTTTAGCTGGACATCGTCGTATCCACACTGGAGAGAGGCCGTATACGTGTGACTTGTGCAGTAAACGTTTCTGTCAAGTCGGCCATCTTTCCAAACACAGACGTAGTCACACGGGAGAGAAGCCATACGTATGCGAAATATGCAATAAGCGATTCTGCCAAAGTGGTCATCTTGCCAAACATAGACGAAGTCACACTGGAGATAAACCGTATGTTTGTGATATATGCAATAAGTCTTATAGGAGTAGAGATACTATTGTGAAACATGGACGCACTCACATCTGCACCCAGCTGGAAAAACATGGTGTGTAGAAACACCTTTTGTCTAACTGGGTGCCTTACTCAACACACAGAAATGTGTGAGAGTATACAGTTATTACAGTTGTGTGGGTTGTGATGTCATGTAGTCTGATAGATTTTAGGACTGTCTTGAAGAAATGTGCTCCATCTTCGCAATAGAACAGTTTGCTCTGAACATGGTGGCAGCAGTTTCCTTTGAAGCAATGGTTTTTCTGTACTATAGTGCAAGGTGTCATCCCAAGGGGCAGAACCCTTCATAATTAATGTTGTGGGATGTGGTTGCCTTAGTCCATGTATCAAATTACAATTATTTATTATTTAAACATCTATAACTATGTCTGTACCACAGTAGATCTAAACTTTGATTCCTTAAGGCATTTTATGCCTCAACCATTTATGTCTTACTGATAAGACACTCTCTAAAATGAAATGTTCAAGAATCTCTTACTTACAACCTCTTTATTACAGCCATCACAACACAACAAATATCAAGATCAGTGCCTAGTTTCGGCTTTTCTACATGTTTCAGCTTACAGTTAACATACATACACCACTGAACTGCCGTACTAGTAAAATTGGATACAATACTATTAATTATATAAAACACTTGACAAACAGAAGTTATAATATAAAACAAGAATAAAATTCTTAGAGTGATGTTTTATATCATCGAATCAATCGTTGGTTTTGTAATTTTGTTGCGTTTCCATGGACAAATTGGAATATTGTATATTTTGTGTATATAAAATTGTACAGGAGGCACGTGATGTAGATGTAGTAAATTAATGCTAATTGTTTAGTTGGTGCCTCATCTTACAAAGTATTGTCTATTCTATAGGGAATGTAAACAACTACTCTTCCTTATTTATATTTATGGGTAATGTTATCCTATCAAGACCAGGTAGTCTGTTTTTTAGGGTTGGCTGACTGTGTAATGCTGTCAGTATTGAAATCATGCAGCATTGATGATAGGATGATTAATGAATGTGGAACAGTTAGTGTAATGAAAATTGGCAAGGGAAACTGAAGGACTTAAGAGACAACCTGCCCCAGTGACAAGCCAGCAAGTAACCACCTGAGTTATGGCATGGCCACTTTAACTTTTAAATGGTGGTTCAAAAGGTACAGCTTTCTCAAAATTCTTAATGATTCAAACTGGAAGACTCCTTAAGTACCAGGAAAGGTGTAGAGATAACTTTGGTCTGGTTGTTACTCAAAATTTTTCAAATGATTATTTTCTTACCTGAATATATACTTCAACAGTTTCGTACCATTTCCACATATACACTTGGGCTACTTATGGCAAGGATTTATATATTTTATACAGAAAGCCATATGCCACTTCTATTTTGTAGACTTATGTAATTTATTTTGAAAATGCTAATAATTAAAACAATGTTTATATATCTGTACAGTTTCAGCCATTGTTTTTGTTTTTACATGTCAGGATGATTTTCATTATCATTGTTACTGTAGGGTTATTTTACACCTTTGTTGATGAAATATGGAATCATCAGATGCACTTGCACAAAGAGTGTTCCACATAGGCTGTCAACTCAGATGAATTCATGACAGTAGTTATTTGCTGCCTTAGTTTAATGTGATGGCAACTTCAGTTATTGACATCTATGTGCTGTCATAATAAGGTCTACTTTTGCAGGTAGTGCTGTGTCCATATTAACAGCTACATTGAAATTTGTATTTCACAATCATATGCAAAATAGGTATTGAAACCTACATATGTTGTTTTTTGAGTATTTGGACCTTCAGCAAAGTTTATTGATAAGTGGTGTAAATGTGTTGGAAGCTTAACCATTTATCTGTGAATTTTGTTTTATTGTTTGAGGGGGTGCAACAAGATACATTCAGTTCTTGAGTCCCCTTGTCAACAGACTTTTTTTTTGGGGGGGGAGGTTACAATTTATGTATTGTTTTTATAAACGTGATTATTTCCTGTATTCCTTTTCAAATTTTCCATACAGAAGAAAGTACTGTGTGAAGATTATAGCTTAAGTCTGCAATCATATTTCAATTCATACTAGAAAGACCACAGATAATTCTGTAATGTCATATGTCTTTGCTCTACTATGGGTTATGTTGAGGAAACTGTTAACAAATGGAAGATCTGCAGGATAATAAGTGCACTTACCTTTAGTTACTGTTAGAGGCCAAATCTACCCAAGGGCCATAGTGCGGCTGGAAGTATTAGGTAAATTGAAAGAAAAAAACAATGACCTCAACAGTTACAAAACATAACTTGGAATAAATCTAGTCCTTCATATTTGAACTTAATTTCCAATTGTGTGGCAGTATACTTTCAATTGTATGAGTCATCCAAGCTTTCTGATTTGTTCAGTGAATCAGCTGAAAATTGAAGTTGATAAGCCTAATGCATCTACAGTCACTCTTTCATTAACTATAGCATCAGTAAAAACATATTTTACTGTTCAGTCATTTCAGTGCCTCAGTGGTAAGGAAGTTGTTTGTTTTACCGGACAAACAGTACATTTTCAATTAGCACTCACAGTTCTCACCGTTCCAGTGCAACTTCATCGATGTATTAAAATTCACACTTCAGAAGCATTTGTCTCTTCCTGTTATTTGAACACTACATGTTTCAGCCCATCTGGCCATCATCAGGTGTACAGGTTGTAGAGGAAACTGCTGACCCCCTTGTCACACTTTGCATTTTAAGGGCGTAAAATACTTATAAAACATATCATGACCTATGCACATGTTGTGGGTCTGGTGTATGTGATATAATAATAGGTTATAAAAAAGGGTAAAGTTGTCCCTGTGCTTAACTACTTAAGCATGATGCCAAGAAGACGTATGGAGGAACGGATGTGTACGTCATATTAGTGTTTTGTTTATGAAATTAATATTATGTTCTATCAGTGTAGTTGTTATACTTTCTATTGGTGTCTTGGTTTTTATTTTGTAATTTGCAGAGCTGTTTTGAATGTTTTGTGAAGTTGGTCCTGTTTTTATATATGAGGTAGGGTGTGTGCTGCTAAGTAGCCTTCATATCCTGCAATGTTCAGAACGTTTGGTTATGTGTGTCAATGTTTGTGTCCTTCATGTGTAAGTTGTTTTTACTGATTTTATACATATGGTATTTTTCTAAAGTGTTAGACTGTTTTCCTTTCTTTTGTGTTCTTATGATGTCCACTGTATGTGTTAAGGTTCCATAAATACCATGTTTAATATGTGGCTTAAGTATCCCATATTACTATTATTATTTCTAATTGCTTGTATATGCTTATGTGTGCTTTGTATCTAACATGGAATATTCTGCCTGTTTGTCCTGTTAATTTCAGTGGTCAATCTAGGCATTTCATTTGGTAGATGCCACTTTTGTTGTATTTTTCTGTTTGTGGGTGATGTTTTACTATCTTTATTTGCATATCCTTGGATAGTTTTGTAATTTTTCTTGTTTCTTTTCAACTGCATGTAAAAGTGGCCCATTTTTTTTTTTTGGTGCTGTGAATCAATGTCCATATTTTGTTTTTGTGGGGTGGGGTGTTTTATGACTTCGTTTTATTGTCATGTAGTCTGTTATTTATAATGTTTAGTGCAACAATATGCTGCAGTAATTCTCTATTCTGCCATTCAAGAATAGTCCATGTGTAGACAGAAGATAGGAAATATAACACATTTGGATTAAGTCATCTTTAAACCAAAACCCACAATAGATTTCAGGTGGTTGAAGCTTACTGAGCAAATGCTCTAATTACAGTCATAAATAAATGTATGTCTTGCAAAGTCAGTACATATGCAACCAGAAGTAGACATTTCAAATTCCTTCCTCTAGCTTTCCAAACTTCTTTCTGTGCACTTCTACATGCATCTTGAGGCTGCACTTGTAAGAGAAGCCCTTACCACACTCACTGCACTTAAATGGCTTGTCTTCTCTGTGCACAGCAAGGTGCTGCACATAATTGCTCTTCTGTATGAAGGCTTTACCGCATACGCTGCACGAGTATGACTTCTCTCCAGAGTGTAACTTGAAGTGTCGCTTCAAGTGATTGTTAGATCGAAACTCCATGCCACAAACTGAGCACTTGAATGGCTTTTCTCCAGTATGGACCATAAGATGGGTGTTAAGGTGGGATCTATTCGTGAAACGTTTTTCACAGACCGTGCACTGCAAGGGGCGCTGCTTAAGGTAGCGTCTCTGATGGGACCGCAACAGTGACTTCTCATGAAAGCGTTTGTTACACACATTACAAGCAAAGGGCTTCTCTCCCGTATGGACCCTAATGTGCTGTGTCAGGCGAAACTTGGTGAGGTACTTCTTCCCACAGTAAGTGCACAAGTGCTGGAAATTCTGCTCATGACTACGAATGTGCTGCTTGAACTGGACACTGTTCACCTGCTTGCCACAAACATTGCACAGACACGTTTTCTTGTTTGCTGGCTTATTGACAATACTGCCTCCATTGTTCTTCACTATAAGTTCCTCTATATGCTTGTCATTCATTTCATGTTTCATGCTTAAATGCTTTTTGAAGGCACCTGACAGCAAATATTGTTTGCCACATGGAGGACAAATGTATTGTTTGTCCTCAGTTGGTGCACAATTTATGTCAACATCCAAGCCATTCTTTACAACACTGGATGAAATGTCTGATATGCCACTTTTCATGGAAGAGCTATTCTTTTCTGCTGTTTCTGAACACACATTACTGCTCCAGATCCCTTGAGCACCATCCTGACTTGCATCCCTGGAACCAACAGAAGCACTCTTGTTTGTTCTTAATTTAACAGGAATAGGTGGCCACCCTATGAAGGGAGTGTGGAGGAAGTGGAGTTACAAAGATATGTGTATACTGCTTACCGATCATTACAGAGTAGTGGACTTAATTCTGGTGCCACTGCTTTCTCATCTTTTTGTTCCTTACTGCTTTGTGCCTCCTGCTGGAATATACAATTGCATAATCAATAACAAAACTACCAGGGCAATACTAATAAATGACGAGGAATATCACTCACCGCTATGTTTAGTAAATGTCGCAGTATTGAGTCTGCTGTGAGACACTTTTCCTTGAAAGTGAGGGCTGCATTCAAGTGGGTAACACATTCGTTACACACCTGAGTAGGAAGACCATCCCCCAGCTCCACCTGTAGCAAAACTCTTGTGTACAGACTGCTGCCCATGCATAACATATTGTATGTTGCCCCTAACAGTATGGCATCCAGAATGTAAACTACAAAACATTTCCTTATGAAATTCTCTCCAACCTGTCCGTTTCTCTTTCTTAAGCAGAAACATTCCCCACAGCACTCTGCTCTCAAGAACCCTCAGTGGCAGATTTAAATATCACAGGCATTTAAAATAAGTAACAGTTTTGTAAGTTTTGTTATACATGTTCTCAGCAGCACAGGAGATGATAAAATATTTTCTGATTAAGGCTAATAGCAGTCCTCAAATTTAATATGCTATTAATTTCCCTATAAGTTAAGTACCAGTTTGATCATTCACACACATATTTCAACTCTGTCAGACATTAAAATATTGAGTAACCTACCACATGCTTTTCTTTTACTCTACTATGATCATAGACAAGACTTGCATGCTTTCCTGGGGTTCAACTTCATTTAATGATTTATCTGTTTCAAATATGCCACCTTCACTTTTAGTATACATCACGGACAACTTAAACAAATACAGAGGGACACAAAAAATATATTCACAGTTTAATAGAAGTTATCTACGGACATTATCGAAGTTGAACCGAAACCATATATTTTGTACGTTGAAGTGTGTACACATGTTTCGGGAGAGGAGCTTCTGTATAATCATCCAATCTACAAGATTTAAAGTAAGTCTGTCAGCATCTGTGGTTCTTGTACTCTAAGGTAAAGCCATGCTCATGAGGTTTGTAACATCTTTTTTACAGCCTTAACCTACTCTATACCTTGATAGAAGTTGCACTGGCTATCTTAAGTGGCAACATTCCTGACATATCCTTAGTGATGTCCACATAACTTTCGGATTCAGCAGAAATATCCTGGAAAATATTTTGCATATCCTCACGTTTTCTGGCGCACAAACGACACACATCGTTAAAGTTCAAATCCATAGCCTTGAACACACATTAATTTCTAAGCAAAATATGCCCGAAACATGGATTGTCATGAAACCGGTTTTTTCATTGTCACGCGAGAAACACTTCCGCGCAACCAAACTATCAACTAACATTGACGTAACGAGCTCAACTTCGAATTTTCGCTACAGACCAGGCCTCGCGAATCAAGTATTCGGTGGTCGTCTTTTGCAGGAATTTTTCAAATATGTCTGAAAGAAAATGAATGTTATAACGAACACCAGCAATTGAGTCAGCCTTAAAAATAGTGCGTTGTAAACCATGGTTTAGAGCGTTTAGAGCAAAGAAGTTCATCGAAATCAGTCTAGCAGTTTAGCTTGAAGCACACTGTCACGTTCGGTCACGTTGCGTAGAAGGAAAATTCGGTGTCACCAACCGCATGGACTTAATTTTGTGGCTGGTTTCACGCACCTCGAATGTCGGCCCGTTTGTGTGTTATCTGTGGTCATTCTGGTCACGTTCTACGCTAATTTTCAGTTATAGTTGTTTTCCTCTGCCTTTCCAGGGATTGTATCTCTCATTTTCATTCATAGGTATTGTTAATGTAATTCGACCGGTTGCTGAATAATCCAAGAAACAATTACACAATCGGTCTGGACTTATGCTGTTACGTGTAAGACTCCGAACACAACACAAAGATTATTGCCATCGCCACATTTATAATTCCACCATAATGTCGAGGGACTAATGTTATGTGATAACTATTATTATTATAATTTTACCTCTCAACCGTGATCCCCACATCACGAAATTGTTCACTAAATTGGACTTCGTAGGAAATGACGAAGATTAATTATTTCCACACAACAATGACCTCCTCCAGAAGCTAATAGTCTCTCGCCTAGACAAGGGATTTCCGTCTTCAATGGAATCCGAAGGTTCCTATCACTAGTACCGATCTTCAGCCAAACAAATGAAGTCCAAATTCTGACACTCTGTTTGTCTTGCGATCCACTTTAATAACATTCTCTCATCTAGGCCTAGGTCTACCAGTTGGTTTTTCCCATGCTGGTTTGTTTGGTATGTGGGAACTGCCCACATTCAAGCAAATGTTACAGTGACAGCTCAGGTACCATTGCTTAGCAACGGCGAGTAAACAGTCGTTGCTATGTAAAGTCTACAACAATATGCGACTATGGGGAGCATCCACAGTGGATTGTGTACTAGCCAATCACAAGCTAGAAACCATTTGCTGCCTAGTTTACATTTACATATACATTTATTTTCATTTCATGGATCCAATCATCTCCCCATAGGGCTGGATATAAAACATGTCACATATTACAAATTAATGATTACTACACATCATTCGTCCTTTGTCCAATAAAATATATAATCAGGCCTCTCACAGATAGCTCAGTTGTCAGGACAACACTCATGGGTCATGGAAAAACCACTGTCAAATTCATGCCTTGCCATTCCACACACACTGGCAAGCCGTATCATCCAAACAGTTACATTATAAAATATTAAAATTCATAACAAAAACAGACATCATACTGTACTACTACACTTACAACAAGCAGGTCTCAACAGTATGTAATTCACGCACACAGACCATTTATTAACTCTTAACTTTTGAGCCCCTTGCATGCTCGACAAATTCATCAATAGCGTACAATACGTTACTTTGCAAATAATTTTGTAAAACAAATCTAAATTGCTTTTTATAGTTTTTTAAAACGGATATTTGACCGCAGAGTGTTAAATAGCTTGACGCCTGAATAATGCACCCCTCTCTGATAGGATGATAAATGTGTTGAATGTATATGAAGGTGGTCGTTCCTTCTGGTACCAATCACATATAGAGAGTTATTGGTCTGAAACTTACCCAGTTTATTAACAACAAATATCATCAATGAGAGCAGATATACACATGGCAATGCCAGTATGTCAAGCTTTTTAAATAGATCTCTACGCGTATGAGTTGGGCCCACTCCCATCATTATTCTTATTGTTATTTTCTTTTGTATAACCTTATGACTGTGTGATGTATTTCACCAGTGAATGATAATATGCATAATATACAGCTTTAAGACTGTTTATATTTAATATATAGGATAATTTTCGCATTATAAAACCAACTGTGCTCAACCTGTGAAGCAAAAAAGTCGATATGTCCCTTACAAGTCAGATGATGGTCCAGCTGCAAACCAAGAAATTTTATCTCTCAGCTTTTTGTCAAAAAACAATGTATATAGAGGCTAGCTCGTAGCTGCTGTTAGGGTGAATTTTATCATTTTTGTTTTATCCAGATTTAACACTAATTGATTATTTTGAAACCACGTAAACATGTCCATGGTTTATGCTGACCACCTTACAGTGTATACACTTTTTCACCTTATTCTTCACTTCCACACTACATGTTTCAGCACTAATGTGCCATCTTCAGGTGTCTTTATGCACGTTAAACTATTGTACTGCATGCCATAATGTCTTCATTCTAAAATGACTAAAATCTGTATTCATCATATAGGACGAATTCTAAATAATTCATCATAATAATAATAATTAGAATTCATCATCCTATATGACGAATACAGATTTTAGTCATTTTAGAATGAAGACATTATGGCATGCAGTACAATAGTTTAACGTGCATAAAGACACCTGAAGATGGCACATTAGTGCTGAAACATGTAGTGTGGAAGTGAAGAATAAGGTGAAAAAGTGTATACACTGTAAGACGGTCAGCATAAACTATGGATATGAATCAGTGTAACAGGACGCTAAAATATAACACGTAAACATGTGATTAAAAACAACATCCAATTTTATTTTTAGATTATAGTATTCTTTAGCTGTGCAAAGAATACTTGTGTCATCTGCAAACATAATAACTTCCGAAATTTTACTTATTTCAAGGGGGAAATCGTTTATGTATATATCAGAGAGTAAGGGTCCCAACACCGATCCCTGAGGCACACCACATCCAACAATTTCCCAGTTAGAATAATATTTGTCATTTATATAATTTAATTCCACTCTTTGCCTCCTATATTGGAGGTAAGATTGCAATAATACATGTACACCCTGCACTCCATAGTACTGCAGTTTCATTAATAGAAGACCATGATTAACGCAGTCAAAGGCCTTGGCTATGTCACAGAATATACCAGTTACATACTCGTTTCTATTCCAAGTTGTAAGGATTACAGTGGTTAATTTAAGCATTGTATCTTCGGTTGATAATCCCTTTTGGAATCCATACTACTCTGAAAGTATTATTTTATGTTTTACGATATCCCTCATGATCATTGAGTCTTCTAAAAATTGCTGTTTCAAAAACTTTTGCAAACCAGGTACTATAGATATTGGCCTGTAGTTACTTATAACAGCCTTTTCCCCCCCTTTTTTTTTTTGTATACTGGCTTAATAATTTCATATTTTAATCTTTCTAGATGTAGACCCATGGTTAATGACTTATTAATTACATAAGTTAGAGGTTTACTAATTTGTTGTCTGCACAGTTTTATAATTTTATTTGTTACACCATCATGCCCTGAAGAGTTTTTTTATTTTAATTTGCTAATTATACTAATTATTTCCTCTTCTGCAACTAAATTAAGATTCATATCTGGAATACCATTTGAGAAATGAGAATGCAAGTATGACATTGCAGTATAAATATTAGTTTTGTTAATATTAAGATTTTCTGTTATTGATGTGAAATATTTATTAAAACTATGAGCTGCTTCTTCAGTATTTATTTTTTTTGCTATTATTTTGAAAAGTCCGAGTTAGACGTTCTTTATTCTGATTGTTAATCCTGCCTGTTTCAGTGTTGATAATGTTCCAGGTAGTTTTTTTTTGTTTTTGACTGATGTAATTAACTGTTTATAATATTTCCTTCTAGCTTCTCTTATTACTTTTCTTAATATCATGCAGTAGGATTTATAGTATGATTTAAACAAATAGTTGTAACTGTTTCTACAGAGAATGAACAAGGATTCCTTCATCTACAGGATGTATGTATACCAGCTCTTATCCAGCCATTATCCTTGGTTTATTTGTTACAGTTTGCTTTGGAAAGCATGACTCATAGACAAGTAAATACTTATTTAAAAATGAGTTGAATATTTCGTTTACATCATAAAGTTTATATATATTTTCCCATTTTTCAATAGATAGTTTATTAAGAAATTCAGCAATTGAATCTTCATTTACTAATCCTCTTGTGATTCCCTGCACTTTTTCTTCTCCAGGAAATTGATATTTTAGTACTAGACACTGAGCATCGTGATCTAATAGTCCATTACTAATAGAGATTACTTCAAATGAATTTATCCTTGCCTTATCTATAAAAATATTACCAATTGCAGAGCTTTTGGTCTCAGTTATTCTTGTTGGGAACTGTACTATATGAAATATGCTCGTATTATATGATTGCAATGACACTAATAGCTGTGTTTTACATGTTGACTTTTCAAAAAAAATTACATTAAAATCACGTATTATAAATTCCATTTTTGGTTTATAGAGTAATTTCAGTACTTTATCCAACTTATTTACAAAGTACTCAAAATTCCAACAACGGTGCGTTTCAATACAAAGTTCAAGGTGTTACAGAGTTTACTATTGTTATTATTATTCTTCAGTTTTTCAAACTCAAGTTCGTCTGTGTATACTGCAACTGCAATAATATTATAGAATAGTTCAACAAGTGACTGTCTCTTCATACATCGACATCCCACACGTAAAAATACAGTACTGTATGCATTTTTCTTGTCTCCCATGGGTTCTACAGGCGTCGCCCACCTTACTCTCATTGATTTTTATTACCCCCCAAAAATATTAATCGAAGGGTGAAATTTTCATCAGTCACCTATTGCTTCCATCTATAAAGCTAGAATGGTCTCATTCGACTAAATACTCCATTATGAAAAATCTAGACAAAACCAAAAAACAGACCGACAACACAAATCGCCCGCACGTGGCCTGCACTCAAGCGGCAGAATCAAGAAGATCAAGAAAGCCCGACTCATTTTTGTTAGCAGCAAGGGAAATTGTCATTGCAGTAGGTAAATGGTAAGTTTTAAGGTTGATTGATAAGTTTTGGTCGTTTTGGTTATGTCTTTCTAAGGTCGCATTTAATTGTATTGGCCTTTAGGTAAGGAAAGTCTGTGCGGTTTTGTTTAATCGTGTGGAATATGCATTTGTATGTCTGCACTATTTTTTGTGGATAATGTCTATGTACTTCATTTGAGTTTTGCTTCACGATACGTAGAAACGTTTTGATAGAACGGTGGATCCCAAGTAGGATAAACCTTCTTGTACTGTGTGAGATACGAGGCCCTCAAGCCGGTAACTGAGGAATACGCTTTTCTGGGATGCGACGCCGAATAGTTCGGGAGGTACGTGCCCAGAGTTTTGTGGTGTACCATCTGTCACAATCTTCAGGGTGAAGAAGTGAAGCGAAATACGAAACATTTGTACCAGGACACCGAACTACACTGCGTCACATCCCACAAGACAGTAGTCTGCCTCTCTACATGCGTTGTTACAGTCGATATGACAGAAATAACAAAATATCTTAGCACCCAAATCCGTTGCTGAATTCATAATTCGAATAGTGCTGTCTGTGCAGCCATCTGATAAGGTGCTGAATTTGTTTGTTGTGTTTCCTGACCTGTGACAGAATTTGATGTTGCTGATTAGTGCCATCCCCTCCCCTTTCCTTGATGCACTTGTATGTAATACTCAGACATGCACTGATCTCTAGTGTCTTAATTTAAATGGCACATGGCATGGCATGATGTGAATGTAAGAGTAACCACAAAGTGCCAGAAAGTGAGTAGCTGTTTGCATGTGAAAGGCATAATTAGAAAGTGCCTCTTCAGAGAAGGTTGAAGTTGTATCTGCTGAGTATTAAGGTTCATTTAATTATGGTGACATAAACTCCACTGATGTTGTATCCAACTTCTTTAAAACTTTACTGCCACATTATTGCTACCAAACATAGAAGTTTAGTATAAAAACAACCCAAAGTCCAACCTGAGTAGATTTTAAATATTTATCTTTAAAAACCAAGCCAAAAGCCTAATGTTGTGTTGGAGGTAGATTGTAAGGTTAGGCTTTAGGTACCATCTTTATGGTTAAACTTTTAGGTTTGAGACCCCCAACACATTAGACAGCATGAGGATAACTTTTGATGTTACTGGGGTCATCCTTGAATGTGTTTCTCAGAACTAGTATGGTATGGTGAGAGTGGCATAACAAATATATTTTACCAGTTAAATGTAACAGTTACAAAGAGCCTGAATGTTTTGATCAGTGACCAGGATGGGTGGTGACAAGAAGCCACAACGACGCAGTCGTAGCAGGGAAAAGGAAAGAGAGCGTCGTGAGAGACCCCGGCGGTCTCGCAGCCACTCTAGAGAGAGAGAGAAAGACCGTGGAAAGAAGAAAGTTGAGAAATTGAAAGAACGGTCTCGCAGCAGAAGCCGAGAGCGAGAGAGGCATCGGCACAGGGACCGAAAACGCACCCCTACCCCGTGAGTGATGCACATATTTTGTCTTTATGAAGGTGTTGCCATTTCAGGTCAAGGTGACACTTTATTTATAAAATATTACTTCACCACTGTTACTGTCATTCACTGTAGAATCATAAAGACTATGTTTTAAAATAAGCGTTAAATGTATTCATCATCACAGTGGTAAGATTTAGGGTTCTGAAGGATCACACAACATAGGTTTTGTTATGGAAAGTTCCCAGACTAAGTCAAAGAACAAATGCTGGCTTAACTTACTCAATTTTAGCTGCCAACTCCTTGAAAATAGTCTCCTTGGGAACGTATACAGTGATCCCCTTGTTTTTTACACTTTGCAAAAGCTGTCGAGTACTGCTTGCAGTTCCCTTTTGATGTCAGACAATCTTTCAAAGTGAAATCACAGGGGGCTAAGTCTGGCAGGTAGAGAGGATGAGGAATGATAACCATGTAAGTCACAACTCTGTGGTTTCAGGGATGTGTGGGTGGGTGCGTTGTCATGATGAAGGAGCCAGTTGGGGTTGCACCAAAATTCCATGTTTTTTTTTATCACACATTTTAATTCAAGCGTCTCAGAACATCACAGTAAAAGTCAGAGTTGACCATAGTGTTAGGAGGAACAAATTCATGGTGGACAATCCCCTTCACACTGAAGAAACAACAAGCATGCTGTTTGTTGATCTTCGGACCTGCTGCACCTTTTTTGCTCTTTGTGATTGTGGGCTTTTCCACTGCAACAATTGTTGCTTTGTTTTGGGATCATAACCGTAAATCCAACTTTTGTCACCTGTTATGATCCTACAGATACGAGTAAAAGTTGGGTCCTCATTAGCCTTCTCTCATAGCTCAAGACACACTTTCAAGTGCAACTGCTTTTGATCATTTGTCAAGAGCCGGAGAACAAACTTTGCGGCAGTGCAGTGCATGTTCAAATTTTCTGTTAACATCTCCTAGCAGACTCCATAACTTATCCCAGCAGTGTGTGCGAGCTCATGGATTGTTTGGCAATGGTCTTTGTGGATGAGTTCTCAAATTTTTCCAACATTTTTTCTGTCATTTTGTTGGTTCTTTGAACATTCGTCATCTTCATCCGACACTCAACTGGCCATGAAGCATGAAGGCCATTCAAAAACTGCTATCTGGCTTAAAGAATATTCTCCAGAAGCCTCACAAAGCATTTCATGGGTCTTGGTAGAGGATTTATCGAGCTTCACACAAAACTTGATGCAGACATGTTGCTCGTTTTTGTCATTCATCACAGACAAAATGAAACATGAAGTCGAAAAAGCACACGCATAAAAACAATGCATGTTCACAGCACAGTGTCAGATGGCAGACTGATGCTATAATCTGTTGTGTGACCTTGGCCTCCCCTCTCATTTTCATTCACAGAGGTAGTTACAACAATAACAGTGGGAACTTTCCGATACACTAACCGTGCCGGGTCATGGTATAATTCTTGCAGTTTTTGTCATCAGGTATGAATAATTGGGATGAGTGCCATGTTGTTTTTCTCTCATGTCATGATATAAAACTGTCCGTTGGAAAGCAGGCCACACAAAGCAGTCCTAGGTGTTGCCCCTTCACATCTCTGTCTATAATATTATCTGGCCATTCTGTTCACAGGAATACTGGTGCTCACATCTGAAGACAGTTTTCATGACTGACAAGTATTTTGGGTTAGTTGACATATGCCAAAGAGGGCTGAAGGAGAATATAACAAGAGATGGATAGAGGGAAGTCTTGAGCACCCCCAGCATCCATGGGGCTTCTTTTGTGACCTCAGTTTATACAGTAGAATTTTGCTTAGAGGTGCCACTTAGTGCTGTATCAAGTTTCTGTCTGCTTGGATATATTGCCAGTTCTTGTGAATCCAACATGGTGTTGAGTGTCAGTATGAAGAGAGCAGGCTTCTGGGTTGTGGCGCCATGTAGATATTGTGTTAACTGACGTTTCAAAGGAACATATCGCCACCATCTTCAGGGTAGAAGAAGAAAGAAGAAGAAAATCCGCAAGTGAAGAACCAGTGTAAGCAAGTGCTAATAGACTAATGTTGAGAATAAACCCAGCTTTATAAGAGCAGGAAGAGAATGGAGGGGAGGCTACATGGGAAATCAGTCGAGGGGAGAGGGGAAGGGTCTGGGGAGGTGGGCTAGCAGGTAGAAGGCCAGAGCAGATATAGAATAGTGTGTGTGGGTAGAAAGGCAAGGTTAAGTGGAGGGCATTAACCGTTAAGCTTTGGGGATACTATGTGAGTGGGGCATGGACTTGCATGGCCTTGTGGATCAGGTGTAATGTCCTGGAGGTTTCTTGAGGGAACACATGAGATGCTTCCATGATTTGCTGAGACAAAACCCCACCTCTCCGTTCATATTGCCAGGATGGAGTTCAATCTCAATGGCCTCCCTAATGATGCGATCCATATATCGGGTCTTGGTAGCAAGGATGGAGGTATTCTGAAGCTGAATGCTGTGTTCAGCCACAGCTGACTTGTCCGGATGTTCGAGAGGGATGTGCCGCTGATGCTCCTTCAACCTCTTGTCTATGGAATGGCCCATCTGTCCAATATAGACCTTGCTGCACTTGAATGGGCTACTGTATACACCCAGTGTTCTTAGTCCCAGGCTATATTTGACCAGCCAGAGGAAACTATATAACTTATTTGGAGGCAGGCCCACTGATTTGATGTTGTACCAGGACAGCACTATGCTGATTCGGTTGAATATAGTCCCGACATATGGCAGGAAGGCGACTGAATTCAGTTTATCATCGGGCCAACTGATTTTCAGACGACAGTTGGGAACTCTGCAGATTGCCGGTTGTTGCAACTGTTCTGCCTGAAAACGTCCCCCAGGATCACCAACTCGCCATGTAGGCTGTCTTGATCACAAAGAGCTCTAGCCCTGTGCGCCAATGTGGGAAGTACAGCTTGCCTGTTGGATGGGTGGTGGTGGGATGCAGCATTAAGGTAGAGGTTTGTATGGGTGGATTTGCGGTACAGTCTGTGGCCCAGAGAACCACCGGGTCTCCTGTAAATATTTATATCCAGGAAACGGAGGTGGCCCTCAATTTTGGTCTCCATTGTGAACTGATTGCACTGGTTGATACTATTTAGGTGGTTCAGGAAGTCGTTAAGCTTGTCTGGGTCCGTGTGGCCAGATGACAAAGGTGTCCTCCACGTAGCAAAACCAGCAGCGGGGCTTGTGTGGTTCCAAGTCAAGTGCCTTCTCCTCAAAGTCCTCCATCCCATGGTCACACCATCAGTTTGTTCATAGAGCTTGCCATTGAAGCTAAAGTATGGGGTGGTCAGGTCATGGCAGAAGAGTCTCAAGATATCTTCTTCGAACTGTCATCCTAGCAGATCCATAGTATCCTTTATAGGCACTCTGGTGAAGAGCGACACTACATTGAAACTGACCATTATGTCGTGAGGATTGACTTGGAGAGAACCAAAGGTGTGGACAAATTCCATTGAGTTCCTCTGAAACGTTGGTTAACACAATATCTACATGGCACCTCTTCTCAGAAGACTGATTTCTTCATAGTCACTGCCGTGAAAACCTCAGATCTTACATAGGGACAGCATATTTGTGTTCAGATTGAAACACAAATGTGCAAATGAAAGTATGAATCTTTGGTTATGTTTCTTAAGCTGTATGGCCTTTTGATCGTGCACAGACCTAGCATCACGAAGAAGGAGGAGAAGGAGGACGAGGAGGAGGAGGAGGAACCACCGCTGGAGGAACCCAAGAAGGAACCATTATCACTTGAGGAGCTGCTTGCAAAGAAACAGGCTGAAGAGGCAGCTCGCAGCAAGGTCTGTCTGATACCAGACACTTTATTGTTATTTCCAGTGATTCCCAATATTCATAATGTGAGTTAGCACCTGAAGTCATACAGTCCAACTGTACAGAACCCATGAATGTTAGGCCTCCTGCTGCAGGCTTGGCAGGATCTGTCTGGTGAAATCATAAGTTATGAATAATTCAAAACCTGACCAGTTTGTGGTACAGGTGAAACTCTACGCTTGTATTCAGGAGCTGCTTGGTTACTGATTATCCAGCCAGGTTTTTTCATGGTTTTCCTCATTCCTTCAAGGAAAATACAGAGATCGTACCTTGATTCGGCCACAACTGCTTTCTTCCAAATCCTATGCAAGTCATCAGTCATCCTACCTTTCAGTACTGTATAGTCTAGATTCTGACAGCATCATTAAATAAATAACCCATAAATAAAGTAACACAAAAGAAATTGATGTAAAGCAGAAGGTTTTAAAATAAGATGTTCTGGATTATTCTACCATCTGTATAGAGGATGATTCACTCAGAGAAGGCCCAGAATTAATAATTGCAAATCATGCAATAATTTACTGACGGAAGAGAAACTTATCAAATACCATTCTAGAGGTAGAAATAATTTGGCTGTAGACAGTGCTGAAATTTATTTCTTCTGCCTGGAGACACAGGCTGACATGATTCTCCATTTTCATGTACAGTATTCCATCATGTGACATGCGGAAATACAGACTGAAGGAAAAGGCATGAGTCAGGCAGGCAAGCAGGGGCTAGGTCAGATTTGCTAAGTTTTGTTTTCGTTGGTAAATTGTCATGTGGTGAATAATCCTTTTTTGGGGTGTTCTCCAAGTGAATAATCCTGTACACATAATGAAGTGTATGGAAAAGAATCAGATAGTAAGCATTAACAGAACTGGATCGTGGCAATTCTGCTCCATCAGCCAGTTGGTTCACTACAATAAGAACGTGTGGTGCTGTGGACTCCATGACTTTCTGCATGATGAGCATATTCCAGGGAATCTTACATGCTTATTTCCATCAGGAGGAAAAGGCATAGTTATTCAAAGTACTGTGCCTTTGCAGTTGGTTTTTAGATGCTTGGAAGTTGGGGGCGGGGATTTTGTGAACAGTTGTCTGAGCTGAGATTTGAACCCACTTCTGCTGTCCTCAGCCCAAATTTCTGACAAAGGAGGAACGTGCAGTTGAGGCTTTGAGGAAACGACAACAAGAGGTAGAAGAGATACGACGCAAGATGGAAGAAGACAAGAAAAAGCGGACTGAATTTGGCAAGGAGGCCACAAAGGCATTCGATGATGTGCGCAAGGCGGACAAAGATCTGGATCGGGACAAAGACGGCTTTAGGTAACTTTCAGGTAGTGTCTCTGTCACTGCCAGCTTTTCTGAGGTAAAAGAACAGTCACCACAAATGCATGAATAGAGTTGTAATTTTGTGTAGGAGAGTCATCATTCTGAGAATTTAAGTCGGTAAATAGTGGTAACAAAATTATAATTCTATCATGTTTCTTCCTGTTAAGGGCTGTCATCTTTTGTTGAGGTAAATACAGCACATTCAGTTTGTATCCTGTACTGAGAGTACACTATATTCACTACCATTCACAGCATGTCTGCTTGAATTCAGAATGCAAATCATTATCTTACAGGCGACGGGACAGGGAGCGTGAAAAGAAGGACAAGGAGGAGGACAGCCAGTACTCAAAGGACAAGCAGAAGGAAGTGGAAGCCATAAGAGAGCGCTATCTAGGACTAGTCAAGAAGAAACGCCGTGTGCGTCGGCTCAATGACCGCAAGTTTGTGTTCGATTGGGATGCTTCAGAGGACACATCTGTCGACTATAACCCCCTCTACAAGGAACGGCATCAGGTACAGTGTGTGTCTCATTGCATCGTAGAGGACTCTCGTGCCCTTTATATGGCAGCAAGAACACTTCATTGCAGACATTATTAATGGGAAGTTCATGATGCCGAAACATGTTTACAAACATAACTCCAAAAACAAAAGAGGATAATTAATGTCAGATTTGAGGTTAACAGCAGTGACTAAGTAGAGGAACATAACTCTTCCATTTTCAGAGTCAAAGAGTAAATGAGGCAAAAGAATTGGCAGAAGCAGATGGTAAGTTGAGGTGTTACGTTCCTCCAAAACATTGGATTCTCTCCAAATTGCATGGCATTACAACCCAGAAGACTGTCCTCACCAGGGAGCTTAATATTTGGCCATGCCTGGGTGGTAGACTTCAGTTGCAGCTTAAGGAAGTATAGTCACTAAAACGTTTCAGTTTTCATGAAACCTTAAATGAGATATTTTGAAAAATCCATTAGGTGTATGAATGAAGCCATGTTGGCTACACTGAGTTGCGTGAACAATTTTCAGCTCAGAACTTGTTCTCAAATGTCAGCGCCGCACAGATCCTGTCGAGTTATCAGTATCTGTGTTGCAGGTTCAGTTCTTTGGTCGAGGTAATGTTGCGGGTATTGATATCAAGGCCCAGAAACGAGATCAGTCGAAGTTCTATGGGGAGTTACTGGAGCGACGTCGAACTGAGGCTGAGAAGGAGCAGGAGAAGTGAGTACTGATCAAATTTGAGTGTTGTTTGCACTCTTCAGACATCTCACATCCTCACGAAACTATTTTGTGGTGCATTCCATAGCCACCATGTTTGAAGCTTTCTGAAGAGCAACCGCTAATATGACATCTGTATGTTACCTTCAAGTTCTTGAGACTTGATGCATGTTTACTGTACAGGACTACTATAAATGATTCATTCGTTTTTGAAACGCTATATTTTCCAAAGCATTATATGTACAAACATGAATGATATATAAAAAGAACCGTAAACTCACCGAGTTCTCTTCACACTCTACAAATGTTCTATGTGTGTCCCTTGGGTCACACGTCCAGGCGGTAGTCGAGCTTGTTCTGCACATTTTGTAGCATCATCCTGTCAGTGGTCATCACTGCAGCATCGATGCGTTCCCTCAGCTCTACTAGTGTTCTTGGCAGTGGGGGTATGTAAACACAATCCTTAATGTACCCCCAAAGGAAGAAGTCACAAGATGTTAGATCAGGTGATCTGGGGGCCAAGTGAACAGAGCTACGTCATCCTCACCAACACGCCCAATCCAGCGTGTCCTTAAATTGCCAATACCACAGCAAATTGCTTTGTTTACATGGCGGGTCTTTTCCGTACTCTCTTTTGAATGCGCGTTTCACTGCTATAACAGACAAACATCTCGCATGTTTCAACAAACAAAAACTCTTTTCTTGCTTTGTCACCATTTTGTAAAGGCACTGAATTTGTGCTGCCAACTTGTGCACATAATACTAACTTGGTGAGTTTACGGTTCTTTTTATATATCAGTCATATTTGTACGTGTAATACTTTGGAAAATATGGCGTTTTAAAAACCAATGAATCATTTATAGTAGCTCTGTATTTTAAATGACTGTAGCCAACATTCTTGTTATTTTTTTATCTGCGTAGAGCTTCTGTTGCACACAGCTTTGTACTGCTTGTTTGCAGCAGACAAATATGCCTGGCCAATTTCGTACCGAACTGCGTTCATTTTGTGTTTCTTTGACTGTTGTCACATGATTAAGAGCAACAGTCATTGGTCAGAGACAGGCAAACCTGAAGATGTAGACATAGACAGGAGGTAATTTGAAAGTGTATCTTGAGGAAATAGTGTTGTAGCATGTGGACTAGAATCATTAGGCTCAGGATAAGGTCTAGTGACAAGCTGTGAGCAGCTCCTCCCCTCTTTACTACCTTAGAAAGGGGAGGATGCTGCATTCATCCCAGATTCATATGATGCATTCCCAAGGCCCCCCCCAAGAATGGACTGGGGTGTCCAAGCTTCGATCTTTGTGCAGTGATAGCCAGAAATCTCAAAAGTAACAAAACAACAAATATTTAATAAAATAAAGAATAACCATGGAACAGATCAGGAGAAGTAACTCAATAATTACAAGACACAATAATCATACAGTAACGTTCCAGCTTGTGAGATGTACAAACAATAACAATCTCAAACTCAGAGTGCAGTATAATTTAGAAATTTGAATTTCTGACCAGCTGGATGCAAAACGTACAAGATAACTCCTAAATCAATCAACATGGGCAGTCCAACCCAACCAGAATACATGATATGCTATCGACAACGCAAAGTTTAGGAATCCCATGCTGTCAGTGGCCAGTAGGGAAGAAAGGACAAAAACCAAACACAATTTTGAAAACACATTCACAAGGCAGGATTTCACTCACCAACCACATCGATGACGACCCACTCACTCCGAGAAATTACTAGCATACAATGTTTTTTTAAAGTCAAATCCACCAAAATGGGGAATTTCAAAACCCCAGCCAGGTAACATAATACAAACTCAGAGAAAACTCTAATTGCGATGTTCTAGACAGCTCTCGTGAATAAAGGGGATGCTAACCCTCAACAGCCAGTATGAGAAACCAAACAGAATGTAACAACTTCCCTTGCTGTCTGCTGGTAACTGACTAGACAAGGTCCTCAGTCCCAACTCTAGACCAAGCTACAGAACATGCTAGAACAGCTGGAGGAAGCATGGACGGAGGGGAGGAGGGATAGGAAGAGAGGCCGCTAAACTGAGCCAGGAGTAAATGTGGCTCCATGAAATCTGTTTTTGTTTCTTTTTTTACCAGCTGAGTGACTGTTAGCTTGTGAAGAAGATCTTGACTGCATGAAGTTGGTCAGGATTGACAGAATTTGAGAGATATAATGTCACTTCTTGTGCCTAGTCAGTGCAAGTGAGCTGCGTTCTTGGATTTGTTCACCTCTGTGCTTAGACATTTTTGTTGTGTGGTAGAGGTAAGCTGCCAGAAGTTCACACATCTGCTGTTTGTTACTGCAGGGTGCGCCTGAAGAAGCTCAAGAAGAAAGAGGAAAAGCAGAAGTGGGACGACCGTCACTGGTCTGAGAAGTCGAAGGATGAGATGACAGAGAGAGACTGGCGAATATTTCGAGAGGATTACAACATCACCATCAAGGGTGCGCAATGACTGCAGTGTTGTACTTTACCTGTGGTGATCAGTTGTAACTGACTCCCTTACATTAAGTCATTTTAAATATGTAATAGTAATACAAATTTACACTCCAGGAGGTCTGATTAGTGTTTGTATATGTGCATTGTTTTTGCCTTACTGGGACTCAGCCCCCTTGGTACTGTAGATCTCTTTATACCACAGTTTTTAAGTATTATGTTTTTCGACATTATCCATCGTCTTGTCTATTTTCTAAAAACCGTCCTGTTTCTTTTTAAAAAAACAACGTTTTGGAGACCGGATTATCCCCAAGACGATGGATAATGTCCAAAAAAAAACAATACTTGTAGCAGTATACCATCGTCACAAACTTTTAGAGCTTATGTGATTGTATTGTGTAATTACCTCAGGTGGTCGAATCCCTGATCCAATCAGGAACTGGAAGGAGTCTGGAATTCCTAATGAGATTCTGGAGATTGTTGAGAAAGTTGGCTACACTGATCCCACCCCTATCCAGCGACAGGCCATTCCCATTGGTCTGCAGAATCGAGATATCATTGGTGTGGCGGAAACAGGTTCTGGTAAGACACTGGCCTTCCTGATCCCTCTGCTGATGTGGATACAGTCTCTGCCCAAGATTGAACGTGTTGAAGATGCTGACCAGGTGAAACTTCATTTTGTTTCAAAACTCATAGAAAGGCTATAAATGGGAGGTGAGGAAATGTCAATATTTATGTAACATTTACTGTGTCATTGTTCATGTTAGTTACTCCATCTGCCCCCCCCTCCCCATACACAGATGCTTGATGCATTAAATTTGAGGTGTTATGGTGGTAGTCTTGAATTATGACAATTTAGTGTGGTGGGTGTTTTCAGTGTTTGGGAGGAAGTTGCTCCTTCATCTTCAGTCTGCTATCCTGAAGATAGAGGCAGCAAGATCCTCCGAAATGATGGTAACCACTATGAGTATATGCCTAAATATAAATGTGCGAGGCCAGTCCAGCTTGTAGTTCAGGTTTAAATGAATCATGATATGAAACTGTTGTCTTTACTTAATGATACATCTACACTTCTAAATGCAGAACTGAGTGACAGCTCATAAACACACGTACTTAAAGTGGTTGGTAACTAAACCAGCTGTAACAACTTGCCTTTAAAGTAAGTCACAAGATGGCAGCAGCAGCAGAATTTGAAATATAATGCCCTGACCATGCAACACATTATCAAGCTGAGGACTTCATCTCTGATCCAGTGCTTGGCTGGTTGCACACTAAAGAAGTCAAGTTAGCAATAAATTGATGACAGGAAATAAATAATCGATTACCCTGTGCACAATCAGAGTTGCACCTCTGTGGCAGTGCACCAGGAACAAAGGCACCATGAAGTGGTGAATGTGGTGATTCATTTACATGCAGTCATTTTTTCTGTCTTACATCAAAATTATCATCAGGTGTATGTCTAATTCCACTTTCCTCATTAACCAGTAATGGTGAAAATTTTGATGGTTATTTGCTTAACGCTATGTATGACTTTGAAGTTGCTTTCTGAACTGGTCCTACAGTCGTTCATTGCTTTCTTGTTCCGCAGTGATGAGCACCAGTTGAGAGACTTAGGGGGCAGTGTTATATATAATGTACTGAGCAGACAGTTGAATGGATATGTTATGATGACAGCGATCTCGTTACATTGATGGATTGTGATGACCTCAGGTTGAACGACCAGACCTTGTTGACCATCCCCTTACCTGAGGTACACCTTTACTGAGACTATAAGGCACTGACTTGTAGTATACTGGTGCCTAACTTATGTTCAAGGGTCCATACTCCATAATCTTGGCACCCACTCGAGAATTGGCCCAGCAGATTGAGGAGGAGACCAACAAGTTTGGACAACCGCTTGGAATCAGGACAGTGGTTGTGGTGGGCGGTTTGTCCAGGGAGGAGCAGGGCTTCCGCCTCAGGATGGGATGTGAGGTAACATGGACATTGTATAATGCCCAGTTCTGTGGTCCCATAATGCCACACATTTGAGTGGCAAAAAGTAAACAATATATTGTCACAGGTTAGTAACTAGACACAGGGTTTCAGTTGGTAAGTGGATAACTCCTGACTACAAGTAACTATAACAGTTTCGCAAACCTGTGCGCCCTACAAATCACTGTACTGCAGCACACACAAAGTCTTCAGTGTCTTAACCGTTCAGCGTGGTTTGACGTGTATGTTTCGTCAGGTATTTAAATCGTCTGCGGGGGTTCGACGTCTGTGTTTCGTCCAGCTGCACACCTATGTTATAACGCCCATAATAATTGATGGTTTTGCTGTAGATTGTTAGATTTTTCGCTGGCCTGTTGTCAGTAGAACAGAGTATAATAAGCCACGAGTTTAGCTACGTTAAGTCATCGTTACATATGCCTGTCTTGCAGCAAAGTTCCTGTTGCTCTTGCGAGCGGTTTCCTCGTTCAAGCTGTTATGAATGGCGTGTTTTCTTTGCTATGAAGTTATAAACAGCAGAGACGTGATATGTGCTGTGTTTATAATATCATATTGCCCTGAGCTGGCCACACTAACACACTCAATTGGAATTCTTAGAAGAGGGATGTCCAAAAATTTATTCNCTTTCGTTCACTACATACCAGACAGTTCTTAGAATAACTTCATGAATTCTGTGGTCACCCCTACGACATCTCCTGCCGCCAAAATGGATGGAATATCAAAGGCATAGCAACAACCCCTTGTTATGATAACTCGTAACGTTGAATTTACTACAGCTGACCTGGCAACTAAATGGGTCACGGAAAGACATTTCCTTGAACTATACCCCTCACGGGGAAGAAGGCAAGGCCGCACAGATGTGTGGTTAAAAAAAAGGGCCAAAGAAAAGATACACAATATTGGAGCGGTGAATGTGGGGCACCGTTGGGTTAGATGAATGCTTCAAGGCCTTCCTTACACTGCTCAAATTCTAAACAACCTGCTTCCATTGCCGAGATACAGGGCACTCATATTATAAGGTAAGGTTATAAAAACCATCTTTTAAGATCATTTTAGTGAAAGTTTCATCCTTCAAGGCGTACCATTCACTGCTCAAATACTAAACAACCTGCTTCCATTGCCGAGATACAGGGTGCTCATATTATAAGGTAAGGTTATAAAACCACCTTTTAAGATCATTTTAGTGAAAGTTTCATGTTCCTATCTCATATAATTTAAGAACAATGATGAATAAATCATTTTCGAGCAAAATTTAAATGGACGGCTGAATATATTACCGCCGGAGAGACGGCCGCGGAATTTAAATGACCGCGCAAAAGGGTTAACTAGGCTTGCTAGGTAACATTTCCCAGTAATGCAGATTCTTCTGCTCTCTTGCTTACAATGTTGCTGGCTGGCTACCATCTCACAACTAACTCATTACTGCAACTATTAACCAGTTGCTGTCCTCATTAAATAGCCTTGACAGGGACCACATGGAAAATATTGTTCCCAACAATCTCTTCCTTTGTCATGTGACACCTGAGTGAGTCATTGCCTAGCTGTGGTTCACTTGTTTGATGACATAGGAGCATGTTTAACTGTGCCATTATTGCCCAGCAACAGATGATGTCTCTCTTTAAACTATTCAGTCATGTCACAATAAGATACAATAGATATTTTCAGGTTATCGAGAAATTCCTGTTGTCATGGAACCCGTATGTTCATGACGTTACCTTTTACTGTTATCAAGAAATTCCACATAAAAATCCCATAAATGTTTCTTGTTTCCACTGATCTAAGGAAGATTGCAGCAATACATGAGAGGTGAACACAGATATTTGTTACAGATTGTGATAGCAACGCCCGGACGTCTGATTGATGTGCTTGAAAACAGGTACCTCGTACTAAACCAGTGTACCTATATTGTACTAGATGAGGCTGATCGTATGATAGACATGGGTTTTGAACCAGGTAAATATCATATTTCTTTAATGTTATATTTTAGCGTCCTGTTGCACTGATTTAAGTCCATGATTTATTTTATCCGTCTTCTAGTGCATACATTCATCTATCCCCTCTTCTCACTCTCACTAGATGTTTCGGCACAAACGTGCCATCTTCAGGTGCTGATCCAATCCACGACAAACTAGTTCATTGCATGCCTTGTCTATACATACTAAAATAACTAAAATATATATTTATCATATATACTGATAAATGTTAAGTGTTAAAATATTAAAATTATACAGCATATTTCATTCTTACGTCGTGTTTCATTACGCGAGTCACGTCTATCATCGTCTGTTGGAGCACTCTTTCACTATCGTGTATTGTGCTCTATGTTGCGTCTCGCTCCTGTCACAGGAGCGAGACGCAACATAGATATAACTATAGATATCTATAACTATAACTATAGATATACAGGATATAATGATAAGCTTCGATGAGGTGTCAGTCTTCATCAGGGTACCTGTTAGGAAGGCTATGGGTTTTCTAGGTCAGCATTTTGAAGATTATATTCTGAGGCTTTTCCACCATATTCTGACTTCATATTTCAGTTTTGCTGGCCAGTTTACAGACAAACTGACAGCAAAGCTGTGGGTTCACCACTGTCTCCAGCTATCACTGACTTCCTCATGGAGGCCCCTGTGCTGGTTCCTTTACATAGATGACATTTTTGTCATCAAGCTCCATGGTCGTAAGAGGTTGAGGGACTTCGCTGACTACCTGGACAATGACCAGCAGAACATTCAGTTCACCATGGAGACAAAGAGACAGCATGCTTACCACTGCCATCATGCTGCTTTCATGCTTGCCTTATTCTTTGACCCAGAAGGTGGAAGTAACATTTTCCTCCAAAATGTCAGTCAACTTTCAACAATCCACATGGTGTTCGCAAGATAGAACTTCATAACCACTGATATGTTCTTCATGCTGGTAAGGTCCTGCAGATCTTCATTCAGCTTGCACCTGTCTCTGGTTTTATTACTCATAGTGCAGTGCCTGTTGAGGATTCAGATAGAGGTCCTATTGCAATCCTCCCCTAGGTCTGTGTCCTCTGTGAGCACAAATGAACTGGTAGTGTGACATACATGAGCCAAATTACTAATGTGATGTATTGTTGCAGATGTGCAGAAAATCCTAGATTACATGCCAGTCACAAACCTGAAGCCAGATACTGAGGATGCAGAAGATGAGATTAAACTGCTGGCCAATTACAACTCAAAGAAAAAGTACAGGCAGGTGAGTTCGCAGCTGGGTGGTCTTGCTTTTGCATTATTTGTGGGAACAGTTGGCTTTCTGTCTCATTTCTGCATTGTTGTATAGGAACAGTGGGGCTTTCTGTGTTTAGCTAGTGAAGTAAGTTTGTGGTAGCCTTGTACCCAATCATGCTCTCTGTTGCAGACAGTCATGTTTACTGCCACAATGCCCCCAGCAGTGGAGCGTTTGGCTCGTACATACTTACGTCGCCCAGCCGTTGTCTATATCGGGTCTGCTGGCAAGCCGACAGAACGAGTAGAGCAGATCGTGTACATCCTGTCGGAGGCAGACAAGAGGCGCAAGTTGCTGGAAATCCTTGGCCGTGGTGTCACACCTCCGGTCATCATCTTCGTTAATCAGAAGAAAGGGGCAGATGTACTGGCAAGGGGGTTAGAGAAGTTTGGTGTAAGTTCAACGTTTCTATCCTATCATGTCAGATCCCCACAAAACAGTGGACGGAACCTCATGAAGGACTTGCCACTGAAGATCCTTCAGGGGTGGTATACATCTTACAGTATTTCAGATCCCTCCTATCATAACAAAAGTATAAATATGGCAGCCACAGATGTGAGATATGTAGCTCGGTGTCTCAGAGAGGTTATCAATAGCTATGTCTAGTGTTCCATTAATTTATTTTACTGAAGCATGAATAATGAGAGAAATAGTTTACTATTAGGTACAACAATAGTTTGACGAATATACTAACATAGCAATTAAGTCATCGTATAAATACTCCCCTTTAAGCAAGTTCACATCCTTGCCAAGTGCCCATTAAAATCATTATATCTGCCCATTCACCTACCTGCATGTATGCACAGAACAACTTAAGAGTGTCTGAGTGGCTTTTCATTAAATTTGATGTGGGAAAGTTTGACTAAAATGTCACCATGATCCGGTTTATATTCAAATTGGACAGCAGTAATAAACATCTGTGTGCATCTCACTACATGTTTATCACAGCAAAATATGTTTAGAATAGAAGTTGCAGGGAGAAATCACACAGCTTAAGGCTTATGATTTTCAAGAGAATTATACAAAAAGGAGTGAATGCACAAGAATTTTTATGGAATCCGCACCTTTCCGTAACTTACTGAACACTGTAAATTGGATTGAGTGGGTTGAAATGTGTGGTATTAACACTCTTGCAGTTCTGTGAACAGTCACCTGGAAAGTCTCAAATCAGTGTGTCATCACCATTTCTGCTACTGTTACTATAAAGATCTCGTACTGCTGCTTATGTAGACATAAGCAAACCGTCTATGGTACCAAACAAAAACATAGCGAACACTGCAGATGTAAAAGGAACATTCTACGATGCAGCAGCTTGCAACATAGCCACTCATATTCTAAGAAAAAAGTGAGAACAGTATACAGACTTCTTGGCTACAGCAACTGGTCTGTACAGAAGGGAGCAGGTAATGGACAGACAGGGTGCTGAGAGGAGTATTTGCATATGAGGGGGAGGAAGTGTCAGGAGATGAGAAAACTGCATAATGAGCAGCTTCATAATCTGGACTCCTCATTACACAGTATTGCAAGAATTATCAAATGAGAGAGGATGAGGTGCATGGTATGTAGCACGCATTGGAGAGAACTGTGTACAAAGATTTGGTAGGAAAACCTGAAAGAAAGAGACCATTAGGAACACCTGGGCACAAATGGAAGGATAATATTAAAATATATATTAAACAGGGTGGGACTACTCACCTCCATCTAGTGCTAAGGTCAAGAATGGTGGAGCTGTACCTCCACTCCCCCATGTGTCCTGGCATAGTATTCAATTAATCAAAGGGAAAATTTTACCTTTTACCTTTACCATTCTTACTCATACCAAGCAACAGGCAAAATGGTTCTTTTACTCATCCTGTTTCAGTACAATGCCTGCACACTGCATGGTGGCAAGGGACAAGAACAACGAGAATACGCGCTAGCAAGCCTCAAGTCAGGCACCAAAGACATCCTTGTGGCCACCAACGTGGCTGGTCGAGGTATTGATATCAAGGACGTATCCATGGTCATCAACTATGACATGGCCAAGAGCATAGAAGGTAATATGGCACTCTTCCTTCAGGTGCCCTTTCCTCTTTTTATTTTCTCATGTACATAAAAATAAAAGCTATCTCTGTAACAGGCCGTGGAGGTCCATAGGGTTGTGAGACGCCGAGGCTCTTGATAGCATAGTTGGTCAAGGGACTGATGCAAGTCAGAAGGTCATGGGTTTGTCTCCTGATGCCATTGGATTTTCTCATTCTAACATAAATAAGTTCCAGGAATATTCTTGGGGTAAAGGGTGGCCAGCATGTAAGGCTGACAACCTTACCGCCATCTACTAGTATGAGCCGATTGTCTAGAAAATGTAGGAACCTCAACATCTCACAACCCTATGGACCTCCATGGCCTGTTACAGGGATACCTTTACTTACTTACTTTTACATAACTGAATAAACTGAATTGGAGAATTTTGGTCAGCCCTAAGAACTGACTCATCACAGTCATTGGTGCCCTTTTGTTAGCCTAGTTCATAATGACAATGCATTTACTTTCAGAGTATACCCATCGTATTGGACGAACGGGTCGTGCAGGAAAACATGGTATGGCAGTCTCATTCTGCACCAAGGATGATTCTAAACTGTTCTATGACTTGAAGCATACGATACTGTCTAGTCCAGTGTCAACTTGCCCTCCTGAACTACTGAACCATCCAGACGCCCAGCACAAGCCCGGCACTGTCGTAACAAAGAAACGTCGGGAGGAGAAGATATTTGCATAAAGAGACCAGAGTGAGGCCATCTGAGGAATCAACATTTATTTGAACTTTCATACAAAACTTAAAACAAGGAAAAAGCATATTCTTGAAGCTGTGGCTCAATCCATCCTCGTCTTCAGGGTCTTGGTGGTGATCTTGTCTTTTTCACTGGAACAAGTAATACCAAACTTTTCACACTGGAGGGCCTCACCCCACGTAATATCTGTTGTGTGACAAATAGGCAAAATATTTTAGCCCTGGGTTCTTCAGGAATTGCTGTTTGCCATGTACTCTTCAAAGACAACACTATTTAGTAGCACAAGTAAAATGGATAATAATGTGACAGACTTATTGTACTCTTGTAACAAATATTTTGTGAAACATCCTTTTGCATGTTGGAAAATTCCAGCACAGTGACAGCTTGAACCTTGGGAGGGGGGGTTTCATGGCAGTGAATTGAGATCGTGGTCTTCTGGTTTATTATCCCATGTAGTCTCAATTATCAGCGGTTGAGAGAAACATTCTATTTCCATCTACAATAAAGATGGAAGCGGTATATTCCTCCAGAATTTATTACACTACTTACTAAGCACGTGGGAGCATAGTTGGTTGAGGCGCTATGCTACAAGCCGGAAGGTCACGGGTTCAAGTCCCAATGAGGTCACTGGATTTTTTCAATTGACCTGATCCTTCCGGCTGCACTATGGCCCTGGGGTCGACAGCCTCTAACAGAAATGAGTACCAGGAATATTCTTGGAATGTTCTTGGGGGTAAAGGGCAGCTGGCGTGTAGGGCTGACAACCTTGCCGCCATCTATGAGTCGATTGTCTGGAAAATGTGGGAACCGCAGCATCTACAACCCTATGGGCCTTCACAGCCTGTTACAGGGATACCTTTACTTACTTTTTTTACTAAGCACGTACTTGAGAAGGCAAGAGATGCTCATTCCAGCACTTTAGGGAAACCAAGAGTCCACCACTGGTCTGTCAAGAGTCGGTTGAATCCAGTCTACACCCTCTCACCCTAATTCTTTCAAATTCATTTTAATATTATCCTCCCAGCTATGCCTAGTTGTCTTTTTCCTTCCAAAACCGTTGGTACTTTTAGCCCATGCATGCTACATGCCTTGCCCATCCTATCCTCCTTGATTTAATCATTCCAACAGTATATATCGTGAGCAGTACAATATATGAAGCTCCAACATTATGTTATTTCACCCATCTTAGGTCCATATACTTTCCTTGGTGCCTAGTTCTCAAACACCTAAACATTTATTAGAGTACACAGGGCCATACCCCAGAAGACCACAGTGTTTGAAAATGCCTTTACACGCAGTTATGATCCTCATATGAATTACATTTTTCTTTCTCAGCCTAAAATAATATAAATCATGTTTACTTTTGACACAGACCTTGCACAAAAACCAGAAATTAAACTGTCAAACTTAAGTTTAAGGTCTTACATGATGTGAACAACAGCTCCCCAACCAGATATGGCATCCCTGTCAACAGCATTGATCAGAGCCTGTGATATTGTCTCAAACAGGTCATCAGGCTCAAGGTTGGGCTCCCACAGTGCCTCACACATCCCATACAGTTGTTCTGTGCAAGTCCCTGCCACAATGAAGTCCTCGGGCATGTTGGGACAGCCAATCAGGTCCATGCTGCATATGAATGGTTCAAATGTCTTGGGATCCAGTCCGGCAACTATGGGTTCCACAAAATAAGGTCCAAATCTGCAATTCAGGATAAATCCTGTCACAGGAACTCTTTCCAAACTCTCTCAGATCAAATGAAAAACGTGTACATTCTATATTCAGTGTAGTTACAACAAAAAGTATGCATGCAGCATATTCATCTCTTGGAGTAACGAGATATTTATTGCTTTCAGAAAGCCACATGTGGTACAATGAAGTAGACAGTATGTGGCAATGAGCAATCACTGTATGTTAGGTCAGCATGCACCTGATAGCCAACTGAAAGTCAATATGACCTCTAATTTATCACCTTTGTTCTTTGTATATTTTTAGGCCCAAAAAATGCAGTATTTACACAGAAGATTAAAATACTGATATTCAGACGGAATGTTCTGGCACATTACCGTCTCTCATACAGTAGGTTCGACACCATGGCAGCAAATGTCTTTGGGTGGATGTGTCTGTTCTCCTTTAGCTCATACAGGTTGAGTCGGAACCTGAGTCGCTGATGAACAGTCTGCGTGTCAGTTGCTAGTCCTGGCAGACCAATGAACAGGTGTGGACCCATCTCAAATATTTTCTGCAAATGATCAAACATCATGAGCACTGCTAAGTGCAGTACTTACTAAGACTGCTCTATCTCTGGGGCATGCAGTCATGAAGTCTCACCTGAAAATCGAGGGCCAGGGTTTGAGCCTGAATGCCAAACCTTTTGTCCGCTGCTATGGCCACACAGTTCTTGCCCTTCATTGCCAGAACGGCACCACCGTTGTATGACATGATCGACTAGAATCAAAACATAACTAGTAAGTATATATACTGAATGCACTGGCATAAGAGTAATGCTGTAAAGCTGTATTTGGGAGGTGCTTGGTTTGTATCTTGACTGGGATGCCAGCTATCCTTAGGGTTATCGTGGTTTCTCATCCTACCATATGAAGGTACATAGTCTAGCCACTGACAGGGTTGTAAAATAACAAAAATTGAGGGCTTAGGCTGTAGTTCTCAGTCTTCCCATGGATAATCAACCAGAATTATCACATTACGATGTCTGTACAGACTGAAACCTAGGAGCAAGGTGCTCACAGTGATTACTATGAAGGGTAAGCCTTTGTGGGTTGTAATGCCGCGCAGTTCGATAAGAGGTCCACTGACAATATGAATGAACACAAGTGCACCCTGTACACATTATGACTGAAGATCACACTTCTTGAGGTGTTACCTGATTTGGGTTAAAAATTTTATTAGACCTTGCAGATCCTGTTGTTATGCTCTTCAGCGAACAGCATTACACTCACCAGATCAAGGAATATGAGATACTCAGGACATACAGAAGGCTTGGATGAGATCAAAAATGCTTATAGCATTGTACCCAAATGGAAGACCTATGAATAGAGGGAAGAACAATATGAAAGTGGATCTTAGCCCCCTGTGTTTGAGGTTTTCAAATATGGGCAATACATGTGCCTGGGATTCTAAGCAAAACCACAATGTGATACTGAGATAGAACAGCAGTTCCATAAGCCATAGGTACCAAGGCTTGGAAGGTGTGGGCTGGATTTGTCCGGCTCAGAATTGGGACAAGTGGTTGGCTCCTGTGAACACAATAATGAACCTTTGGGTTGTTTCATACAAAGTGGGGAACTTCTAGCTGCATGAGTGTTTGTTTCGGAAGATGGTACACACTTTGTAGAGTCAGCTGTAGTTAATACAAAAATTTCACTGCACCAAAAGTTATTCACTTTAAACCTTTAAAAGTTGCATAGTGTTGCACAGGAGACTGTAGAAAACTAATTGACACTAAGTTTCACTGTACCTGTTCATCTGTTTCTTAGCATGTTCTCAGCAATAACACACTCAACACAAATATATAAAACTGTGTATGATCCCAGAAACCCCTTTTACACCAATGTTAAATAAATTTCACAAATGAATAATAAGATCTCAATCGCAATAACATTAAATGGGCCAGACAGGCAAAGCTGTCTCATACAGTAACACTTCTGACATGTGCGAGTATTCAGGAGACCCCTGGTTCAAATCTCAGTGACAGGCTCTTTTGCTAATTAGTTTAAAGATTTTATTCAAAATGGGTAGATGATGTCTGCTTCAATGCACAAGATGTGGTTTATCTGGAAGTGAGGCTACCACTTCCAAATGCTTCTGATTCATTCACCTAACTGCACTGGTTTGAAGCACAAAGGTTAAGTCTCCCGGCCTTCAACGGTCATTTTCGTTTAGTCTCCTATCTTCCCGACATTTCTCTTTCATATTTCAAGCGTACAATAGAGACGTACGAACCATCAACTGTGTAAACGGACAGTCGACGGCTACACAAAATAATTTCTGGGCAAAACAATATGTAAGGCGAACAGTATACGAGCCACTGTTGTTCAAACATTATTTCAGTGTTGAACAATATTCGAATCCAAATTCGTGAACATCGTTTTTATATCAACTTACCATTGTTGAAAATTAAAATATACTGCGTTTATGCACAACAATACCGACTTCTCTCACACACAATCTGAATCGCCGTGACTTGCCTTGTTTCAGTGGTACCTAATATCATCGATAGCGATCGATAGCGCAATTCGCCCAACAATTTATCGAAATAGAAACGTCGGCTAAACGGTCGATAGGTCTCCCGACCTGAGCTATCGTTCGCGAGTTAGCTTTTCCGAGTGAGTATCCGTAATCCGTGATATGATTTAATCCTGCAATAATTCTGAAAGAAAAGTGTGTTGTGTAGTACAGGTGGGATAAATTTAAACGGAGGAAAAGGTGTGAATTAATTCGCACTAGTAAAGAATTGTAGTACTGATTTTATTGTTCGATACGATAAACGTCAAAATTAAAGAATATAAAATGTTACGTATTTCGTGGGTGTAATACATTTCAGAAGAAGTTACAGATCTTCACAAAAATGAAGGGACACGCCTCGTATTGATTCTGCAATTCAACACATTATTCCACTTTTGTTAAAGGTCGACATGTGGAGTCCTTCATGCTGTAATTTTGTGTTTTTTGTGGTGTGTGTGAAAGGTACATTAAAAATAAATTCGTTGCAATAAAAACAAAGGGAGACTATTAGCACAATTCCATGGCGCATAATTTTTATATCGTTCAGTGGTTGGTCAGTTTGAAAAGAGGCCTGGAACTTCTATCTCAGGACGTAATCGTAGGACTTTGTAAGTTACAGCTTCAGCCATTGCTCTTATGCTTTTTGTATCTATCTCATCGGCAGTAGTTGCTGTCAGGTTAAGAGTTAATTACAAATGAGTTAGAGAACGCAAAAGAACAATAACTAGTGGTGTCCAGTGCCTTTGTAATATCTCTTAGCATAATACAAGATTCTAAGTCCTGAAAAGATTAAGTTAAAAATCAGTAGTTGGAGTTAGTACATAGTCAGGTGAGGAACATTTACCACTATTTGGGGATGAACAGTGGGCCTAAATTACAGAGGTTGAGGCTGTCATTCAGCATTCTACAATTATGTCTTCACCTATAGTTCAAGGATTCTCATCAAACCGGCCAACTACATAACAGTATACAAATTATGCAGTATGAAATTATGTAACAGGTCCTCTTCATATTAATATAAGAAATTTAATTGTAATGCACCCTTCACACAGACCATATGAGACTACAGTGTGAAGGAGCCCACATGCCGATCTTTAACAAAAGTGGAATGCAAAATCAGTAAGAGGTGTATGACCCCATGCTTTGTGGGTCTAATATCAGAGCATTCCTTCATGGTATGGTGGTTGGCTTTCACATGTATTTTATGAAGATTTGAAACATTATTTATTTCTGTTCATATTGACTCTTTTACCAAGTATTAAATCATCTTACACTGTGTTATATAAAAGGTTCTCAAGTCTGATTAATGTACAGGTGCATATAGCTTGAAACCCATGTGTATGCTTGGGTAGAGTGCATGATTCTTCATGCCAATACAAGAAATATGGGATTTGAGGTTCTTTTGACAGTGATTATGAAGGGTTCAGACCACTGATATAGAATGCACATAGTCTGTTGAAAGTCAAAGAGATATTTCACAGTAGCAGGTCACCTCTGTCTTCGTGGTTGAAAAGTAAGTCAAGCAAGAAACCTGCATGTAGCAGGCAGCAAGCATAACACGTGGCTTGCAGAAATGTGGGATTAAATATAAACAGAAGGGACCTGAGAAGCTGGCCTGTGGATTCATGTGTGGAGCAGTGATCCAGGGGGGACACATTCAGTGGTGGGCACATTTGCAGGGTTATTGGTCCTGTGAGCGTTGCTGAGACCAATGATAAGCCAGATTGCCACTTTCCTCCCATACATCAAGCTGATCTTCAGTTTCATTAACATGGTGCTATTCCGACACAACATTAAGTCAACTGACTTGGGGGTGGGGGGTCAAGGTCAGTTGACTCTCAATGGACTGCATGACATTATATCCCAGAAGGTAGAACCCTTCATGCAAGAAATTTCACAGTTGGAATGTTCTCCATCCAAACTTTCTGTGACTGGCATCAAAAGTGGAAATGTCTATTAAACTATCACCATGTTAGGTGGGTTCCTTGTCATCACAGCATGGTGCGTCCTCAGGTTACGGATGGAGGAGATGCCCTCCAGGAATTGAGGGTAGCTGCGAATATATTGAATATGCAGTGGACAGCTGACAAGAGGTGGTCCTCCAGCTTGGAGGTTGGGTGTGGGGGCTAACAATTCCTCACTGTAAAAAATAAGCTTTTATGAAAATTCTCGAGAAGCCTCAGACCTGGACAGATTCTGTGGATAAATGACCTAAGCAAAATAAAATGGATATGAGATTTGGTACTTGGAATGTTAGAAGTATGTAGAGGGCTGGTTCGCGTAGGGCAGTGGTGGAAGAAATCCCAAAATATAAGTTGGATTTAGTGGGGGAACAGGAGTAGGAACCATTAGGCATATATACATTTTTCTATGGAAAGGGGAATGAAAATCATGAATTAGGCACAGGTTTTATCGTACATAAGAGAATCATATCAGCAGTTCAGAGTCTCCTGACAGGAAGATGCACAACCGAATTGACCACATTTTGATAGGCAGGAGAAGGCATTCATGTATACTGAATGTCCGGTCATTCAGGGCAGCAGATTGTGATACTGACTACTACCTGGTGGTGGCAAAGGTTGGGGAAAGACGGACAGTGAGTAAACAAACACTGCACAGAGTTCGTATGGAGAGGTTGAATCTCAACAAATTAAATGAGGTAGAGTGTAAAGAGCAGTATTGTGTTGAAATCTCAAGTGGGTTCGCGGCTTTTGAAAACTGAGGTGGATGTTAATAAAGCTTGCGAAACTATTAGAGACAATATCCAGAAGTAAACATAGGAACAACTAAGTATATGTTGCTGTCTCGTCACCAAAATGCAGGGCAAAATCGTGATATAAAGATAGAAAACAGATGTTTTGAAAATGTGGCACAGTTCAGATATTTGGGAACAACGATAACAAATCAAAACCTGATTCAGGAAGAAATTAAGAGGAGATTGAACTTGGGTAATGCTTGCTAGCATTCAGTCCAGAACCTTTTGTCTTCTCATCTGCTGTCCAAAAACATAGAAATTAGAATATACAACACTATAATTTTGCCTGTGGTTCAGTATGGATGTGAAACTTGGTCTCTGTCATTAAGGGAGGAACATAGACTGAGGGTGTTGAGAATATTTGGACCAAAGAGAGATGAAGTGACAGGAGGTTGGAGAAAACTGCATAATGAGCAGCTTCATAACCTGTACTCTTATCGAAGTATAATTAGAATGATCAAGTCAAGAAGGTTGAGATGGGCATGGCACGTAGCACAAATGGGGAGAAGAGGAATGTATATAGGTTATTCGTGGGAAAGCCAGATGCGAAGACCAAGGCATAGGTGTGTGGACAATGTTAAAATGGATCTTAGATGGGATGGATTGGATTGATCTGGCTCAGGATAGGATCAGGTGGAGAGCTCTTGAGAACACAGTAATGAATCGTTGGGTTCCATAAAATGCTGGGAAGTTCTAGAGTAGCTGCACAACTGGTGACTTCTCAAGAAGGGCTCAGCTCCATGATTGATTGTGTGTTAGACTATCTTGATAGGCGAATACGTTTATCATAATGCAAGTGTGTTACTTTACAATACTGCTTAATTTGGTCAGTTCCCAGGAGCACACAGGCCTATTCAAGCAGCAGCGTCAAGGACCCACGTAAGAGGCTGCATGTGATTACATCTGAGTATCATGGTGGAACTCAGTGATATTCCCAGTGCACCACTCAAGGTGAGAGAGCAGTGCCATTGTGTCAGTTGAAGTTGAAACTTGAAAAAGGTACAGCACAGATAACAGATCCCTGTGTTCTGATTTTTCCTAAATGTTATCTGTCCAGCAAACGTTACTTCTTCTGAACCTTCTGGTTGTATGTACTGTGCAAAAGTGATTTGGCTTCTAAAGGAAGGCTGTGTTCTGTGGAATTACAGTCTGGTAAGGGGAGGGGGTTGAAGTCACCTGCTGAACCTATTTTTCCTGCCAGGGGACAAGGCTGAACTGCCCCCCCTCCCCCAGGGAAAGGCGCCCTGGTACCCATAGGATAGGAGGGTGGGTGGGCCACAGAACTGATCTGGAAATTACAGATAAAAGAAAAATCTCGTGCGTGCACTGGAAATCAAGCTTGTGATTCCTCGGCTCTCCAATCCATAATCTCTTTCAGTACTGCCTGAGTTATCTGCCAGTATTGTCACTGATGTTAATAAAATGTAATGGATTTTTGCAATACAGTTAATATTTTAATTCATTCGTTTTAACCTACTTTCCATATTTTGAAAAATGAAAGGCTTATGAGATCATCTTGCTGTCTGCATATCTGTGTATCCCCCCACGTTTGGACATGTGGTCCATGTCATGTCAAAGGAAAGTAGGTAATTAGCTCTTCCCAGAACTTCTTGTATTGAAGTATGATATAGGTTTGCAGATAACGAAGAAAACAAAAGGGAGGGAGGTAATGTAGATGGAAAGAAAGCCACAAAGTTTGGGGGGGGGCACAAGATAAGTTACATCATGTAAAGCTGGAACTTTGTTCTGCAGGTGGTGTTCGTCGTACACTTCATCCTGTCTGCATGGTGAGTTCCTTTGTGGCAGAAAGTGTTACTGGCATGAGGCTGGCAGTGAAGAGCACTGTCATTTGAGGTTTGACGTGTATAGTCTGGTATATGTGTAGAAGTAAGCTTCTCTCTGACTACACAGCGTCACACAAGGCTGGTTGGTGTAGTGATACCCCTCTACCCTTATGTCTAGAGATGTTCCTTGGCACTGACTATCCTTGTTGGGTCTTTTACTGGCTTTTACTCTGACTCTCCAGGCTACAGCAATCGTCTGAATCTTTCCAATTCACTGTTTATTGGTTGTCCTACCATGCAGAAAGCGTGCACATGTGTGCATGCATGGTCTCACAACCCAGAACATATTACTCTTGAGAGTTGCTGCTATGACAGTCTCCAGTCTAACACAGCTTGTAGTGTTTGTAAAAATAAGAACCTTCACTCTTGCCAAACATGTGAGCATTAATGTTGTGACAGTGGTGAATGTGACTGATGCACATTTCTGGGATATGACACCACACAGCCTTCTAGATGGTTACTAAACATTAGAGAGGAACCTCAGGGTTCCGTCTTCATGGCAGAAGTCCATGAAAACGGAGACAGCAAGTTCCTCTGAAAGCTTGGTAACTGCATGCCAGAGTAAATGGTAACGCTCTGGGCTTCTATTCAGAAGGTGCCAGGACAGAACCTTTCCTGACTGAGGTTTTTGGTGGTTTTCCTTGCTCCATCCAGGCAAATTTCAAGATTGTATCTTGATTAAGACATGGCTACTTCCATTCAGATCATTTCTGTTCGACACTATGCAGTCGTGAGACACTGGCAGTTTAATAAGCAGTGCACAGTGATCAGGCTGTCATAAGGCCTCTACCTAAACACAGGACAACACCATCACAGAATGAACGCATACACACACCAAACATCCATGCCTTGTGTGGGATTCAAACCCACAACCCCGGCTTCCGAGCAAGCAAAGACAGTACATGCGTCAGACCACTTGGCTATCGTAACCAGCTAATACCTGAATGGTTAGATGGAATTCATAAGTATCCTGTATTGAACATTTTCCCAACATCAGTCAGTGCATGATGAATACAAACATGAGGGCATTCTGATGGGATCCAGTAAATAAAATGGCCGTTTTCTTGAAAGTGCCTCTAGCAGTTTCAGTCACATTTTATTAAATTATGGAGATGTTCCCTAAGTGAAGCTGCATAGGTGGTGTCCTCAAGTACTTGCACTAGGGACCCAAACTTGTAATATTGATTTTGTTGAAACAGGCTTTACTGGGCAGTTGGATTTCATGGTTATTCAATATTTGGTAACCTACAGTGCTCTGCTGAGGAGCACAATAATATACTCACAGTGAATTGTATATGAGACAGTGTATGCTCTGATTTCAAATTTTTTTGTACAATTGAATTTGTATGTGGTAGGAGTGAGGTTGGGTATGAAAAGGGCAGGATGGGGTTAATGAAGTCAGCGGTTGATGCACTCTCTAGGTATCCTGCAAACTCATCCATTTTGATCCATGATGGGGTTCTACCCGGAAAGCAGATCGGAATATTCGTTAACATGTAAGTATATATGAGACAAACTCCGTCTTAAGTGCAACAATTTTATTGTAGTTCTTTCTTCTACAATAAAATTATTGCACTTAAGACAGAGTTTGTCTCATATATATTGTGTGAGTGTAACAGGATGCTTAAATATGATATTGTAAACATGTAAGTAACCAGAAATTCAACCATTGTTGCAGGGGTCTAGGACACTGGTGTCCTTTGTCCTACCTATTCTACAACCTGCTCTTCTTCTTGATACTTCTGTGGGCGGTACACCACAAGGAGAGCGATGAGCCCATGCAGATGGTGAGCTGCTTGCTGCACAGAATGTTGCAAGAAAGGACATGACTCCATGTTGATGTGATAACTGAGTATATGTATTTTTGTCACAGGCTGTAGCAGTGAATGCCGTGTGCCTTGTTCTCGATGTGATGGTGATATCACTGTACTTTCCGCGCAGCAATGGTGAGTAACAGCGTGAGTCACATTTACACATTCTCTTTGGATGCAAAATCTGAACTACTATCCCAGAATTCAGAATTACTGGCTTTTTGGACTTTCTCCATCATCCAGTATTCTAGAAAGAAGAAAACGTGACGTTTCAGAAACTGGAATTGTTTCCGTCCTCAAGTGAGGAAAGGAAGACACATACTCAGTTGGTCCCTTAGAATCTACTTACTATTCCAGCATTTGGCTTCACTGACTGAGGAAAACCACAGAAAATCTCAGTCATGATAGCCGATCTCTCTGTACAAGATGAATTGGGAAGTTGCTATCCGTTGGCATGTTGCTACATTTTTTACTTTTTATCTTCATGCATTGTCTGTTCAGTCACCAAGAAGCCTCTAGCATCAACTTTCCCTCAACATCCAGCTGAACCACTTAGCCAGTGTCAACCATGTGAGGTCCCCTTCAGTCAAGTCAGCCACAGATGGCATTCAGAGTACACTTCCAAGGCAAGGGCCTGCAAAATGCATTGATTCTTTCTGGAGCTCACAGACTATCCTGCGGTGAAAATTATCTCCCTTGTTACATCATTACTTTCTGTTTCTCTCTGAAGCAAATGTGGTCACATTACTGTAATATTGCAAAGGCTTAGCCATTCGTGCTACAAGTTGCAGTGTAACATGTTTGTTGATTCATATGTCAGTTTGTAACATGACATGATGCATAAGAGCCAGAATACTGGGCTCATACAAGCATGGCAGAGTCGGCCAATGTTAAGGTGATGGCTTATTAAAACATGTTTCTGTGGCATTGCATCGCATACACACACACAGCAGTAGACGAACTGTTAGGATCAGTGTTTTCTATTTAGTCTGCTTTGAAGCCATAAAAAGGGTTGTGAGACAATAAAATGTGATCATGAGTCCACAGGATTTGGAACCAAGTATGACTATGCTGGTGAGGGCTAGCAGCAATTTACCTGACTGACTGACAGAAAAATAAATACGATCATGGGTCCTGATGGGGCCCAAAACCAAGAATGGCCCTTCTGGCAAAGCCAGCAAAAATTACAAGAGCAGAGAAGAGCAGAGCAAAGCAGTGCAGAACTGGAAGCTTTTGAGCATGGACATGTTAGAGAGAATGCCTGTTATTACAGGCCATAACCAAGCAGCAAACATGTGAGGTTATGGCAGCCTGGGAACACTTGGAGGTGCTGTAATTATCTGTAGTTAAGGGTAATTGTATCCACTAAATTCAGTTACCAGTGTGAAACTATGTATGTATGATATTTAACTCCTTGAGGCCATGTAATTATCTAAATATGTGTAAACAGACTGGCCAGTTAGTACTCTTTAGGGAAATAATCACTGTTTATTCTAAGGGTCATATAAAATCCATGAATACACTGTGTAGTAAAAATGCAGACTTTTGATTGTTAGAGCAGGTGGTACATGTGGTTGTCACTGGGCTTGAAAGGATTAAAGAAGAAGATACAAATGTGACAGTTCCAGACTCCTTGCTTGCAGATGGAAGTGAACGTTTCAGTTGTGGCATGGCCATCTTGAATCTCATTATTCGTCCCTTCACGACGTTGGTACTGTACCGTATCTATGTGGAACGAGCCAATGCTGTTGGTGCGCCGCTTCCCACCATCTTTGGTGAGTCCCTTTGTAACTCACACTTTTGCATCAAAACTTGTTTTTATTTTAAATGGTGTCTGCCCCTTAATGGGCATATGTTATGTCACGACTTCTTCCCTTGTTGGTACTAATGTGTTTGTTGCTTTTGCAGGGGGCACAGCCCAGAGGGGCCCATATGAGGACATTGTTGGTGCAGTTCACCAGAGTGTGCCTCACACTGATATCCCCAGTCCAGTGGAGTATGCTCCCAGCAGCAAGATGCCACCTCCATATCACAGCTGAGGTGTTTGCAGTTTGGAATATTTAATGTTGGGTACCCAGGGGTGGGGTGTGGGGACAGAACCTTGCCATTCATAACAAAATAGAGCCAGAGGAAAAATCCATGACATAAGAGGAATTTGAAAACAAAATGCTTGCAACATCTATACAGCTAGAACTGTGAATCTGTGTAACCTCTTTCCTTTGTCCAGGCCTACAACCGTGCAAAGTGGAAAACAATATCCAAGGAAAATTCTAATTATCTCTCTGTCTGGGGCTTCATAAACATGGCACACAAAAAGAACATACAGTCTAGTTTTCCTTTTGGTGTTTGTCATAGCCACTTGGGGTTTGGTCCAGAAAGAATGTAACTGTAACAGATTTGGCATATCCATCTGTGGATTATCAGCTGCTGTGCATCCCGTGTGGAACAATTGTACTTTTGTGTTGTCATAGATTTTGAAATGAAAGTTTGGGTTCTCTCTGAATCAGTGTGTGGATATTGTGTTGGAAATTGCCCATTGTCGAGGTACATTTGATGTGCATGTTTCAGAGATGGAATCTGTTTCCATTGTCAGCTGTAAGGGGGGAAGGTTTCCTGTTCTTTTGGGCCTACTAGATTGAGCCCTCTGAATTACTGGCCAGTGGTCAGACCTGATAACACAAACGGACCTGCTTTCTGAAACATCATATATATATACACACACGGTTTACCCCCACAGAATTGAAAGTGTCCAGTGCAATAATTGTATTATCAGAAGCTATAGCACGTTCACAAAATAAGTAAATTCTCTAAATTCTATGAAAATTAATAATATTAATTTTACAAATTCAGCGATCAGCGCAACAAATGTTTATTAATTTAACCAGACTGTATGTTTCAGCCTCTAAAGGGTCATCTTCAGGTGTTCTTAGTTAATTTGTAAAATTAATATTATTGTGTTCATGCAATGGGATGCAAACAGTAAGTAGGAGTGAAAATTACTGTAATGAGAGTGAAGCAGGCAACTAAGACCAAGAATGTTCCAAGGGTTACTTTTATTGTGCCCCTTTCAATCCACATGATACTTCAAGCACAGTTTTGATGTCTCTTTCAGTATAATCCCTCGTGCAACACAGCACATGCTTTTACCTGTCTTGAGGCAAATGGAAAAGTAAATATGCGTTTTACATTATCACTAAGTGTCTTTCACCATCAGAGTAGTTAACTTTGCCTGTTCTGTGCATGCCATTAACCCAGTCCTTTGCAGATCTTGAGGCATGTGCGTTCATGATTTGATGTCACAGTTATTCTTTGTGTGACATTTTAAAATTTCTTGCCCATCTCTTAGGCGTTATTTTGGCAAGCATTACAAATCAAAAGTTACTGCTCCCTCTTGGTTTGTGATGAAGTACCATCAAATTCATTCCAGACACCATTATTTTCTTTAATGCTGTGAAAATGCCCAACCTGACAGGGTTGCTGTACCACATAAATATTCAAAACCTTGCAGTATAAAAACCTGCAAAATCATAAACCATTCTGGAAGTAAAACGTAAAAAGTAAAAAGTGAAGTATTTCACAATGACATTTTCATATTGAGTGAATTTTGTGAGAATTGGCCACAGAGGTATCAAGGACGGACAGAGAGAAGAATGGAGTGTACTAGAAATGGAAACAAAATGGCCTCATTCCCAATTTTTCTGGTTGGTAATATGCTGAAGGATGCAGTGATGCATTTGTGTAAATGTGTAACTTGCCTCTCTCTCCTTCAATTCCGTACCACAGAACTAACAGACAACAATCGGAGATGCTGTGAAACTTACTTCATAACCTTGCCAGTATGTACAGTAGCATGGTTGTTAACATCGATGTGTAGATGTTGCAGCTGAGTTTTTGGATGCGATTGGAATCCCCATATGGAGTCTCCTTCTGACTACATGAGTAAACTTTAATTTTGGAATGTGACTGTTGTTCCTCAGAATTTTCAGCTGCTGTATATTGTGATTCTGACAGGGAAAGCAAGTGCATGCTGAGTGAAGAGCAGGTACTTCTGCTGGTGCATGTATATATACATATATTAGGCAAAGTTTTGCTGCTATATTAATGTGTCTTAACAAGTAGTTTTGAATAGGAGCATAAAATATGCTTAAGGCATTGCCTGGGCCATTTTTGTATATACATGAATTTTTTCCAAAATAAAGAAAAAGCTATATTATAGACCTTGTCAAGTTATTGAACTTAGTTATTTTTGACAAAGTTTGTTTTTCACAATTGTCTACTGGACTTTTCAACAGGCTGTATGTCATTGTTATATATAATAATTTCCACACACATCTGCTTGGCTAGGTAAAGAGTGAGAGTTCGTGGACAAGATACAAGTTTCATTCACTTACTATGAGAGGTGTGAATTTTTCCTTTGAATTTTTTTAATACGGCTTCTTGACACATTACAAACGGTTATCAGTGACAAGTATGGCCAGGCGATTACTGCAGTCACAATTAACCGCTACACAACTTTCTCTTGTTGTCACCATTACTGTTGTATCCAGCATTGTCAGTCATTTTTAGTGTAAAAATTTAGCCTTTTTTAAATATATTGTATATTCACTAGCAATATGTTGATATAGCTATGTATGTGATTAGTTCTTTTGTAGTGTATTCTTCTTCTTATTGGTATATGTGCATAAGCGTACTGTATATGAAGAATATTTGTATTTTGTTACTATGATCTATGAAATGCATCTTCACCATGCAAAGTTAATTTGAAGAGTGTTTTCTGAAAAATCATTTGTATTATTTCTTCTTTGACTTTGTTATGTAGCTCCCTGAGCTCTCAGCATTCCTGTTCCTTCTGAGTGTGGGAGTGTCTTGCCTCATGCGTTTGCTAACAAGTAATGACCATAGAGGACTTGTGAAGTGAGATTTCACATTCTGAAGGCAATTTCCTTCCAGGGTCTCATAGATGCATAGCAGCATTTCAAAGAAACTTAACTGTATCCATGCCTCCTTTACCCTGAAGATGAAGATAGCTGGATGCTCTGAAACAGCAATACCTGTGTGCCAGACTATATGGCGGCACTACCCAAGAAATCAGTAATCTTCAGTTACGGGATAACAGATTCCTTGGCAGTAAAAATATGGAGCGTACGTAGAGAGAGAATGTTACAGATTTGTGTCTGGGCCTTTTCTTGACGTTGAAATGAAACATTGAAAGCAATCCTCAGCAGACTCAAAGATAAAACTAAAATGTTATGTGTTATGATCTGATGACACACGTGAGTGATGTCTGACTGTAATTTTAGAACGTAGCATGTATGTAGCATGCACGGGGGAGAAAAGGAATGAATACATGCCAGAAGGAAAGAGACCACTTGGAAGACCCAGATGTAAGTGGGAGGATAATATTAAAGTAGATCTCAGAGAAGTAGTATGTAATTATATGGACTTGATTCATCTGGCTCGGGATGGGGATCAGTGGAACTGTCTTGTGAACATGGTAGTGAAATTCAGTTTGCATAAAACGCCAGAAATTTAGCGTATAAACTGTGTAAGCCGTTTTGCTGGCCACTAGGATATTTAGGATATAAGAATATTTTTTCAAATCCTTTTTATTTTCATATATTTATTTGGTAGATTTTCTTATTTTCCCAATTTATATTTTTGTTTTAGAGATCCAGTGGAGCTGGTGTAATCCCCACCCCTGTACGTCTCATGCCTGTAAATATGTATAAGTCAGGGGGTCCATGAGACGTGCCGTCTGAAGCCAAGTGCATTTCAGAGCACATCAGAAGCTGCGTCAGTCTGAGGTCATACGCGTTTTTTTTTAGATAAGATGTTTAAGTGAAAGTGAAGTAGTTGTGTCATGTGATGTAGCATTTGGTCACACACTGACATATGTCAGTCTTGTCTCAATTTTCTCTGAATCTGCGAATGTGAGGTCTTTTTGTTAGTCTTGTAAGTTGGGACTTGTTGCTGCGATGATGAGTTGACAGGAATAATATGATGATAATTACACTGGAAGTGCTGATAAAGTGCAAAATATATTGTCACTGCTCTCAACACTATTTCTCTGTTAGCAATGAGTTAAAATATCTGTTCGATTCCCAACAGGCACAAGAGATTTCTTTCATCACCTCAGCGTCAAGATCTGGTCTCATGTCCACTCAACTTCCCGTACAGTGGGTACCAGGGACTTAAGCTAGCAACCCTTCTCCATTTATTGTTGAGGCTAAGAGTACTTGGAGCTATACCTCCGTTCCTCTGTACATCTTCAGCACAGTTAGAACTTCACCATCACATTTCAGGAAAGCATGTTTACGTTAACAGTCAGACTGTTGAGACAGATATGTCGAGCCAGATTGCATCTGTTTAACTCTTTAAAGCACAGTGATATCTATATGTACCACAGCAAAAATCTAAAACCTGAATGCTACCCACAGTGTAGTTGTGTTTTATGTGGTTCTTAAAAGCCCACATTGGACTCAAAACCAAGATTGACTGACTGACTCAGTCGCAGTGTGACTTCGACTTTGAATTTGAGTGCAGGGAATTGTGGGACAGTCGCCAGCCGGTAAAAACGTGAGCACGAAAGCAGAGGACATTCCTGATATCCGACACCAGGCAACGACTGTACAGCAGACTATAGACATGTAGTGAACTGCAGTGTGTGAATTAGCAATAGCGCTATAGTTACTTGTAGTCACGGATCTGTAAGAGTTAAGTCAATCCGATTAGCAATCCAAACCCCGTCTGTAGTGACTATCACGTGACACTGCAAGCAAACTCGCGATACCTGAGGTTTTGAACTCACACAGGACTTTTTTTCCATAAGTCTACCAGCTAGATGTACGTGTAGCAGCAAAAACTTTGTTTCTTTCTGTCGGGTTTATCCACGCCTGAAACTTGTCCGTGTTTTGTGCTCGAAGTTGGGAACGCAAGAAGTGGCGTTGTGCCGATATAAGGGCGGGCGAGCTAGCGGGCTAGCGTCTGTCAGTGCGCACCATGGCACTTCGCGGTGCGCTTGTCCTACTGGTGCTGCTACTGACGGCGGACGGGGCTCCGGCGACCCTCAGGTAGGGACACAGCCACAGGAGCAAGGACTGGATTGCTCTTCAAGTGACGGCCATTTTGAAATATTGCTTACATTGCAAGTACAGTGGTAACTATATGTACCATCTGCTCTAACATAAAAAATTTGCATTCTGCCCACACCGTATTTGTGTTTCATACGGATCCCACAATAAACAAGATCATTTGCGCAGACAGCAGTAACCGGTTGGGCTTTGTTGTGGAGATGTGTTCTCTGTGATGTACAAAGTGGATGTTCATATATTTAGAAAAGCTTCAAAGGCTTCAAAATTTTAATGGCGCTCGTTTTACGTTGTGTTGTTTTCATCTTACGATGTTAGTTTGAGAGAGTAAAAAAATTTGCAGAACATGAAGACGATGGCAGATTCTTACGAAATGTGTAAAATTGACGCGTAAGGGGGTGGGCGTGTGTTTAACTCTGTGAGAGGGTTGAAGGAATCTGTCAGTAAGAGTCAATAGCACGAAACAGTGGGCGAACTGTCTGGCAACTCGCATCCTTCTGATGCAGTGAACCCTCCTGTATATTCACGCGCGTGTAGAATGTTAGGGTTTACAGCACGACAGGTCACGGGGCTTGAGAAGAAAAATACAGGCCATGGGAACAAATACAAAGTTTAGTCAATAGAAAAAGACTCTTCACTACATATGTATTAGTAATAATGATAATAATAATANCCCCCCCCATAGTTCCTTGTGGATTTCAATCTAGCGGCGGGGGAGGCAGCTCGAGTCTCCCTCATGTATTTGTGGTCTGAGTGTCGGGTACTGAAACGGGGGAGCAGCGCGCGCCTGCGCTGTCGTGCCAAAGCCACCATATTGCGGCGGCAAACTCGAAAATTTGCGGATGTGGAGTGAGCGCACGTTACACACACCGCAAATTTGCTATTTTCCCGAATGTATTCTGCTTACAAAGTGGTTCATCTTAAAACCGTATCCCGGGCGAAGAGCGGTTACTTCCACACGTTCTGCGTAATACAGCGTACATCTGTGTAATCGGACTTTGACTCCAGGCAGTGAGGCGAAACTTTCGTATCCGCAAGAGGTTAGCATCACAGTCGGCGTCAGGTCAACGTGCTCTCCCTTGCAAACTCTCCCCTGACAGATCGGGAGTCATTATCATACATTAGAGAGAACTTGTTCGTGGCCCATTTTAATGTAGCGTCATTACAAGTATTACAAGTATCCAGGATTCGAAGCATGCTCCTTCCGAATTTAATCCACCAAAAAGTGTTCGCTCGTCGCCCGCGCAGGTACAATATGATACTTGGGTCGTGCCATTGGCAGTCACAGAAGCCACGTCTGTCTTAACTTCTATAGCGACCACTTACATGTCATGTCCATGTGTGTGTGGCTTCCTAGCCAATACCTGTGACTAAAATTCTCGTGAACTTTCATCTGTTAAAAAAATGCAAGAGACCCAGAGGAACTGAAGCTGAATGGGACATAGGCATATCAGCTTCTGATCTGTGCTGATGATGTTAATTTGTTTGGTGAGATCATGAACACCATTAACAAAGCACTGAAGCTCTAATTGGCGCTCTTAGGAGGCTGGTCTAAAAGCAGATACAGGAAAGACTTGAGTGTACTCGTATGTTGATATGTCGTCACCAGAATGCGGGCCAAAACGATAACATGAAGATCGCTAACGAACCTTCGGAAATGCAGTGACAGTGAGAAATCAAAATTGCTTTCACGAAGAAATTTAGAGAATATTATATTCGGGGGATGCTTGCTGCCATTCGGTATACAACATTTTGTCCTACCGTCTTCTATCTAAACATGTAAAGATTAAAGCGTGCAGAACTTTAATTTTGTCTGTAGTATTTATGCACGAAATATTATTACAGTTGTCTAATCACGTGCTGCCAGATGGGCGGGGTAATGTAACATGCGTGGGAGAAAAGAAGAAACCACAAAGATTTGATTAGAAAATTTGAAGAGAAGAGATCATTTAGAAAATTCAGAGGTACATAGAAGCGATGATATTAATACAGATTTTATAAAAATGGGTCGTGACTCTGTAGATTGGATTCATCTGCCTCAGGGGAGGAACCAGTTTTGGGTGGGCTCTGGTATACATTGTAATTAACATTCGAGTTCCATAAAAGGCTGTGAATTTCTTGAGTACCTGCGCTACTGTTAGCTACTCAGATAGGCTCGGCTATATGCAGTGAGTTCCTACGAAAACTATGTCTGGTGTTGCGTTCGGTAACAGGGTAGTTACGAAGCATAGTCCCTGCATTATCACACTGTCACCTGACGGCCTTACTTGGAAACAAATTGCGGTCAGCGCTTTATCACTTTCCCTTGTTTTCACGTGCATATATGTACAAACGTCTCGTATATCTTACTAACTGGAGCAGTGATAACATTAACAATAATAATATCGACTGTTAAGAACTTTCGAAATGAAAAGACTCGGCCTTGTGAAGGCACGATTAGCACAATCAGGTGCCGCGGTAATCCACAAACAAAGAGCAATATTAACAGCGCCCTTAAAGCCCAGCAGTTACTACATATACCACCTGTTTAACATACTAAGAAACTGTGCATTCTGCCCACAGAGTGTATTTGTGTGTTCCATATGGTTCTCACAATAAACAGCGACTGTTTCCCTAAACAGCATTAACCGGTTGGGCTCTGTAGCAGAGACGTAATTTCTTTCCTGTGAGGTATGAACTGTATTTTATATATTATGTAGAAAAAATTCAGTCTTTAAAAGAAAGTAATTCTGAAAATATTCCAAAAGCATATTTAAGAAAGAGGCCTGCTTGACGCAGGCCAGTTTGGTTTCCGTACACGTCACAACACGACACTGCAATGTATGAGGCTAACGGACCACGTGACCCTTATTTTCAACAATAAAATATCTACGGCTGCGGTATTCTCGGACATCGAAAAAGCCTTTGATACTACATGGCACTCGGGCTTGCTATATAAGTTGTCAAACCTGGAATTTTAGACAAACTTAATCAAGCGTATTGGATCTTTTCTTTCACAACGAAAATTCAGTGTTTCAGTGGAAGGCGAAATATCTGCGCCCAGGAAAATGCAAGCAGGGCTTCCATAAGGTTCGTTCCTGTCCCCTACTCTTCAAATATGTACATAAATGATGCCCCCCAAACACGTGGCTTCCAACTAGCCCTCTTTGCAGACGACACCTGTCTGTAAGCGACAGATCGCAAGGAGGGTTTTGTTGTCAGAAAACTCCAGCGCGGTCTCAGCTCAATGGAGACCTGGAGTGAGCGCTGGAATATCAAAATTACTGAAGATGAGACTCAGGGGGTCTACTTCTCTCGCAGTCGTCGTCCGCCAATGTGTTATCTTACACTGAATGGAAGCTATATTCCATGTGTAAATTGTGTAAAATATCTCGTCGTAATCTTTGATAGGAGGGTTACATGGAGATTGCACATAGAAATGATCGAAACCAAGGCCTTCAGATCATTTATAAGATTTTATTCCCTATTTAAAAGTGAGCGATTAAGCCCTAAGATTAAACTGACCCTCCACAAAGCTCTCATTAGATCTGTAATGACTTACGCTAGTCCCGCCTGGGAGTTTGCGGCAGACACCCATCTAATGAAATTGCAGCGCCTACAAAACAAGGCTCTCCGCACCATTGGCAATTTTCCAAGGCACACACCGGCTCGCGATTTGCACACTGCTTTCAAAATCCCGTACATATATGATTATGTAAGAAAAATATGCAGGCAACAAGCGGAAGTCATACAAAATCATGGCAACGAAAATATTTTCAATATTGGACAAGGCGAAGCCCTACATAGGAAGTATAAGAGACTTAAACTTGGCGGCGGTCAGGCATACGACCGTTCAAATGACTAGACTGCCGTTGTCGCGGAAGCTACTAGAAATATGGCATAATCTGCTGTACTGAGCCTGGACTGACATAGGTCCTGCATATATTTTATATACATTTATTAACATGTAAAATGTAAATATCATTTACGTTATGACAAATGACTTACTACTGCAGACAATGACTCTGACAAAAGACAGACCCGTCCTCTCGTTAGAGAGGGCGCCCTACAATAACAAGACCGTAACTGTCAAACAGTAATAAATATCTGGTCATGAGCCCCAGACTGGGCTCTACACCAAGACTGACTGACTGACTGACTGACTGACTGACTGACCGTCGGTCACAATGTGGCTTTGACTTTGAGTCTTTAAAATCCCATGTGGAGGCGGGGTCGAATACTTTGACCGTAGCCCTGAAGGGCGTAGGAGGCGACGAAATGGGAACCCAGTGCCTGGGGGTATAACCGGGCCACCCTCTTCCTGGGGGATATGAATACATGGACCCGTCCCACCATTTTCAGGGAGTCTCGAATCTGAGATAGTAAAGTGTGGTCATGAATCCTGCGGGACCCCGACCTGAGAATTAATGCGCTGGCGAGGACCAGCAGCAATTGTAAACGAGAGACCCATCCTCTCGTCAGAGAGGATGTTACATAAAGACTATAATCGCAATTGTTCAGTTGGAAAATAGAATTACTGGTCGTGAGTTTCAAGGGGCTTATCGCCAAGACGAACTGATTGCCAGTCGTAAAGTAGCTCTGACTCGGTCTTAGAGGGTTCAAGTTCCTTGCACGCCAGGCTTCGCTCCGTTATTGCAATAATGCCAGTCGCATTTTTGGTGTCGAACTAATCAATAATGAAAGTTGTTATTTTGAGGACCTCACATCCCACCGGTTGAGAAACATAGCGAGTGTTCATGCCATGTCGGTCTACAATCTGGAAACACTTTCGCAATGTCTGTCGGACGTCAGCTGCTTATCGAAACGTATTTCTTCTGCAGATAAACAAGGCCATCTCCATTATAAAAATGAATCGGTTAATTGTGTTTAGGGAAATGATCGCTGTTTGCTGTGAGAATCGTGCGGAATGCGTAAATGCACTGTGAGGACAAAGGTCACAATCCGCATGCCTACAGTAAGCACTTTGCTCCAACGGGTTAATGGTTCGGGTCATGGAAACCGGCCACAGTGGGCCAAGTTCCTCCGATACGACCGTCTTTTCTTACTACAATCAAATGTTCTGTGACGTCACTGTTCGGTCGGCTATTATCTGCTTCCCGTTCGGCTTGGACTGTTGGAAAGTAACGCGAAGGCGTCTGATACGAGGCTATCTCTGCCGACCTGAGGCTAGACCGCTGGGCTCCCAGCCTCGGGGACACACGCGAGGCCCCGTCAAACTTGTCCAGCCAGCAACTGCCGTTCTGTGGGATATGGGCTTTTCAAGCCGTAGATATGAGACCTACTGTCTCCTGGGCCCCTTCACTTTCCGAAATCCATATGCTTTTACCCTTATTTTCCCACGTGGCTAATTCTTCTACCCTGAAGGTGGAGGTAGCAGGTGCGTCTGAAACATTGGTACCTATCTTCCTAAATGCACGGCGTCACATCTTCCTCGTTAGTCACAGCAAACGGAAATTTCGGTAATAATTGTCGCTGGCAGGGTTCTCAGCTTCAGGGCTCGAGGCACATTGTTTGGGGGAACCACCGACTGCCAGCAGAACCCAGCGCGGTCCTCGGCCATTTTCTCTGCTCTGTCAGTTCCGAGTGACTGCTCACTCACAGAATTCTGTACATGTTCCTTGTTTCTCGTCCGAGCTCGTCACAGGGCGGTTACAGTTACCTACCGGGGAAGCAGAGTAGTGTCTCCTGCAGGGGGAAGCTAGAGAATTTGCTTGCAGCCTTACAATTAATCCCTAGAAGAACGTTTTGCTGATAGTCCAAAAGCATTCAGAGAAGAAGAATAATTTTTTATTTTAGAATTTTTTGGTGAATTTCCGTCTTTCCGCAGTTTTGATTCTTTCCAAAACAATACGGGGAGACGGCACGTGCCTATCTTCTTGCCCCTGCCGACGCCAGTGGTCTCTACTGTATCCGGCGCAGAAGTCAGTAATGAAACTTTGGTCATTCGTGTTACTGCTACAGTGACACAAGTCACACACTCTCTTGTGTTAGCGAATGGGGGACACATCCGGCCGGGTTCAGTTCGCGAGATGACGATCATCCTGGCTCCCCCCCCCCCATTTTAAGTTCACCACTTGCCTCGTTCTCCTCACCTTTTCCCTCTGTTGTTCATAATTATATTTCGCACGTTTCCTCTCTCTCGGTTTTCGTGCAGGCGTCCATAGTGAAGTCACTGAGTGGAAAGTATCGTGCACGTGTCAATTGTTGAAGTCACAAGTCAAAGTCACATTGCGACTGACGGTCAGTCAGTCAGTAAGTCTTGGTGTCGAGCCCCATCTGAGGCTCATGACGAGATATTAATTATTACCGTTTGACAGTTACGGTCTTGTTTTTGTGGGGCGCCGTCTCTGACGAGAGGACGGATCTGTCTTTTGCATACGCTGCTGGCCCTTGCCAGCGCATTCTTTCTCGGGTCCGAGTCCCTTGGGACTCGCGACCATATTTTACTGTCTCAGATTTGAGACTTCCCTTTTCGTCGCCTCCTACGACTCGCAGGGTCACGGTGGAGGTATTCGACACCGCCTCCACACGGGTGTGAAGTCACAAGTTCGTGTAAATAATACATAAGATTTCATTTCGTACCTCACAGGAAACATCACGTCTCCGCTACAGAGCCCAGCCGGTTAATCCTGCTTATTGTGAGAATCGTACGGAACGCATAAAGCAGGGCGCGCTGGGCCAAACGGTTACTATCTTGACTCGTTTTCGACAGGCATTCTGTTCGGATCTCGGTCGTAACAACTGCTGTTGACTCAGAATTTTCGTAATTTTCCCCAGTCCCTCCAGGCAAATTCCTGCATAATACATCAACTAGGCCACGATCGCTTCCTTCCTAATCCTTTCATTTCATCTTTCCTGTATCAACCTACACTTCATCGCTATATAAGTTAGCTGAACGCGTCGTAAAGAAACACAGTTTAATTCGTTGTTTGGGCGAGCTGCTGAATTTGAAAGCAAGCGGTACGTCCTTCCAATGATTAATCAGGATAATGAAGTAACTGACCCCAGGCAGGATTTGTGTTCTGAGACAGGTTATGGTACAGGAGCTAAAGCTGTCTAAGCCTGAAGCTGAGTTCATCTATAGTCCACTCATGATGTACGTGTATGTGCGGTGAAGATGTGCCGAAGGGGTAGCCATGAATCTCTGATCTCTATTGGTTGCCAGCGGTGCACTATATTATACTTTTACAGGAATACATGTATATTCAGTTAAGGTATATGTATGGAAATGTACCTGTACGGCCTCCAGACAACACATGGCATGGTATATAAACACAGGTAAACTTTGCGTTTCTTCTTTCTCGTCGTCTTGAAGCATTGTTTCCATTTGATATGGGTTGATGGACGACACGTTTCAACCTCTTCCTCCTTCCCACAATCGCTCCTCTTCGATTTCTCGTCAACTTCGTCGTGCCTTCCTGAAATTCTCCAGTGCCTGGCCGAACATTCTTGTTCTGGGTCATTCCATGCTCTTCCCCCTTGCAAATTTGGGTTCTGTTGTCTTTTTCGATGCCCCTGCTCTGCCCGTTCTGTTTACGTGGATGCACTCTCACCTGCAGGACAGATTTCCGCGTGTTCTGGAACGTGCCCACATTCATGTGTCACCGGTACGGGATGAACTTCAGTGACGTCCACAGCCGCTGGGGTATAGTGCAGAACCACGGAGACCTGTTCCGGGGAGATCGCATGGTGATCCTGTATGATCCAGGAGAGTTTCCGGCTCTGCTGCAGGATAAGCGCGGCAACTTGCAGTTCCGGAATGGGGGCGTGCCCCAGGAGGGAGACCTCGCGCGACATCTTAGCAAGCTGAGGGCACAGGTGGACGAGCTCGTGCCTGACCACAACTTCCGGGGTAACTGTTTCCTCCATGCTCTTGTGTCGTGTTTAGGAGGTAACCAATGGAGTGCAGGCCAGGAGACTACTTGTCTGTTGCTTTCCCCCTCTCTGAACATTCTTCAGTCCGTGTCCCCGTTAACCACTGACCCCAGTGGGGGCGGGTTAAGCATCCAACCCTGAATTTTTTGAGAATATGATCAAAATTGTAAAGAGAGGCAATATATTAAATATTGCTGCCGAAAACTGAGAGAGTATGAAACAGTATTCTTGTATCCTGAATGCTCTAGGCCAGTCAGTGCAGTCAGAGAGCCTTCAGTCTTGCGTTTGACTGCTTCTTGCTGCTTCTTGCTATGAAAGAAGCAATTCAACGCATAGAACGTACTTATTTTATTATTGCTAGTGGGGTGGGACTAAATCCCTTATACTGCGGCCACTTCCAGCCTATTGTACCAGCCCCAGATGATAGGTGAGGGTGATTGTGGAGCAATTGGTGGAATGAAGATTGGCAAGGGAAACCGAAGCACTCGGAGAAAACCTGCCCCAGCGCCACTTTGTCCACCACAAATCCCACCTGACCAGACCCGGGATCGAACCCGGGCCGCCGCGGTGGGAAGCCAGCGACTAACCGCTTGAGCTATGGCGCGGCCTTAGAACGTACTTAAGTAAGACATTCCACGTGCACTCGCGCTGTGTGAACTGAATGAAGATAATTTGTATGACAAGAAATTAGAAATGTTAGATTTTTGTAGTTGGCAGTTGATGTCTAGAAAGAATGACTTACTAAACCCACAGAAATCAATGTTCAGTCTTCTGATATGTGATGCCGTGTATTTTTGTAGTCACATATCTATCGAACTACAAGGTGTCACGCAACAGTCTGAACATCGATTGTCATGCAACTCGAGCCGCGTGTCTGTCAAACAAATTCTATTCTCTGCTTGCAAGTTCAGTCCACTCCTTGTCACTCGCTTTTCTTTGCGGTGTTAATGACATTATCAGTAGCCGAGACTTAGTAGGGTTGTCTGGTAGGGTGATTCATGGATTATTAATTAGAATCTGAAAGGTAGCGTTCGATGCCTAATTAAAGAACTACACTAACATTTTATTGGAAGGACTGAGGAAAACCACTAAAACCTATCATCAGGATAGCCAGTCTCCAGCCTGACAATTAAACCTGAGACCTCATGAATACAAATCATCAGTGCTACCAAGTTTACTGCTAAGTTTCCTGTTACTTGATGCCAGATTTCTGTCTGTCAGTGGACCAAGCCTCACAGCATGAAAACAGATGAAGCATGTGGGCTGAACACAGACTGTATCGTAATGTGCCTGGCTGTGCAGGCATGTGGACTGAACAGAGACTGTATCATAATGTATCTTTCTAAGAAGGCTTGTGGACTGATCACAGATTGTATCACAATGTATCTGGCTGTGCAGGTCTGGGAGTTATTGATTTCGAGAAATGGCGTCCCATCTGGAGACAGAACTGGGCATCTATGTTGCCATACCAAGACGTGTCTCGCAAGATTGAAAAGCGACATCAACCATTTTGGTGGACACCTAAACAAATTGAAGCAGAGGTAACTGACAACCATGAACGCTGAAGGGGACCTGTCTCTTCTGAATTCTTCGAAGAAGTAAAATTTGGAGAAAAGAATGAAGTATAGCCAACGTTAATGGCAATATCAGAAGTGTTCTAAATGAAATTATTGTTATATCCGGAATTCTGTAGGCATTAGGTGATCAGTAGAATTAGTCTTAAGCGACCTAAACTTGTCTGTGAAAATGTTCTTGCAGTCACCCCCCCTCCATGCAAAATATTCTGGTTAGGCCGCTGCTTGGAACCCATCACAGCGGTGATTTTCATGGAAGAGTTTTGCTCGGACACTGGCCATGCCATAGCTCAGCCGTTTAGACACGGGCTTCTCACCGCAGAGATCCGAGTTCAATCCCGAGTGACCCCATGTGAGATTCTTGGTGGACGAAGTGGCACTGGAGCTGGCATTTGAGATCCTTCTGCTCTCCCCTCCCAGTCACAATTCCACCATTTCTCCGTACTCTCCAACCCGTGAAGTGCTGTGGGATATCCATGACCAGGCAGCACATTATCACATCCTCAGTCTTTAAGTTGGGGACTTCATCTCTGTCCCTGCACTTGGCTGGTTACAGAGTGAGCAACTTACGTTTCCTACTGTCCATTACCTTATTGCAAACGTCGTGCAGAAGTTGGAGGCTTGTACCTGCTGTATGAAGAGCAAGAGATGTCGGACAGTACTTAGGATTTGCGCTTCTAACGGCGGTGATTCTGAATTGCAATGCCCTGTAGCTCTGAGGGAGCCAGATATTTCGATAGAACATATCGCATCCTCTTCATTGTCGGAGAGTAGGCCAAGCAAGCGGCCAGCTGAGCTCGTTTGGGGCTCTCTCCGAACCACGCGGCATTACAACCCAGAGGACCTTACTCTTCGAGATCAAAACCTGATGAAACGAATTGAAGAAACAATCTTAAATCCTTAATACTGATACTTCGGTGTTATGCTGCTTCGTTTTGCAGGCCTCACGTCGCTTTGAGAATGCTGCACGTGATTTCTTGCTGTCGTCTCTCGAGCTGGTGAAACAGATGCGCCCTAGCGGTCAGTGGGGATACTACATATTCCCTTACTGCTTCAACTACACACCAAAGAACATGAAGCCCAGCTGCGAGGCCCAGGTTCAGCACGAGAACGATGAGTGAGTGCTCAACTCTAGTAAAGCCTGCCTCAGATAGAAAGTTGTAGGCTCCAAATGCATGTGCACCAGTTTCTCGCGAAAGAAATTAATATTAATCTGGCCGAACCAGCGCAGCCGTTGTCTGTCTAAGATTCGTCCCCGAACTTGCCTCTCCGTAACAAGAGACGTTCTTATACCACAGGCTCCGGTGGCTGTTTGACAGCAGCACAGCGCTGTTCCCGTCCCTTTACCTGTCCAAGCTGAACACAACACCTGAACGGCGCGTCCAGTTTGCGATTGGCCGCATGAACGAGACAGTGCGAGTTGCCCGGAACGTGCCACGTCTTGAAAAACCAACTGTCAATGCTTACATCCGCTATCGTTACCAGGACGTGGGGGAGTTCCTCACCCAGGTAAGGAAAGCTAAGCCCGTCGCGCTTAGTCATGTGAACCTCGCGTGCTTTTGCTTCATCCAGTTACTGATACTAAGAACGTCAGTCGTGATATGTCGTGCCCCGACCGATACTCGAACTGAGTACGTCCTGAATGAAGGTCCCTACTGTTACCGCTAGAGCGAACTGCTCCATGTCAAGGAATTGCAGCAGTGGAGAAGCATGTGTGTGTTTGGTAGCCGTATGCCATTGCACAGTAAATTTACCTACACATTTTTATCAAGTCTATTTTAATATTTTATATATTTTAATTATGGAGTCGGTGAGAAATTCTGAGGTTATATCTAACACTAAAGAAATATATCGTGTTGTATAATTATCGTCACATTAACTGACAGTGGCATCGCTTTGTGGGTTGCAGTTTACCACGTGCGAGCAACAACTGCGTCAGGTGTCATTTCCTCGTAGACATATCAGTCAAACTGACTGCAGTCAAGCTGTATAGAGGCGTCGCTTTCAGCCTCTCCTTAACATTATGTGAGTTAGACATAAGTTTTCTGTTCTGCATTTAGGACGCAGTGTACACGTATGTTTCTATTTGCGGTGGGAAAGAACATCCACTGAGCGGGACAGTCTTCACCCCAGCGAGGAAATCGCGACACGATTAGCTGGCAACAGAGTTACACAGATGAAAGCAGTGTCACCCATACTCCTGCAGTGTCATCCTACCGGCAAAGCCAGTTTCGACTAAATCGATATTTCGCAGTGGGGCCCTTAATGCGCTATCGTTATTTTCCTGAAATACCGCCCATGGTGAGTCATTTGGGGGGTGTTTCTATAAACTAATGAACTTTAATCACAATCGTTAAAGACAATCCATATTTCGTCTTTTTTTTTTTTTTTGAACCGAAATAAAGGGCCCCCAATTCCTGAAGCTGAAATGTTCAGTCGCCGGTCGTTGACCTATGATGGATAGATATTGAAATACCGAATACGAATAAAAACTCGTCCAACCGTTCCGATGTAAGCGAGGTTCAATACATACCTACATACATAAATACATACATATATACGTACATACATACATTCATACATAAGGATAGACGGCATTCCAAATATTACTTTTCATAATCAGGCGACTGAGAACGTGCAAAAACTTCAAAATCTCGAGTCCGATCCTTTGGCATCAGCATTCTCTCATTATACTGTGTGAGAAAGTGAAAGGGGTGTGAGGTTTGCAAATGATTCTGGCAGGGCAGCCATTTGCTTTGTGAATGTGAATGTTTTGTCTGCCACAGGAGGACTTGCGAAACTCCCTGGCAGTTGTGAATGAGTTTCATGCAGGGGGTGCAGTACTCTGGGGCAGTTCCAATGATACAAACTCCCAGCAGAAGTGCAGCGCCCTGGAGCACTACCTCAACACTGTGCTGGGTCCCACGATAATGGAGCTATCTGCCAGAATACCAGAGGTCCTTTTTCTGGGACCTGATCCTAAATGACGTTGGCATGTAACTGTGGTTCTCACGCATCGAGTCAAGTAAAATGAAGTCCCGCTTCAGATAACTGATCGTCAGCATGGACTGGAACTGACATGCACTTTGCTGCACTCGAAGTGAAGTAGCAGCCATGTCGCTCTGAGCATGTGCCATGTTATGACACAGAATCTATGGCATTTAAAGTTGTTTCTGTGGTACGTTGACTCAAAGACTGTGAAGCAAACCAACGCCGTGTTCATCATAAGACTAGGCTGGTCTGGAATATGTTGACAGCGATTTGTGAATGCCTTCAGCTTTTAGATTAGACACAGGATCGAACTGTTGTCTTCTGCTGTGACTTGTCAGGGAGTATCTCATGTGTGAGCGGATTGTGGAGTCTGCTTGTGCGTTCGTCCTACATATATCTCTGTTCCGATCTCTGCACAGTTCACATTAGCCCTTCAAGTCATGAGTTCATAACAATTCAGCTCCTACCTCACATAAAAAACATTGTCCTCAGATTTGCTGTCTTCTATAATGTTATGTCACGTGGTTTTGTTTGGTATATGGTGTTCGACAATAACGCTTCATGTTCCAGAAGACCGTAAACTTAACAGACACTGCCGTGAAAAAAAAAATGAAATTTGGAATATTCCATCCCCATAACGGCGATCAGCCGGTTAATGTTCAGGCAAGTTATCGCTGTTTATTGTAAGAATCAGATGGATCACATAAATGTGACGTGTGAGTTGCACCATAGCATGCAGAGTCCATGCAAATAAATGAATATTGATGATGTGAGGCATCTGTTATTGTTGAAGTTACCACCAGTATGCAGGAATCATAACCTACCCCTTCTGTCCTCAATTTGACGATTATTACTTCTAAATCACACCTTAAATTTGACTCGAAGACAGTCGAAAACTTAATGTGAAGAACGTTCCCGTCTGTTGGATTTCTCGTCAACTCTGACACATGGACGCGATGTGTTGACTTTCACCGGATTACACCGTGTTGTATTCAGTATGTTGAGGAATATCAGCATGACAATGCAATCTTCTAGTAAGGAACAGGCCAAAGTATCCCACGTGGTCAGGTGCTCACTTTGTGCCATGGCTTCCTTTCTCAGTGGACACTGTTTACGTAAATATACAATAATATAACAGTATTTCAGAATTGGATCGGTTTCCTTCACAAAGTGTACGGGAAGGAAGTCTCGTCATCAGCTGGGCCCATTGAACGTGCTGCTGTCGCGTGATTAAACATTAATAAGTGTTACTACACATACATATAAGCATTTTGTAAAGGAGGGAAAAGCAATGCATCTCCCCCAATTGCCTTCCTAAATTTTTTAAAGTAATCACAATTGAAAACAGGAAGTACCAAATATTAATGCCAACAATTAAAAATATTTATTACTCTATCCTGAAGAGTGTAGCTAGGTTCATCAGTGAAAGCAGACTTAGCCAGCTTAAATGCAACTTTATAAGCAAATTTTCTTCCTGGCCGCTTTCAAAAGAATCTTGACAACGCCCATGTACTTGCGTAACATTTTGTAAAGGATGTGGTACATCCAGACGAACCTTCGTTGACCATTTCCTCATGCCACTCTCTCAAAATTAGGTCAGAAGGACCACTGCTTCGCTGTCAACCAAATAAACTCAGCGGAGTAGAGTGATTCATGAGAATCCCCATTTATGGAACCGTTTCCAGAAGAACTAAATGAACCCAGCCCACATGCATTTACCCAGCCTATTTCTTTAAAATTTATTTCAATATTGTCCACCCATCTATGCGGAGGTCCTCCAAGCAGCACTTCCCTTCCGGTTTTGTGGATATCTCCCTCGTGCTAGTTACATTTCCTCCATCTGATAATCCTAATCATCCTAATTGTATATGTTGAAGAGTGGAACTTATGAAGATCATGGTTTATGCAGTTTTCTCGATTCTTCTGTTACCTTCTCCCTCTTAGGTCCAGATATTATCCTTAGCTCCCTGTTTTGAAATGCCATTTAATGTGGCCGAAAATGAGGAAGTGACAGAAATGTGACAGGATTATTGTCCTGTCTCGCCATCTCATTTGCAGGGCTGGAGCAAGCCTAAATTCCTTCTTAGTTAAAGCACTTTAATTTATTATAAAACGATTTTACAGCACCATCCAGTGTGACTCAGTATATACGTATTTCTATAATGCCTTTACATGTTTCGGTCAGTTGTGACCATCTTCAGAAGTCAATGACATGTTAAAGTACTACTATTACATATATCATAGTACTTAAGCTTATAGTTTTGTATAAAGATTTTGAATTAAGTTAAAAATAAAAATAAATAAAAAACGGAGACACAAACCTCAGTGGTCCAAGATTTTAAGTATTAAGAATATTAGTAATTTATTTTTAACTTAATTCAAAATGTTTATACAAAACTATAAGCTTATGTACTATGATACATGTAATAGTAATTCCTTAACATGTTGTTATTCCGTTCTAAAGATGGTCACAACTGACCGAAACATGTAAAGGCATTAAATAAATACTTATATACTGAGTCACACTGGACGATGTTGTCAAATCATTTTATAATGATTAACTAGAGTGACGGACCAGAATGAATAAAATTAAACCAGTTTAGTTTTCTCAGAACTTCGTTACAATTAATAATTCGGAATTCCCAGATATTGTGCTGCAATTCGACATTGGCCAAATAAACAGCAGTAAAAATACAGTGATATTCGATCATAGAAATATGTGCCGCTGCCGGACTGAGATTACAGAATTAGATAACACTCAAGTCCAGTTATATTTACACTGTTGCGTAACATGTTTAGGTGACTGCCAATTAATTGTCACGATATAAGAAAAAGAGCAGCAAAAATTAATTTTAGTTTAACAAAGGCACCCCCAAGAAGTTAGAATAATTAAGGGGGACGCACAATAGATCAACAAATGGTCGCAGTGCATTGGGAAACCCACCCCTTCCAAATAATAATAATAATAATAATAATAATAGTTGTAAAATAAACCAACCCATAAAGGTGGACCGATTGGTTTTCCTATGCTGTCAAGCCGACTCTGGTCAATTGTTTATATTTCTTTGTGGGGAATGTTTTTTGTATGGCATTTCAGTGGGCGCACTCTCGAACTATCGAAGAACCCACTGAAACGCTCGGAAATTCTGGTACTGGCTTGTACATGGTGTTCAGTCCTTCAGTCCTTCAGTCCTAAGAGAAATGAGGTATCCATTAATATTCTGGCAGTTCCGGGGTAGGATTACTTGATCGTTATGCGGTGGCCGTCGGAATCGTCGGAATTTAATGAAAATGTGATTTTATGTATCTTCGAACGTACTTGTATGTAGTTTACGTGGCTTCATGATGAAAAATGGCAGTTGCTTATGTGAAAGGGAACAGGAATGCGGTGGTTGCTGAAAGATTTTCTGCGTACCCTTACTGCACACAAAAACGAGTTCATGTCAATGCTACATTCCTCTGCCTACATTCACAATAGAAAGTATTTGTCGGGTAGAGGTTATGGTAGATTTTTAAGG